TTTTTTATTATTGTAAATATTGTATCTTTAACTGACGCAAGAAATAAATCTGGTGTCTCAAACTGTAAATCATTTTGATTTTCTGAAGTTACTCTATAGGTTATTATTCTATTACCGAACGCAGTCTCAATTATCTTTACATTGGGTTTTATTGAATGCTGTATTTTATCTACATTATTTTTGTGTGCATTGCTCCTTAGATGACTAGCGAAATATTTTTTGGAAACATTTGTATTACATTGTATGAAGACTGAAATATAACATAAATAAATCAAAATGTGTTTTAAAAATAAATAAGAATTATTAAAGAATTTACTGAGACCAAATTAAAAAATCCGGCTCATTACTATACAGCACCTGGATTAAGTTGGGATGCTATGTTAAAACATACTAAAACAGAAATTGACTTACTTTCTGATATAGATATGATTGCTTTTATTAAATCAGGAATTCGTGGTGGTGTTTCGCAATGTAGCACTCGTTATGCAAAAGCAAATAATGTTTACATGTCTGACTATAATGTGAAAGATAAAGAGTCATTCTTAATGTATTTCGATGCCAATAATCTTTATGGTTGGGCAATGTCGCAATATCTACCTACAGGTGGTTTTGAGTGGGTTAGTGCTGATACAGATTTTAATGTTAGTTGTTCATCAGATATAGGTTTTATCTTAGAAGTAGATCTGGAGTATCCAGTGGATTTACATAATAAACATTCATATTTACCTCTTTGTCCAGAAAATATACCAGTTGGGGACGCTAAGGAAATTAGATTGATTCCAAACTTAAGAAATAAATCCAAATATATTATTCATTATCGAAATTTAATTCAATGTTTGAAAATGGGTTTAAAATTATTAAAAGTTTATAGAATATTAAAATTTAAGCAGAGTACATGGTTAAAGAAATATATAAACCTTAATACACAATTAAGAACTCGAGCTAATTCTGATTTTGAGAAGGATTTCTATAAACTTATGAACAACGCTGGTTTTGGTAAGACTATGGAAAATATTGAGAAACGAGTTAACGTTAAACTGTTAACCCACTGGGAAAATAGGGGCAAAATATTGGGAGCTGGGGATCTAATTGCTCAACCACATTTTCACAGTGTTTCAATATTTTCTGAAAGTCTTGTTGCAATTCAATTAAACAAAATGAAATTAATTTATAATAAACCTATTTATCTCAGATTTTGTATATTAGATATATCTAAAACGCTGATTTATGATTTCCACTATAATTACATGAAAGAGAAATTTACTTCAAATCTGAAACTACTGTACACAGATACCGACAGTCTCATTTATCAAATATTTACTAGTAACTTTTATAATGATATAAAACCAGACATTTGTACACATTTCGATACATCAGATTATGATGCAAACAATGTTTTTAATTTTCCTCAAGTAAATAAGAAAAAATTGGGTTATTTCAAAGATGAAAATTGTGGTAAAATCTTTACAGAATTTGTGGGTTTGCGATCAAAAATGTATGCATTACAGGTAGATGATAAAATTATTACTAAGGCGTTAACAAACGTGTCACTAAAAAATTAACGTTAGATAATTATAAGTCATGTTTATTTAATGAAAATGTTCAATTTTGTAAAATGTATCGATTTAAATCATTAAAACATACAATTTTCACACAAGAAATAAATAAAACATGTTTATCTTTTAATGATACCAAGCGATACATTCTACCAAATAATATAGATACGCTACCACTGGGTCATTATAAACTAGTTAACAATTCCACCTTAAAAATGTGAACTAGATTATTAATAATATGTTAATGAAATTTAGTTGTAAATAACTACTCATTATTATTTATTGATAATGTGTTTTGTAATTGTAAGATAATGTGTGGATTATAGTAGTTAAGAAATGACTTTTATGTACTTATAATTAAATTGAGAATAATAAACAGAATGAAATATAATAAATAACAAATGGTTTCTCATTTATACTTTCCCAACTTTTCTAAATAAATGCATATAAGATATTACATATATTGGGATGACAATACAACGTGATGATAGTTGAGGTGGATGATTGATAGGAATTGGAATTGTATTTAGTGCAATATATAAGAGTAGAAGGTCAAACGCGTTGGAGTAAAAATGAATACATTAAACCTGCAAATGAGTCTCCATAGAATACATCCCAGCATCCAGTATAGCGTGTACCCCTCGAATCGCCTACCAATGCACATACACTTACCCGCATTTATTATATGCAATCTCGACCCTGACTCACAACCAGGCTCTCATTGGGTAGCTATTCATATCAACCACGAAAAAGTTGGAGAATATTTTGATTCCTTTGGCCGTAAACCGATTAGAGTAATAACGGATTTTTTAAGAAGAAATTGTCGGGTGTGGAGCTATAATACAGCTAGCGTTCAGGATATCTATTCTGCGTTATGTGGGGAGTATTGTGTGGTATATTTGTACTACAAGTTTTGGGGTTTCAGTTTGGAAGATTACCTCAGAAACTTTTCGTATGACTCGCCAAGAAATGACATGGCACTAGTAAAATTGTACTGTAACGTAATGCAAATAAACACATAAAACATGGTAATCATATTTTTAATTTTCAATCAAATCCTTTTCCCGTCCATTCCTGGTGCAATGCAGGTAAATGCAGATGATAATTAGCTAATGATAGGTACGAAACTGACTCGATAATTAGTAAATGAGGGTAACGTATTGGGCGAGACATTACACAGGTGATTAGTAAATAGATTAATCAGTATAGAAAAACCTAACTTCGAAACAGAGAGAAATATCGCTTCGGGAGTGAGTGCTATCGACTCCGCACGGCCTGTTTAGTGGGGATAGAGTACAAACTTTTTTTTTTTTTTTTTTTTTTTTAGGCGGCCGCTGCCTCTGAAACAGCTTTTTTTTTTTTGACTGAGGCAGCGGGTGAGGCAGTCCCCGGGAATCCATACTACTCCAATTCATATCCATAAATCATATCAAAATACACTTATGCAAGTTTTTATTGATTATTTTTTCTCGATTGTCTGAGATTGTTTATATATCCCTGATATAAAAATGAACCTTTTGTAATTAAAGATGTTATATTACGCAGTTTTTTTTTTTATTTTTTACATCGTAGTTTTATAATGTTCTTTTATCTTTTTATGTTTTTTAAATCATATACACATAGTAACAGACATAATATTAAAAAGAGTAAATGCCGCCTGGAGAAGACATTAGTTGAGAAATTGTTAGGATATTAGTTGATAGGATTTTTTTTAATTAAATGATTTACATTAATATAAATTTTGAATGAAGCCATTGAATTAATTGAATTTTACTTTGGCGGTAGCCACTGTAGCTATACAAATATATACAAGATATAATAAACTAGTTCTCATTGAAAAACTGTTTTTTTGTAGAAAGCATTGAGCTAGTGTCAAACCACGATTCGTGTTGTATCATTTGTGTAAAACTTACAATCAACGAGGAAGAGTTATTACAATGAGCAAAAAACAAAGATATATATTTTTTGGTATGACATTGTTGGTACAACACGTAATCTCTCAATCGCCTTTTTTATAATAGTTGTCATAAAAGAAAACTCAGTTGCTTTGTTGGAAGTTGCGAATATCCCAGAGCAGATGAGATATTTTTTTTAGTTTAAACTTAATTAAATTGTTGTAGTTGTACCTTTAAAACGATAATTTATATTATAATCTCTGAACGTAAATTATCTATAAGGCTATACATTTTGCTCACTCAGGCTTTCTTAGTTATAAACGTGGCGATTACCTAAATCGTCGGAGTTACGCCCCGAGAGTATAGCTAGACGTAGGCGCTCTCTTCAACTGTTACATTGCATTAATTCGTTACATAGCAATTAACATTTCATTATTTCGCTTTTATTCTATTGTTGTACGATGACCCAGGAACCGTACACTATATATATATATATATATAACTTTTATCATAATATGTTTGTACTATAATTGCCTAACTTAATTATATTTTTTAATCAATTGATTCAATAATTTATAAAATTTAAATTCATATTCAAATCTTCCTATCATGACATTATTAAAGAACAAATCATTAAAGTTCCTTTAATAAAAATAATTTTATTAATTGTTTACAAATCAAAATCTTACATGCGATTCCTAAAATTCTTATTTTTCGAATTATGCCTTTGTATTACTAAATGACCCAGTGAGAAGAAAAAAGAGATAGCGGGTAAACATTGGAAAATAGTAGCGAAGATGAGAGACAAATGGAAGAATTTGAAGGAGACCTTCACTCCGTCGTAGGTCGTGTACTAATGTAAAACATAATGACATGGACTTAATGTAATCCTTGAGCAGTGTTGGCCTAGTTGCTTTAGCGTGCGACTCAATCCCTGAGGTCGCAGGTTCGATCCCTGGCTGTGCACCAATGGACTTTCTTTCTATGTGCGCATTTAACATTCGCTCGAACGGTGAAGGAAAACATCATGAGGAAACCGACATGTCTTAGACCCAAAAAGTCGACGGCGTGTGTGAGTCACTGGAGGCTGATCACCTACTAGCCTATTAGATTGATAAATGATCATGATACAGATTCAGAAATCTGAGACCTAAACATAATGTAAAGCCACTGATTTTTTTTTTTAAATGTAATCCTGATTATGTATTAATCGAATAAAGGCTATTTCTATTTATTTATTTAATTATAAGTAATCTTACAGCTACATTTTTACATTTTTATTTTATTATTCCTGAGGTTGCCATTTATTAAATTGACCAACTATCTTATCAACATACGCAGAACCCTGAACACGTAACCTCGCAACGTTTACCTACTCGCACGCACCGCGCTGTGTCGGTCAGCGCGTTAACAACATTATTATTATCCTTATACATCTAGTCATATAACATTAATGACACGCGAAACTCGTTTCTTATAATAATTACGAGTGAGAATTTTCCGAACCTCAATATTAAACACAGATTTTTTTTAATTAAAGTGTTATGAGATGTGGAAGTGGTTAGCGTTCATATGGTTGATCGCAACAAAATTGCTAAAAGAGCCAGGACCAGTGATAAGCGTGAAAGATGGCCTGCTCCGAGGCAGGACTAGTGGGGATGGCAACTTCTATCAGTATTTCGGGATTCCTTATGGAACTGTGGATCAGACCAATCGTTTTCAAGTAAGTTTTCAATATAACATAAGTAACAATTGTTATAAACATCTCAGAGTATGTTTTCGCCTTTTTTCTGCTTGCGGGAAACGTTTTTATTTTCTGGATTTGATGTAATATAGCGTATATGCGGGAAATTGAAGCCAGATTTTAGTTTTAATATTAAAATATTGCGTACTTTTAACTAGCCGTGGATTAGGTTTGGTATTCATAATATTAATTAGCAGGTGCAATATTAAGAATTTATCGATTGTGCGCTAATTAAAACATAGAAACGGAAGCCTTGAAACTTTTTATCGCGCAATATTAGGTATATTAAAGACGAATAAAATTTTACTGATATTTAATATGTAAAATCTAACAAACAAATATGACGTCAAGTGTTAATATACGGTATTAATATGTACGTACTATCAATGACAACGTGACATTGAACTTTTATAAACAAAAAGGTGAACATGAAGGTACATAAAGTACCATTTCGTAAGTTTTTTCCTACGAAAGTGGATAATAAATATTTTTCCTTCGTATCTTGAATTTTTTGTCCTAAAGCTAACTCATTATTACGTTCCTTGGTCATATTTAATAGCCAAGTAAAGTCAGCCAGTAGCCAGTAAGTCATTCAATCTGATACAATTTATAAACCACCCAGAGTTTAACCCAAGACAATTTTAATAAATGGACAAAACAAAAAAGGCGTATTTTTTTTAAATAAAACTTTAAGTATTATGTGTATTATAACTCATTCATAGCGGCAATTTGATTATTATTATTATTATACTACGGTTAACACGATACCATAAGACCAACAAACCAGAAACAAACATCATCAATTTCTAATAATATATTAATTTATAAGCGGATTCTCGTCATTCGGTTTTCATAGAGTTGTATATTATTACATTTGTAATAATGTAATATTACAAGAATCGTTATTTAATGGCATATTGAATAACTATAGTTACCTTATCAACATATCATTTCGATACTCAATAAAATAGTGAAACCATTAAAATGAGCCCGAAATTATGTATAATCGTTTAGAAATACGCGAGGAAGGCAACATTTTTAAAATTACTATTATTATTCGTAAGACTTGTTCCTAATCTTCCGTCTGTTGCAGGCACCCCTACCACCAATAAAGTGGAAAGGGATCTTCGAAGCTATCAATGAGAACACGAGATGTCCCCAAAAAATGTTTGGTCCTATTATCGCCGGCACTGAAGATTGCCTCAAACTAAATATTTACACGCCCATAACCGCCGTTTCACATTTACGTGCTGTGATGGTTTACATCCACGGGGGATGCTTTTTTGAAGGAATAGGAAGTGCTTTTTTATACGGGCCTGATTACTTTGTAGAAAATGACGTCATCTTTGTTGGCATCAACTATAGACTGAACGTCGAAGGATTTCTCTGTTTGGGTATTAAAGAAGCCCCGGGCAACGCCGGCCTGAAGGACCAAATAGCAGCTCTTAGATGGGTTAAAGAAAATATCGCTGCATTCGGTGGTAACCCCAATAATATAACAATATTTGGTGAGAGTGCTGGTTCAGTGTCTGTATCACATCACATTATGTCTCCCGCTTCTAGAGGACTTTTTAGTAGAGCAATCTTACAGAGTGGTTCTTCATTGGCGCCCTGGGGTCTTCAACACGATCCTATTAAGACCGCTAGAAATTTAGCTAAAGAATTCGGATACTATGGTAAAGATCCTCTTGAGATTTATAGGACTCTATCAAATAGAAGTACTGAAGAGTTAATTAATGCAATAAAATTAAAAGAAAATAAGAATTATATTACTGCAGAGATACTATTTGGACCGTGTGTTGAAAGTGCAATTCCTGGAGTAGATCCAGTAATCACTGAACATCCCGTGGACACTATTATTTCCGGAAATTACACTAAAGTTCCTATGATAATAGGGTACAATGACCAAGAAGGTATATATTTTGTAGCGAAAGATTTTGGAACCAGTTTAAAACAAAAACCCAATGATATTTTACATGGAGACCTAGAATTTCCATCAGCATTAAGCAAAAACGCAAGCATGGAAGAGATAAATGAATACTACTTTTCATCGGGGAAAGAGGATTTAATTATGGATATGATTAATTTATATTCGGATCTGCATTTTAAATACCCAGCCGTGATTGAATCCGAATTGTACGCGAGGACGAGCGACCAACCCATTTATTACTACTTATTTAAGTACAGCGGGTATATCAACATGCCGAAGATTATTTCACTCTTCGGGTTTGTGCAGGGGGCGTCCCATGCAGATGAGCTTTTTTACTTGTTCAAACCGCATACTTTCCCATTGCCGACCCGCATTCTAGAAACCCAAATGATAAAACGAATGGTCACATTGTGGACTAACTTCGCGAAATACGGGTAAGTAGCTTTACAGTGCTACTATTGATTTTTTTTTTTATGTAATAGGTGGCAAACGGGCAGGAGGCTCACCTGATGCGGCGGTATCACTTAACCGCCGCCCATGGACACTCACACTGCCAGAAGGCTCGCAAGTGCGTTGCCGGCCTTTGAAGAATAGGTACGCTCTTTTCTTGAAGGACCTTAAGTCGAATTGGTTCGGAAATACTTCAGTGGGCAGCTGATTCCACATAGTGGTGGTGCGAGGCAAAAACTGATATTAGATAATAAAAGGAATATAGAACAGCATGCATATAAACACTTATGAACAGGGTAGGTTTTAGGTAAATGTAAACTTGATGTCTTAAATATAAGAACCATAGGAACATTTTAAAATGAGGCACCTTATCTTCTCTTCTTTTAGTGCCTCTCCATTACTGGAGGTTGGCTGTCAGTCTCTTGAAGCGTGGGTTTTCCTCTGCCAGATGCGACAACTCTTCCGCAGTCACAATACCCGTCCACTCCCTAACTCAAAGCCATAAATTTTTCCTTCTACCAACACGCCGTTTACCCTGGATATCACCCATTAAAATTAAAGGAAGTGTTGGTGGTAACGGACATGGCGTGGCAATTATAAGGCACCGGTCCACACGGTCAATTCATAATCAATACGTATATCTTAGGTAAAAGTATCGCACGTCATATATAAATCCGTGATTTCCCATACGAATGTGTTAGTGACGTAAATAAATTCTGATATTACAACAGAGACGTGATCCGCATATTAAATGGGACATGCATCATAATTTGCTGTTTTATTTCACGTCACGGCGCCTCACAAAAATGCCGATAAAGCTCAATAATATTTAGATTTACTTTGCATCCATTCACCATACAAATACGTTAACAATAAATACAGCTTAGCCATAAACTAGAGCCGAAAAGATAATTCTTAAAAGTGGATAACTTCAATTATAGTATGTTTACGGTTAACATCAATATTTTTCTTGAACAGATAAGAATATGAAATAATAAAAAAATAACATATGAAAATGACAGTTCGTGTCGACAAATTTTCATACAAATTTAGTTTTCGACTTTCTATATACACTACTGTTAAGGCGTCTCGTATAAGCCCCATGGTGTCAAAGCAAAGCTTAAGTAGGTTTAAAATGGCTTTAAAAAGGAATAACGACTTATATTTGTCTATGACTTATATCTGCGCAAAACTAAGATTTTCCACAAAAAAGTTTAATACCAAATCATATTTTTTTAGCGAACCAACGCCGACCACATCGCCTCTCTTACCTGTAAAGTGGCAGCCCAGCCAGGCTTGGAACCCCACAGCCTTGCTCATTGACCGACACCTAACCACTGGCCCTCTTTGGGATGAGGGCTCCTTGTCTCTATGGAATAAAACTTACATTAAGTACAGGAGGAAACGTTACGGATTTCGATAAAAGATATTTACCATATAGTACAGAAGATATTTTTTAATACTTGCTTTGTTTTTGAAGATTTACGATTGGGGCTAAGACAAAAGAACATTTTTTTTTCACATATAGACTGATCACTAGCCTATAAAACAGACATGAACAAATGTTGGCCATATGTCTTATACTTTTTATCAAAGTCATTTTTACTATAAGATTTTATTATTATTATTATTTATTTATTTGTTCAGATAAAATAATCCATCATTATGTTAGTATAAACTAACGGACTAGTGTTAGTATATTATTATTAAAAAGCTAAACATAAAAACGTAAAAACCCATGAAACATTGTATGCATACACTCGTCGATCTGAACCGACAATATAGATATAGATAGATATATAATATGTTATATCAAAAATGTTGTGGTTGACAGTTATTGATAAATAAAAATATGTGATATTGTATGTTCTTAGGAAGGGGTGTGTTACGGGTATTAGGTTGTGTTAAATAATTGAAGGTTAAGTGAATGTTTAGTGATACTAAATCTAGTCCTATAAATTTCGAAATCAAGTAAATATTATTTTTAAATACTCGAAATCTATGTTATAAATATATAACAGTCTTAGTTATACATTATGTAATAAATAATTATGCAAATTGTACCGTGATTGTGATGATTGAATACAATGTAATCTGCGGTTACAGTCTACTGTCAAATTAAATTAATAAGTGCTTTGTCAATTATGTACCTACTATCAATAATGTACAAGTATCTCAACTCTCGTGTGTAACGAGGCCGTTAGAATATCTGCGTGCATGTAACAATCACATCGCTTTACCACCATTTGACATTTCACAAAATCAATGTAATATTATGATTCTTTAACCACGCGGTAGGCTATATTCGGCACGGTCTTGATGCTTATCTCATCATCATCAAAGGCTGTACACTTATGGGCCTTAGCCACCACAAGTATCTTTCGCAATCTATCAGGTGCTTATTCTTTCCTTATTCATTCTACGCCTTAATTAGTTATCAAAACATCACATTAATCATGAAATAATTGTCTTTATAATTGAGATCCCACGCGATTCAAAGTTCCGTGTCTTATTTTTGTTTAAATGCAAAACGATGTAACAAACAATGTTGGTAGCTGCGAAGTTGTTACAAAGTGCAATATGAAACGACGCTTCTACAAAAAGTTGTAAATGAACAAAAAGACAAACAGAATAAGCAAGTTGGACAGCTGTTCGTCTGTCGAGTGAGCCGCTGAGCGCGCCAAGAGGCAACTTATGCATTCAATACAACTCAGACAATAACTTCTTCGCAAATAAAAATCGCACTCACGGAATTCGTGGATGGATTTTTTGCAGGGCCGAGTTCAATGTACAATATGATTACTGCAGATTCAAAGAACTTTTAGATGTACGGCTTCATTCAAAAATAAAAATCAAACTTGACAAACGTGAACACACAAGGTTTTAGAACCTTGATTTTCCTGAAACATGCAAATTTACCTTATTTATTCAAATGTATTAACGTTTCATGTTTCATAGTACCGTATATTTCAATTTTCATCTCGCTAAGATTTAACAATTATAGCAATCATTAAAATGGAAGGCTGCTGGCATAAATTGTTAAAGGCAGTGTACCGTGCCCTAACTACGAGATAACTTCACAATTAAAAGGCCGAGGAAGTTCTTCCAATTTGCATGTTTGCCCAGTTTATAACAATTAGCCCGCTTCCCGGGTATTTTTCTTTATTACCCGGATTAACCGGGTCTCCCCCTCTTCCCTTGCCTCCTAGCCGGTCGCCGGTCGGCTTGCACTTGGCCACGTTAATTACATTTTATAACGAATTGCCGCTTGACGCGATTGTTGCACTTTGCTCGCATTTTCCGTCGAGAAATAACTGCGTATTTCCGAGAAAAACAGAATTAAAAGCTTCGCTTTTTACTTTTATTGCGGCGCTAGAGTTGGTGACTTTGGCTAGAACTTTGAAACCAACTGAAAAAAGTATAATGTAAATAAATAGAAATCACTTTTCATTTTATGCAAGGTTGAATGCAAGTTTACTAGGAATTCAATGATTGAAATATGTTTACGTTTACTAGTGCTCGATACCTATCTGGTCAAATACTAGGTTTCGCGATAGATAGGTATTAGATACACTTTTGGATCTCCTGTAATTAATATTTACATAACATTATTATATATTAATGTTTTTCAAAATTAAAATATTGTAATTTATTGAATTAAATGAGTCTAACTCATTAATAAGAGACGGTGTTGGCCTTCAGCGTACGATTGTCTGGAGGTCGTAGGTTTGAACCTCGGCTATGCTCAAATGATTGTCTATGTGCGCTTTTAACACTCACGGTGATGGAAAAGGAGAAGGAAACCGGCATGCCTTAGGCCCAATAAGGCGGCGTGTGTCAGGCTCAAGGCAATAAGCCTAATTTTTCTATTAGAAAAAACAAATGATCACGAAACAAATGTAGAAATCTGAGGCACAGACCTTAAAGGGTAGTATCGCCATTGGGTTTTTTAAAATCATACCTAACTAAAGAGACGTATAAAATAACATGAATATGTCTATTTAGTAAGTGTTCATGTGCAAACTGTACTATGTCTCAACTATTCTCTGTGCTATGAGCTAACTTTGCGAAATGGCCATAAGCGAATCTTTCGTAACGTTACCAATGAAAGCTGGCAAAAACCTCACTCAGCAGAGTACGTGCGACATGATTTAACGTTTCCTACATTTTGTTATTAGTTTTAGATACGGTAGCAACACTTTAGTGAAGATTTTACGATCCATTTATTGTATTAAAACTGATAGAAGCGATCAAAATACCTAGTTAAAGAGATAAAATGATTGCATATTATCCAAACTAGAAATGAAGAATGAATAATTTATTGAAAATACTAGGTGTACTTGTGGTATGTGAAACTGTGTCTAGTTTACTGACGCCGGTGGTGGAAATAAGTCAAGGCAAGTTGCGAGGATCGAGAAGCTTGTTCGGACAAAACCGGTATTATAACATACCTTATGCAGTTGCTGCCAGATTTCAGGTAAAGAAAGTCTCCTGATAAGATTAGGTAATCTTAATCCTCTTATCATATTTATAATAATAAAATATCTTCAAAAATGCACATTTCTGTAAAAAAACGGTAATCATGGTTCACGTTAATTCCACTCTTTAGACTCACTAATGCCTCAATTACTTTAAAAATTGTCTTTTCTATTTAAGTAAAATATGTGACGCGCGTGTAATGCAATTTCAGTGCGAAGCCTGTAACGACAAAAACGATTATGAAGTATTAATAATGTCTATATATATATAAATACACTCAATCGGTTATGAGAAAGAAACAATTATTTATTTCTATTGAAAATAAGGTTAATATAAGGTTGGTCTACTTGTCTTAGAAGAAGTCAATGGAAACTTACCTGATCAAAGTGAATCAAATACAATTTAATAAAATAATGAAAATCAGCTGTAAGAACATACTATTAAAAACCAATAAACGTAATCTTATTATTCCAAAATTCGCAAGTTTTGACATTATTCTAAGAGCAATTTTTCAGAAACCAAAGGAACCGTCAAAATGGCATGGTATATTCGATGCTATTCATAGCAGTCTACAACTGAGGTGTCCACAGTGGAGGAAGTTTTTTGTTTTCGGAAAAGAAGAGTGCCTTTATCTCGATGTCTTCTCACCAGAGTGGGCAACACCAAGAAGCAAACTACCCGTCATGGTCTACCTCCACGGCGGCGCTTACTACATGGGTGCAAAAAATCTCTATGACCCAGAATTTCTAGTAGTCAAAAACACTGTCGTCGTTACGGTCAATTATCGGCTCGGCGTTCTTGGGTTCTTATGTTTAAATGGAATATCTAATTTGGGACTTCGAGACCAAGTCGCTGCTTTAAAGTGGATACAAAAGAATATTGCAGCATTCGGTGGCGATACAGAAAATGTCACCCTATGTGGGGAGAGTGCGGGTGCTAGCTCGGCGGCATTTCATCTACTTTCAGAACTTAGCAGAGGATTATTCCATAAAATGATTCTCATGAGTGGCACAGCCTTGTCTGTTTGGGCATTTAATCAAGAATCTACTGAACCAGCGTTTAAAGACGCGAGCAAAATTTCAGAAGTAAATTCAGATGAAGATGTTTTTAAAGTATTTACGGAAGCTCCACTAGAAACGTTAATAAAAGCAACCAAGGACACATCAGTTAATCCTAGATATTTCAAATATTCCCCATGCGTGGACTCTCACAATCCAGATCCGTTCTTCAGGGACACTCCATACAATATAATGAAATCGGGTAACTTTAATAGTGTCCCTGTTATGATGGGCTTCACTGAATCGGAGGGATCTTACTTCTATGGATTATTGGATGAGTCTTCGGTCGCCAATCTGAATGACAATTTTGCCGATATGATACCATCATTATTTTCATGGTGTCCCAACAATAGACAGCAAGTGGCAACACTCCTACGATCTCACTATTTTGGATGCGGTAATATTACAATGAATTCCGTAAACAATTTGGTTCGATTTTATTCTGACTGGGTGGCGTATGCTGCTATTCTAGCATTCTCTAAAGTCTTAACTAAGTTTTCTAACAAACCTGTCTATAACTATTTATTCGCCTATGAGGGTGACAGAGAATTTGCGAAAATCTTTATAAGAGACCTTAAAGGCCCTGTCCATGCTGGAGAGTTGTTCTACATTTTCAAACCCTTCGGGATTTCAATGTTACTTTCAACGAGGGATGAAAGATTTATTGTTAAATTTACTACGATGATGACAAACTTCATGAGATATGGGTAAGTAACGTATGTATAAGTACTCATTTATATTATATTTATTATGTATATTCAATTTAGCTTAGCTCAATTTAAAAAAGATTGGAATTTACAGAGATTTTTATTACGAATGATAATTTATACAATTATGAAAAAATAATGTGACAGCTAAATATGATGAGCAAAATAAGAATGGCATACAGGCAATTTGGCGTGATTTATGGAAAGAAGGAAGAATGTCTTACCAATTTCTTTTAAAATTATTTTTAGGAATCCAACACCAAAGACTTCCAAGCTGCTACCATGGCCTCCTGCGACGAAAAATGCTTCAAACATTATGGTTCTAGATCAGAAACTCTCTGTTTTAAAGCAACCATATAAGCGTCACACTGGTGAGTTTTTCCTAAATCTGCTCTGCACATATGGAGAAGCTGGTTATGTACCCTGTGACAGTTCTCAAATATGCTTGAAAAATTAAATAAAACAGAAATATCACTATTGTTTTTATAAAAATAACTAGACATTTTTCCAGCATAACATTACAGTTTCAACCGGATATTATTTCCATTTTATGCATATTGGATACTCGGTCTCGCAACTTTAAATCAAAGCATAATAAATACCTTATTGATAAAATCCTAGCTCAATATCTGAAGACATTCAGCTTCCACAAACAATGGCGCGGAATAAAATAAACCACGATCACAAACAGCGCGCAGCCCGCGGCGACCAAATAGACTTTATAAATATGCAGATCAAATATTAAAAGAGCCGCAAGATCTCAGACAAGACGTTTTTAAAACTGAATTCAATATTGCTTTGTTTTAATTCAATTACTGCTGTATATTTTGTTTAACATCAATGGAAGAATTCATAGGTATACCAATAACTGTTTTTGTTTGAATTTATTCTGTATGCGGACTAGGGAAAATACAATATTTTTTACATATTATAGGAAATATGACATTTAGTACTAGATGTACACATGTAAGTGAAACTTCTTTATGACCTTATTTTTCGAAAAATGATCTACTATATGCAACTTTACAGAAATTGGTTAAATAAAGTTAAATTAGATAAAGTTTAACAAAAGGCTTTTATTATCATAGACATGAATACAAATAAAATTATTTCATGTTACCTTATTACTACTAACTTATTACAGAATTTCATTAATTGTAATAGAATTATTACTATCACTGTTATCGTTATTATACATTTTTGTTATTTATGGCTTCGAATCTCTTCGGATCAACCGTGGTAGGGACAAGAAAAATATGGCGCGTAACCGAAAAATGTGACGGTAATTTTTTTTCCAACGCCGATAAAGAAGTTTGACTTCAAAAAGCAACATGGCGCGTAACCGAAAAATGTGACGGTAATTTTTTTTCCAACGCCGATAAAAAAGTTTGACTTCAAAAAGCAACATGGCGCGTAACCGAAAAACGTGACGATTTGCTATAAAATTTCTACCATACGTCGATAAAGAAGTTTCACTTCAAAAACTAATATTTGATTCTGATTTTAATTAATTACGCTGACGATAACGTCACATTGAAAGTGAATCTAAAGTTAGGTCATGACTAGAAATCACCATATTTTGGCACACTTGCTTAGCACCGCATTATGCAACGCCATGATCTTTTATCACGGCATATAAAACGTAGTTTTAAATTACATTCTTTAAAAACATTGTTCTACGATATAGAACGTTCAGCCATAATACGTATTCTTTATTTTCGTTATATATTGCATGCGGTTTATCATCTGTGGTCCGCTATAGAAGTGCAGCGCTGCATCCGCTCAACGTAAATATTATATGTTTTCATTCAATTCCTCTCGGCCAAGCTATAGTTGTTCGAGATCGTTACTTGAAATGCATTAAAGTCTCATAAATTTGTATTGTGCAAATATATCTAACGATTTTGATATAGACAGAATAGGATGATAATTTGTTTGAAATTACCATAAAGAACCTTTTCTTTATCAATATTTTAGACAATTCTACCCTCCAATCACCAAAAGGCCATAATTTAAGAGAATTATCATAATTATTCAATGATTCGTTATAATCAATGGCCTCCTGACTAAATAGGAGGGTGTTGAAATTTACGTTTCTTTACAGTAGGAATAATTATCTACTATTTCAAATGTTCACTAGTCATAAGGCTAAAGGTATTTATTTATTTTTTTACTTGTGGGCAATGTATACGAGTAGCGAAGAAATTATAAATGGCCGGCAACGCACTCACAATCATACAAAATTGTTAAATGTATAAATGTTATATCGCCTTTGTGTATTATTCAATTTGAATTTTAAAACTATACCTACTATTTGTTTGTAGTTTGCGTGTTCTACAACCTGTATAGCCATCGATTTACATAATACACTAATAATCATTTCCAATCAAACAAGAATTACGATCATGTTTTAATACTGTAACTAACTGACATTATATCTTTCATCGTACTTTTAATTGTTTCCTTGACCAGGATAAGTTTTATTATTCCAGTAGCAATTCAAAGAATAATTTAATATTTGAGTCAATAGCCAGCCTATTTGATATTATGCATAGGTAAATAAAATGTTATTGATAGTAATCTGTATAAAACATTATATTGAAAAGCGTTATGGAGTAATATAACTTGTAATCAATAATTTATCAAATACAATTAATTAAACGTACTGTATATATATATATATATTATTTTTATATAATAGGGGGGCAAACGAGCTTGCGGGACGACCAAAAAGGGCAGTCTACGCAGCCCATAGACACCCATTTTTAGTGGATGCGTTGCCGGCCTTTAAACGCCAGTCACGTGATATTAAACGGTCACAGATAAGTCGAATCGATTATGACGTACCATGTCAGTGAATAATGTCATCGCCTGTCTGATCCTTATACTACCTTGGAAATTAATTTCGTCGGAGATTGTTTTTGATCGAAAAATAATATAACACGTAAAAAACATGGCGTTTGTTACCATGTTTACTGACATGGTATGTTATAGGGACTGTTGCGACGCCATCTTGTTCGAAGCGTTTTAGCGGGTCTCAAAATTAATGTGTAATTTGAATTTTAAAGCTAGAATCAAAAATAACAATTTGTGTAGATTTTGAGTCATTAATAAAATTCTAAAATTATTTTTAAAATGTTGTCAAATGGCCCATTCCCAACCTGTGTGGTCGCAAATTGAACTATAATTCATAACTCATATTTCCGTATAAAAGATGTGTAGTGTTTTGTTTACACATTACGGAGAATGTGCAAAATCTATGTTGAAACAATAACATAAAATACATTGATAATGTTTGCGATAAACCCGGCAACCCTAACACGATGAGTTAACGACGTTGTGCTAATTGCCTATTAAATTATTTAAGAAAAGATATAAATCCGGACCTAACCTCAATCCAGCGCCAAAATAGCGTGACACAGAAATAAGCCAAAAAAAATCGACTATTAAATTTGCACAATATAGAAAAAACCAATGTTCATTTACAAACTAGGTAGGATAGGTAGGTTATGCAGAAATAAAAATCATTTTGACGGTTTAAACACAATATATTATTAAAAAAGAAAACAATACAATATACGAACAATATTGTAGAATCGTCTTTACAAAGCAGTGTCTTAGCCCGGCGCACTAACACATCTAAGTCTATTTACATTTCCATGAAAACCTCCGCATTATATTACAACAAAACACGTACATAATATTTTTTTTAATATGTTAGTGCGTCCAACTGTATCTACAAAACATTCTCACTGCTATTAGAAATCGGCGAAAGGTCATATAATATTTTACATCAAACCGGGCACACGACACGGGTCTTTCAAAGAGAGCATATTTTCACTTCCGTGGGATAACTATAAAAGCCAATATAAAACTAATTAATGTACAGCTTCGAAAGTGAAGTAAAACTGACGACTCCAATCTTTTGAACACCTTGGCACAATACAATTAAATACCCTCCGGAGAGTTTGGTACTAAAACGGAAGAAAATACATGAAGGGGCCAATAGCTTTACTAGATCTATGTAAAACGTGTTCGCTTTCAAATAAGTATTGCCATTCGACGTATTTCTGAACAGTTCCGACTTAGGGGCCATCAAGAGACCAGTAAATTAAAGACCTGCGACAAATTTGCAAGCTTCCTGGTGTTAGGTGTCCATGAGCGGCGGTAAGCACTAAATTCTAAGAGATCGGTTGCCTCCTGTCGTTATTTCTAGGAAACATTTTTTTAGTTCAATATCAATAACTATTTGCTATAATAAAAAATACGTGTTGATCGCAGAGGGGTGACAGTTAAGGGTTGTATGCTGTACCATAAAAAAATAAAGACAAAAAGTTTTGTCTACAAAATAAAAATTTATATAATTAATGCAAATATCGTCATAAGAATCGGCCGAGCCGTTTCGGAGGACTATGGGAACGATAATTGTGACACGAGAATTTTATATATTAGATTGCAAAGTTCGTTATCAATGAAAAGCAATATTTATACATCCGAAATTATTTACTGTACGTAAGTTACGTAACCGGTCGTGTGCACCAAAAGCAGTGACCTTAACTCTTAATCAACTACTTGCAAACAGTTCGTCTCACATTATAATTATTATATTATTTATTTTTTAGCCAATTAATTGGCAGCTACTCGTCTAGTCATTATTTAAAATCACGAATAAAAAATATTTTTACAAAATTAAGAACAGTATGAAAGATACAGGATGTAATATAATATATTTTTATACCTATCACTAGCTTTAGGTAATATTCAGAAATGAGACTGCTAAGTGTGACTCGCGTATGTCAAAAACGTATTGAATTGGGGGTCGCAGTTCGCGCTAAGTCTCGTTTCCGAATCTTACCCTTAGATACAAAATTGCAATTGGGAGATTCATGAAAATTCAAGTCAAATTAAATTTAAAAAGCCGTTTTTGTGTTTGTTAAAACAGGCTAGGTTTTAAATTTGATTGACTTTCGAATTGATTTAGGTATTGGAAAAATTGTAATGAACACATACGGGCGGCCGCTCACTCGCTTCCAATTAATTGGCCAACAAAAAGCTCGGTAAAGTTAGGTTTAAGCGGCGGCACTATAAGTCTTATAAACCCTACAACCCACTCTACTGCCTATTGTACATTGCAACTGATCGTAGGCCATACATAATTCCACAAAACTCGTCTTATTGTAACAAGCATTTTATAACATTTATTATTTATTTTTATCTGCGTGTTACGTAGACGAATACATTTGATGAATCACAAATCCATATACAAAATCAAAAACAGGGCGATCGTACATGAATACCATACAATGACTATGTAAGTGCTCGCTATCGTATAACATAAGTAGTGCCCCGCGTTACCGATTTATATTAATATTTATATTCTATAATATATCTATGTATTAAAGTCGGAAGTGATATCGTTTACCACCTCCGATTAACGAGCACACCCGCTAGTAACGTCCATATCGTTCGCACCGATCACTGCAATTTAAGCTCACCGCAATTTGAATTTTTGTCAGAACACGTTATGAGACCAGCCTGTCAAAGGCGTTCTTCCACAAAATAAAATCAACTATCAAAATGAAAAGCGTAAGTACTTTGGTCATTTGTCGGCACTCCATAAACAAGAGATAAAATGTAAAACGATTCCAAACAGGGGCACGATGTCTCACTCCGCTAAATAATCCATAAGGAGGCAAAAACAAAACGCTTACGATATATTCGTCTCACTCCGTTAAGCTGTAAATGATTCGATCGAAAGGGACAACATCAGTGGCGATGACGGTGGGGGCGGGGAGCGCGGGTCGCGGCGCGCGGGGGTCAGCGGCGCAGAAGTGCGGGAAGGTCGGCGAAGGCACAGGCGCCGAGGGACGCTCGCGCCATACGCCGCAGGAGCTCACGGGAGTGCGACACGCACGCTTCCACCGGCGATATCCACGGCATGCCTTGGAACTCTATATAGGACAGATTTATTACAATCAGTTGTAGTTTTATGTAGTTACTTTAGCGTAGGATGAACACTACGATTTAATTATACGAATTTTATTTATTTTATTATCTATACTCTGATTTCTAATTCCGTAGAGTTCTGACATTTCATAAATTTAGCTACTAAAAAAGTTCTCCACCGAAAAACTGACAAATTTGACCCATTTTAGGGCAATAAAATAAAATGCTACGTATTTTTTATATTTAACCTACAAAAAGGTAAATCAAAATATTTACTTTCTCAAATGACTGTTCTTTAGCTGGCATCACTGCCTACCAATTCCAGGTTTTAAATAAAATTAAATGTTATCTACTTGTGCGTTTTTTACTGTTTGTGATGAAAAGGGACGTAATTATCACTCGCCGTAAAACCACTTTTAATGTTGAGCACCGCACTTAATAAAATGGATACATTCACTAACAAATAAAATGTTTGTATAGAGACAGATGTTGACTCGTATTGAAATTAAAAAATGTGCCAGGCCAAAAAGGTTTGTAATATCTGACATGTCAAAAAATGATAGCTGTCAGAATTCTACGGAATTAAAAGTCAGAGTATAGCATTACAGCATCTTAACACTAATTCGATAGCAAAAAAAAGAAAAATTTACCCAAGCATTATCAAAACAAATAATAGTCAATGTCACTCTTGTGAATAAGACGTTTAATTGAATATATGAATAAAAAATATATTTTATATGGTCATTTGTGATTGTCACTTAAAAACACTTTGAAGCTCTGCTTAATTCAATTTGTTCGTCCATTTTTGGAAAAGAAATAAGTATAGCTAAAAATGTCTAGCACTAAGAGATCACTAAACCCGTCTTTTACGTTATAGTAAGCCTATTAACGAGTATATTTATTTTCCTAACTTATTTTTTTTTTTAATATTTTAAGTTATTATAAAGAGTTTCCACATAGTTTTTACTTTTCTGTTTATTTATGTATGTAGTGTAGTATACTTACCCAGTATAGCGGAATTGAGCGCTTCGCAGACAGCCTCGCGGCGCACCGGCTCTAATTGCCAGCCCAGCGGGCTGTCCCATGGGTTGCTATAAGCTAACAGGCTAAAGGCATCCTGCAATGTACATTATAATATCCCAATCTATGTGTTTAATTTCTAACAATTCCTTAAAAATGCAATGTTACAATAGAATGATTCTGTTGTATAAGAACCGCTTGACGCATTTAGTATACATTCGTTTATCCAGGAGGTAAGCCCAAGTTACCAAATTCGCTTGTGACTTCAATTCAATTACGCATCTTCGGCCAATATCAGACATGAGCGAAGTTCGAGTTCACTTACAGAATCGAAAAAAACTATACCGATTTCCACTATTGACAAGATAAGTAGGGGAATTATTATTTTCTAACAAAATTCTCATTTTGATGTTTGCATATGCGCATTTTGGAACTAATTTTAAATGTTTCTTTCTTCTTTTTAATTTTAATGACTTGAAACTGATGTACTCGGAAAATAATATAGAAATCTGTTACCTTTTCAATTATAATAATATAACCTTGGTGCCTGAAAATTAAGTCTTAGTCTGATGATTAGGTGAGTAAACTTATACTATACCTCTAGCATTGACTTGTGGAAATGGTCCTGTGACAACTTCTGGCTCATGGCATACAGCTCTCGTCCGAACGAGAGCATACGTTCCACGCTTACGCGGCAAGCTTCACCTTCTGTACATATATATAATATATCTGTTATTACGTATATATTATTTTTAACTAACCAGATACAAATTATTCTTTGCTAGTGAGAACTTACGGTACTCCAGAAACACAAAACTAATTCAAATCAGTTACAAAGTTTCTCTTTGAAGCATTTATATACTTTGGCTACTTTAATATATATTCTGATTTGACACAACAGAAGTCGAACATGTTAGTCACTGTCAATTTACATAAATTACTTGAATCGGTGGTAATTTTTAATATGAGAAAAATAATATCAAAGTACTTACTTATTCGCTAAATAATTAAGAAATTAGTTTAATCGATAACCAATCACACAGACGTGGTAAGGGATTTCGGAAAGTGACGTCACGATATCGATAAACGTGATAGTTTGTGTGTATGTATCCGTCCGTGTATATCATGCGTTGTATATAGATAATATATATATAGAAAACAAGGAACATGCATAATATAATATATCGCCATGTTTTGATAACCATCCCATTAATCTGCATGCTCAACCAATGATGAAATGTTAAATTTTTCATTGCAACAAGCATTGAAGTCTTAGACCAATGCAAATAAGTTCATTCAAATGGACTTAATAGACTCGTCAAATTTGCTGTAAACTAGAAATATTTGCAAAAAAAAAAGTGCGTGCGTACAAAGTACACATGTCAGAAGTGAAAAGTTCTTTGGCTTTTAGAATTTCTATAAGATATTTCGATACGCCCTTTTCACTCTCTCTCTCAATCGGTCTGTCTTTTTCATTTCGGTCATTGTGACCCCAATATCATTATTATTGCGTTTCATTCGTAAAAATGTTACCCTCATGCGCCTAAAGAAGGATCACTTTAAAAATTAAATTTGAGTTGCAACCAAATATTTTTATTACAGCAAATTCAACCGATGAACTTAGATTATGAAAATGAATAATGTTAGACGACATCAGTTGTTAAATTGATAAGAGAGAAGTCAGTCGAAGAGACCAAGTGCACGCACAATCTCACGCCAACACACTGACCATGTTTCGTGTCAAGCGGTAGCTAATTAATACACTGGTAACCCGTTCGCATCAAAACTACTCTACATAATTAAAGGTGAGTAAAGGAATTAAAGTGATTCGTTAGGTCATTTTAAAAAACATTGCAAACAGGAAAATTTCCTATTAAAAGCAAATTGCTGAGACTCTAATAAACTTGTTAAAATTAATAACGTTAGCTAGCGCGTGTCACGACCGGTCGACATTAGTACGATACGCACCGAACCGGCGCGGCGATAGCAGGGCGGCGACGCACGCGGTGACGCCCGGCATGCCTTTCACTGGCTCCGAACCTAAAACCACCACCCTCGCTCAACCTGCGACCCTTCACTTAGGGCGCGACCACCCCACATGCATTTTGACGTGTGCCGTATTGGCAATAGCAAAAGCTAGTAATTCTATGTTTACCCATGTCACTAAGCAGCACAAGATCCTAAATATTCCTAACCTATACAGTGATTCTTTCAAAATATATACAATTTACGATATATTTTAATATTTCATACAAATTGTGTAACTTTCGAGAGCAATCTTCTGGCAGCATTACAAGTGTATGACAATTTAAAATGGCAAGACGATCGAGTCTAGGTATATTTTCTTTTAGACTCGGCCGTATTCCCTTAAAAATCATCAAAACGTATTTCTTACCATTGGTACTTCCTGTAATTCCCGGTGATTACTCATGCGTTAGCGCAAATGACATAAGAAGCCCTAAGTGCAAGTCCCACATAGGAAAAGATCCACTTATTGCGTCATTAAAACGGAACATCTGCCCAAATTATTATCGCTTAAATACATTGGATTTGCTCAAGTTGCTTATTAATATTAAGGCAATACGTGAATCTTGTCCAGAGCCCGGGCAGATGGCGGATGGCGTGATTAACAAGGCCGCATGCTAACTAAGTTATTACATCCCAAGAAAAACATTGCAATATAAAACGGTAACCCAATGTTTCTTATTTGAACTTGGGTTCATTAATTCTAATCTTCTCTGCATATTTCGTCTAAAACCTTAGACTACAATGAAAGTTTCAAATAAATCGAAATTTTGTTATTGAAATGGGATGGTATTAGTTTATACAAAATACTATAGACACATATATTATATTAATATTATGATTAAATAAGTATAACTAAAAAGCGACGAGCAAATAAAATATAAATGTTATAAAACGATAATTATAAATAAAATATTATGTATGAGTGATATGATGTGCAAATAATAATTAACCATGTATTTACATAATTATTAAATAATTTTAAAACGTAAATGTTTTGTGTCTAATTTTAAATTAAATTCTTTCTTAATATTTTTAGGACCTTTTTCCTCGGAGATTCGTAAACCATATAGTAATTAGGCTCATTTGATATAAAGTTTTAAAAATAAATTAATTCCTAAAGAATTATTCCTTTCGTTATAACAGACGGAGGAATGGAGAAATTAATCAGTAATTTACTTCTTGAGTCAATTTCCAAACTTATATAATTATCAGTGTTTATATTTCAATTATGTAAGTTCTAAATTCTTAAATCTTTAATAACATCGTAAAAGTACTTACCGTCGAGCTCACCGTTGGGTGAATCGGCCGAATCCGTAGCGGGTGGCGCCGGCACCATTTCTACATCACAATTTTGTTTCAGTTCTATATCTATCACACCTGTAAAAACACAATTTTTGATATAACCGTATTTCCTTTGAAATAGATTTTGGAGGAAGTATGTTAGTGCGCATCCTCCGACCTCCATCCTGGACCAATCAAAGCACTGGTCCTAGTGATAAAGGTCCGTACCATTTCCAGTACCAGTCCATTTATTTTAGAAAGAGATACTCGCTTTGTAGAGCGTCATCTTTGTCACACGAAACACTACAGTCCGGTAGAGTCTGGCTAATGAAAGAAGATAATTGAATTATTTGAAAACTTTTGGATGGCAACACAGAATTTCATTGAATTTCATATATGTTTCTATTATTAAATAGAACTATTGAAAATAGCTTATTGTTTATTACATTTACGTTGTAAATATAAAGATAAAAATGAATCATCAGTATTCACCATTAGTATGGAGGCCGTTGTGAGTGTGGTGGTCAGAGGAGGGCGAATGCGCCCTCGAGGTGTGAGATATCACCGACGTCGCCACGCCATTGTGGTTGGTCCCACCGCACTGCTGGAAGGTGATTAAAAATATAAGTAAGATAGAAAAATTAAACTACTTTTAAATACATATTACCCTTATTAACCTAGGTATCTATTGTGAATCGGATGCATCTTAAAAACTACTGAAACGATTTTAATGTAATTGTTGGAATATACCTGATTCAATTTGTGAACAAATGGTACGTAATTTTGCCGTATTATACATATAAGCCGCGACTCGTCGCTAAATTATCATAATAGGCATTCGTATGGCATGAGACTGATGTCAGTGGCGACACTAATTCTAGAACGAACTTAATCTAAAAGCCAATTCCGTAGGTAAGAATATCACTATACAATTTAGGAAATAATGCACAGAAAATAACTTTAGGAATACTCCCAGGTTCTTAATTTAAGGATAAATTAAATTTAAAAATATGCATGTCAATAATGATACATGTTAAATTGATAACCTTCTATTGATTTGTTATAGTGGGTTAAAAATCGTACCAAACCTCATAGCTGCAACCAAGTAACAAGCTCTAAGCTAATGTTAGAAGTTGTTTATTTAAATACACAAATAGTTCAAGACACAAAAAACTTTAAGTAATGAGAAAATTATAGTAAACAATTTAGGATCATAGAGACGTCCGATTACTACAAATATTTTATGATAAATTTATTTATTTATAAAACGGTGACCCAACGGACAATAATATCTTTTATTTAGAATTAGAAACAAACAAAAAATTAAAAAGAAATTGTACACTCTAACACAGTAATTAAATAAAAAAATTGTTGTCGGTAAAGTCGGTTTACGGACGATAGTTTAACGTGACCACGTCATAACAACACATTGCACACTTAATGAATAAAATAAAAATATTTTTATTGAATTATCACTATATTGTATGGATACAAAAAAGGAGTGAATCCTCGGGCGCATAAGCGAATCCAGTGGTAGAGAGATAGGTACGGCGCAAGCGTACAATAAGCGTAACGGGACAATAAGTCAGTCTTTATCGCGCGTGCAGCCAGCGTTCATCGATTTATTAGACGTTGACACGTCAAAAAGAATAAGACATGATGTAAAATATAAGACAAACCTGTGCATCATCAGCCGTGCCATTGACCATCTCAACAAACTGGCGGCACTTTAGGAGGAAGAGTAGGTCTGGATCTCTCTCCAAGAGTCCTGGATACCAACGCCGTGTGCTCTCTATCGCCTCGCCGATACGCCCGCTTAGCACCAACGAAGATATCCCTGTAACATTATTTTGTTTGTTAATATAAAGGTGAAGTACAGGAAACTGTAATTTAATGCCCATTAGCCTACACTATGACTATTATTTAAATATTTACAAATTATAAGTTATCGAATAAATAACTAAAGTACGGCTGTTGTCTCTGGGAATTAAAACAACATGTTTGAAACAGCTCAATAGTAGAAAATCCGACACTAATGGAATACTAAGTACAAACTTTTTAATAGTTTCACGAAGAACTCGTACGTTACTCATAAAGTGTATGTATCGATTCGACTAATGTCAGGGAATGTAAGATTTTTTTGATACTTCGTAACAACACGTTTGACTACTTAAGTCTGTGCGAAGAAGAACCGTCATGGGATTTCATCGCTTAAGTGCTAAAATCTTTTTTGTTACAGATACGTCATTATAGGGCAACGGGAACTTTCATACTGAATAAAATAAAAGTATTTTTCAATAAATAATTTTATTTTAAAGCAAACTATTATATTAATTAGAAGCCGCCAATTCTTCCGCTCAGACTATTTGACACAAGACTCTAATATAATATTTTTAATGTCTCATTGACACGATAACTTTTTTACCCAACCCCGAAATTTTATTATAAACAAATTATACATACGTTGTCGATTCTTGATTGAGGCGATATCCTCGTGTATGTGTTGGCCCGTGGCGCGGGAGAAGGATTGAGCTGATCCACAGTATCCATGGTGTACCAAATATGATGACACCATTCTGCAATAAGTCAAGACAAGGGTAACAAAATTATCTAGCGATTAAACATTTTGAGGCTTAAAAAAACTTACAAGTGAAACATGCCCAAGACCTAGAAGGGAGGCCCAGTCGAATAATATTTCAACAAAATGTTTTCATAAGATCTACACTATATTGTACAGAGTAATTTGATAGATTTGCTTGTCATCTGTTTGTATTGAATAGGCTCTTAAACTACTGGACCGATTTGAAAAATTATTTCATCGTTAAAACCTACATTATCCCTGATGAACAATAATACATATAGAATATTTTAAAAACAGATAACTTGTAAAAAAAACCCTATATTGCGTACGTTGCGATAACTATCGACAATAGAGCAAAGTGTCTATATACCTACTACAGTTTTATAGAAGACATTAATATCTACAAAAACTCGTTAATAATATGTCAAAAAATAACTTGGCCTATAGCTTCCGTGTGTATGCTTTTGTGATTTTAATGAGCATTGTTGACCCTGCGACATATTGACTTAAAGGAAAACGTCGTGAGGAAACTGGCACGTCTTTGGCCTAAAAGTCGTGTCAACCCCAGAAGGATGATCACCTACTTATCTATGAAGAAAAGAAAATGTCCAAGAATCAGACTTAGGTATCTGAGGCCAAGACCAAAAGTTGTAGTGTCATCGTTTCTTCTGGACTATGAGTTTAACAAGAAATAAAATAATACAATTTTTTTTTATAGAACAGGTCAAACAGGCAGGAGGCTCACCTGATGTTAAGTGATACCGCCGCCCATTGACACTCTCAATGCCAGAAGGCTCGCAAGTACGTTGCCGGCCTTTTAAGAATTGGTACGCTCTTTTCTTGAAGGACCCTAAGTCGAATTTATTCGGAAATACTTCAGTGGGCAGCTGGTTCCACATAGCGGTGGTGCGCGGCAAGAATTGCCTTGAAGTTTTTCAAGTTCAGTTTCAAGCTCAGTCGTGGAAAAGTAATCACCAAAACCATTACTAGTCACGTCAAGTGAATACAAAATTGATTCAAATTCCGGTAAAAATGAAAACAATGTTCTTCAATGTACTTGAGTATTTAGAAAATCTCATTTTACTGAAGCAGTTTTTTTAGATACATACCTAGTTTCAATCTAAAAGATAAATTTACTAAAAGACTTATAAAATCTATAATAACATTCCATAAGCACCTGTGAAGCACCTGCTGCCACTGGCCCTGCTCATCGGGTAGTGGGAATTCGTCAATTGCGAGACGCGTGCGCGCACGCAACTCTCGCAGCATATCTTCAATGTCGAATACGAACGGCTGCTGCCCAAAGTTTGCGTCTACTACCTCACCAGGCGTCTGAAGTCCCACAGTCGGATATAGATTGGCCTGCAAGGTATTTTACCGTAATTACGTTATAAAATTAATTATGAAGAACAAGTTCAACCTATACTTTAACAATTTAGAGTAGTAATTGTAGTTGTACCTCAGTAGCGATCTATCAATAAAATATAATTCTCAAAAATCTTAGATACCATCACACGCACCGGAAGTCCTCTGAAGGCGATACCGAGATGGTGTCCGTTCTTTGTGTAAAAGCAGGTATTGTCGACAAGGTTCACTCCGCAGCCGATGACGTCACCAGTCGTAAAGGTAGGACCGTAAGGTTGCCCCGTTCCGGACGAGCAGAAGGAATGTCCGTCGTCGCCATGGTAACCGTATGAGTGTTTGTCCCAGCCTGAAATATCACGTCGTAAATAAAACGGATGCACAAGATTAACTGAAATAATTGTAAAATCTTATACGTATTGAGGCAACACTCGAGCGGCTTGTCGTGCGCGTCAGCGGTCATCGGGTACGAGCTCTAAAGATGCGAGGTATACGTGAAGAGGCCATCCTAGCGATGTTTCTCGCAGCAGTAGAGTACCTAAGAACCCTTACTTGCGGCTAGTACACACCGGGCAGTCTATTCATGTTGACGCCATGAGCCGACAGGCCGATGCCCATGTAGCCATCCCGTCCCTTCGACACGATGCGCACCTCAAAGTAGTAAAGCCCGCAAGCGGCAGGGATGGGATGTGTGGCACGGACGCTGGCTGCATCCTTGTGGGTTTTGCCATGACCTGTAATTTTACAAATGCTCATATTACATGTGCCCTAATAAGCAACTTGATTGAGATTAAAACACTAGTGTTACTTGTTGATATACTTTTTACCTACACTGTATAATAAAAATATAATGTTTAAAATTGACTGTAGTTATAAAAAATCACTGCTATCAAATAAAATAGTAAAAAGCGTCAAATAATATAAAAATATTATCGTGAAGCGCCGTCTATTTCTGGAATAGATTGGTGCGTTCGTTCTACTAAAATATCTACTTTTGGAGTTGTGATATTAATTAGATAAAATTACCCACAAATAAAAACTACTTATAAGATCAAGAATTCAAACATAGCATATATTAAGAAATGCGTGTATTTCATCTGTTTTGTAGAAGAAAATTAATTCTTAAACACTGTACCATAACCACAGACTAATTTACATGTTCAGGAAATATGTTGAGAATTATACAAACGTTACGCATCAAGAATTGGAATATATTACAGCCAAATACGAAACTTTTGGAACCGCAAGGTCAGTGGTCGGTGTTAACGACCTTATGCCTCAACTACTAGGCGAATCACACCATACCTTTTAAAACAAAGGCAGCAGGCAGAAACCAGGGATCTCTACTTGCTACGGCCCTAACATACCTCTCTTATCATCCACTTTCATGACATTCACCATGCATGCTTGTCGGTCATGGGTACTATTAACTTGTCCCTTCTCTAGTACTTCCATTTGGTCCAGGTATGTACAACAAAGCCTAGCCAACCCGATCTAACCATCCACGGTTTACTTGTTACCCGCTTAATATTTATAATGATTATTAAATAGCAGATATATGCGGAAGTAAAAGTGGGTATCATGGTGTGAATGTATTAGCATACAAACACAACTCATTGCTAAATATATTAGAATCACACGTAAATAGCACGGTGAGCGCGTGTTGGTAAACATTATCAAGCGTATCAAGGTCGACCGTAGTAAAAACTGCGTAAATAGTCCCGTTGCCAGCAAAACAATCGGTTCTAACCACGGCGTCCATGTAGATGGAGACGCCACGCCAACGCATAGATATCTTAAAAATCGCCCACCAAATAAATACGCCTCATTCTAATGATCAGAAAGTGATACTTTCCAACCCATCTAAAATTAATCTGGTGAGCTTGTATGTATAATAACGTTTTCGTAGAAATAGGTTTTGCAATATCTGATACGGTTTGCAGACATAAAATGAATAAATGCGAAATCAATTTTCGCATATCTGCTCTCTCGAAGGATGGTCGAGAACAAAGTGCGTATTCCAAAGATGTGAGCGTCTCTCGCGCAGGTTAACAACCCCATGTTTACGAACGCGATTTATTTATTTTGCGATAGTACTGCCCGCAACAGCTATATATATATACATTATACACGTTATAGTTTTTAAGATATTAAGAAATTTGATACCATTATCATTAACAAGCTAATCAGGACTACAAAGAACGATTTTATTCGAGTGAAATCGAATTAAATTTTAACAAACTTTTTACATAGAACTCAATATTGCGTTGTTATTAAAAAAATATGACGAATATAGGTAATCTATCACGTGTAGACTATAAAACGTCATTAATAATAATAACAATACTTCATTCGTGTTCCACTTTACACAATATACATGATAAGCGTAATAGCTAGAACTCAAACCTTGATTTAAATTTTATGTAAGTTCTTTTTCGTTTATTATAATTAGTTTCTGAGTCTCGACTTAGCTTAGGTTTCACCCTTACACTTCATTGTAATGGCATTTGATTTAGAAATAACATGACTATAATTTAATTTTAAATCGACCTTAATCGATTTTCAAAATTTGACAATTTTTGTTTTAAATTCGAATACACAAATAAATAATTACTGATTATGGGTAAAGACTCAACGATAAAGGTGAACGACTGAACAATTTAAAACAAGATTGCCTTCACATAATTAAATCCATGTTATAAAGAAAATGTTAGTATCGCAAACAATACTGATGCATTTTTTGTTCGCAATGAATAATACATTGCCCTCCACCTGCAGCGGTTACTGTCTCTAATGAATCATCAACGGACGAAAACACACGGAGAGACGAAATATGAGACACTCATGAATAGAGAAGTACTGTTCTATTAAAGAATCAGATGATTGTTGTAAACTTTTGAATGCCGAAATGTAGTCTAATAAATGAAGCCTGTCACATGCCGCTATATATTCTTATTACTAAACTTAAAACTAAACTAAACTAAACTACTACTAAGACTTAATTGCAAAATAAAAAGTTTTCATTTTATAGAACTTTATAATTATCCATTTTAATAGTAACACTAAATACAAAATTTTCGTGTTAATAATTAAAGAAACTAGAACATAAATATTTAGCTAGATTAAGCATAAAAACATGCAATAAATTAGTAGCTATAATACAAACCATAACCGTTATAATAATACAAAAAGTAGACGGGCGACTCGCTTTATGAAGCCACTCCAGTAATTAAAACTTTAAATTCCGCGAATACGAGGAAAACATTATCTATTCACATTCAGTTCCATTAATTTAGCAATGATGAAAGGATTCTTTGCAATATTTTTCTGAAAGACGACGATTTGGTAACTTAATAAGTTATTTTCTAAGTCTTCTTTTTAATAGTAATACTACACATATTATTAACAGTAACATTCGGATTCGAAATTTTGCGTTACTCCTACAAAATCTTTAAAGCCTCCATTCTGAATTTTACCCTAAGACTAACAGAATTCCAAACAATCGTGACGAGTGTTTTTCAAGCTCTGTTCGTATTGATTCAGTTTCAAAGACAGGTGTGTATAAGCCTGACCATTGTGGTCTGTAATTTTCTTGAAAACTCTTGAAGAGTTTCAATCAATACTGAGACCGTGCGCTTTTCAATAAAAACGCTTTAAGATCTAAGCAAAATGTATTAAATATTGCTGCGAAGAGCGCGGTTGATAATATAAAAATTTCACGAAGCTTAGCATGAAATTTATAAAGTTTGTTTATACATAGCTAACTTACTATACAGAGTTCTTGCTCTATGTAATCTATGGATTCGGATTTATAGTCCTTTAGGGCTAATCATTTACTGAGTTTCAAGCGTGACTACTAAACTACGTAAACAATGGCTACGTTTTCATGCATAGCAAAATCAGGTACAATTACAATACAGGCTTTAAAAACCTGAGGTTAAAGCGAATTTTTTTCGCATGACCTTAACCTTTGCCGTTAAGGCTGTTGCCAGGCAACAGGGCACGTAAGAGCAGCGCATTGCGGGACACCCGCAACTAAATACAGCATTACATAAATTGAATTCACCAGCTCCAACTCTCGATTTATTCATTGAACTTAATATTATTATAATTTTTAGCATACTGAGGCACTACTTGACATACGTATGAAAATCGAGCTTAAAAATTCAGGATAAATTTAATGAATTTTACCATATGGGAAATGATAAAGTCCAAGAAACGTAAACAGTATTAAGGGTCTACAATTAGTTTACTAAAAAAATTTGTACCCCAGAACGGTATTGTCAGTTACTAAAGTATTGTAAGACATTAAATGAGTTTTCATATATGCCCCGATGTCGAAAGGATATACAATAATTGTAGGCCCTTAAGGTTAGGAAAACAATGAAAAATCTACAACTAATTAGACACAACACATTACCTATATACCTAAAAAAAAATTGCTAACAAACAGAGCATACGTCTATTTAAAAATTACTTTTTGCAAACTATTTCCTATTTCCTCGTTACAGAACATAAAGAACTACGCTTTATAGCTCCATAAGTTGACTTCGAACAGATAATTACGAAATCAGATACATGTAGCAATAGTATCAGAGATAAAAGACATATTATTCTTCCTTGCGCTGTTTGTTAACAAGCTCATATATATTATATGCACGTACGATACATCCAGAGGCGTAAGTGGAAATAGGGCAGGTGGGGTCTTCTTCCCGGACCCTGCGTCCCACCTTACAAAAGAGAAAACCACTTCCATTAAACAGTTCACACGAGCCCCATACACCACTTACGCGTCCAGCTGCTCGGTCCTTATCCAATCCAGAAATCTTATCACGACGATTTTAAAGTTATGCCAGAGGTGCGGCGAGTAAGCAAGGTGGAAGCTCGAAGAGGGCACAACTCTAAAATCTAAATCTCTAATGCTTGGGACATCTGCGATTGAGACTCATTGGCTGGGAGCTGGTTTTAACGGATTAAATCGACTGCGTCAGAGTCGTTACATACAATTTAGAGTACCTCGATTTTAATCCACTAAAATTGCATTCACCAATGTTTGTTTTTATAGCAAACATTATACAAATGACGCAAAGCAATGCGAGCAATGTGCGACATTATCGCAAACCATGCAAAGTTTTTCCTGATAAACGAGCAATAAGAGCAAAGTGGTGCTATGGAGCCGATTATACTCTATCATCTATTTAATTCTAATTACACTATTTTACTAATTATTTTAAACTACTTTAGTTGTCCAACGTCTAAAACCCGTTATATAAAATGCTGCTAAGGCCTCTCCTCTACGTATTTTTCAAATTAAACCTACTCGATATTGTTAATATCTGAATCGTATGTACTGACATAAGAATCACTCATAGAATCAGGTTTGTCGAGGAAGGCGAGTTTTTGTGACTTGTACCGCTGTAAAAGTTATGAAGTTGCGTATCATATGCTAGGTATGTCAACAGACAAAAATACGAAATTACTAAGTAGACAAAATGGAAACTCAATTAATTTATCACTTTGACTTGACGCTGTCCGCAAACAATTGTGATGTTATTTAATAATATAATATTTAAAAATAAATCACTGCCGCTACAACCTTTTTAGGTCTGGGCCTCAGATTTCTGTAACTGTTTCATGATCATTTCTCAATGTAGCAGGTGATCAGCCTTCTGTGTCTGACACACACCGTCGACGTTTTTGGTCTAAGGCAAGCCGATTTTCCTTCACTGTTCGAGCGAATGTTAAATGCGCACATAGAAAGAAGTCCATTGGTGCACAGCCGGGGATCGAACCTACGACCTCAGGGATGAGAGTCGCAAGCTGACTAAAACTGCTTTAATATTTAGCAATATTAAAACCAAATTCTCAATAATTCTGACATATACACCCTCCTGAGATTAACTTTGTGAAATGAACTTGGCCCGATATTGGCGTGACCTACATTGTTTCGGCGGCCAACTTGACACCGATAAACACGAACCACTCTTTACATGAAGTATCCATTTAACTTAAGCACGTCTTTTCTATGGAAACGCATAGAAATTCATCCATGGGGGATTAGAAAGTCATTTCTATGGGACATTTTAAAGGCAAGTAATCCTTCTACATACTTTACAAAAACTAATGAAATATGAAATGAGAGAAAATTACCTTAAAGTACTCTAATCCACTCCCTTTAATTAATGTGCTCAGTTTTACTGTCATACAGTACGTAAGCGTTTACATAAGACCCACAGATAACTTTAAAAGTAGCTAACTCATAACTATACACATATAATTATAGTCTCTTAACACCGTAGCAAGTAGAACTTGACCTCAGATATTTATTCAAATTAGATAACTAGAAAACAAAAATCGTTGAACTAAAAACTGTTTACCATTTAAAGTATAAAAGAACCGTTACGAAAAGTCTGAAAGCAAATTTAATTTTGTTATGTTTAACGTATTTTGTTCAGCTGAACAAAAACATCAGAGCACAGCAACTGAAAACTTCTAATGTCAAACGTAACAAAGTAAGATTACCATTGTTTTAAGAATGTATATTTATGTAATCTCAACCTTTTACCATGGAAAATACAGTTGATTTTTCAATGCTCAACTATCTAATATTCCTATTCATGCACCTCGGAAGCAAGGCCAGCAAGCTTATTAAAGGCAGCGAATATAGACCTTACGACGAGGGCATAAGAATGGATTTAAGATGCAGAGCAGTAATGCGAGGGTGGGGATCCACGTGGCGACCCAACGCAAACGAGCTTGACCTAGTTAGTAGATGCTCATGCACCATTTCGGTCCTATTACGAAAGCCCTTCACCAATGCGTATATCTTTCTGTTTCTAATCCTTACTACATATTATATTTTGTTCCTGGACAAAGTACTTTGCGATGATTTAACTTCGGGACTTTTTCGCATATTTTACCGTAAATTTTACGCATACGTTACTGAAAAATTCTACGTGAAACATTAGCGTTCGAGTAAATACTAAATTTTCTGTTTAAATAAGAAATCCAGATCTATATTTATCTATTACGGCAGAAGTGCAGATGTTAGTGTTAATGAAGAAATATGCATCGTAGGTTTTGGCAGAGCGCCGTATAGCAGTGTTGTCAACTATTTTTGATACGAATATTCTGTAAAAACCAAACAAAGAAACTGGACCAGAAGTACATATTTGTAAAATACATAACTCCTATCCAACGTTCCGTAATTTGTGGTCAAGAAAGGTTGCTTTACTAATATGGATTATAATGGCATTTGAGTTATCAATGTTGGGATTAATTCTATTTTTAAAATATTAGGATTTCCATATTTGAAAACTTTACCACCGTAGTTCCGTAGTAAAAAAGTATGCGCATACGCACAGTGACCAAAAGAAAAGGTCGCAGAGACAACGTCGACGTTGAGACGACTTAAAGGTTCCATTATAATCCAGCTAAAGTAAAATTAATTTAGATTTTTATTTACGTACATCCTGTTCTGTGTTAAAAATATATAGAAAAGTACGTACGTAAAGTGTGTAATTCATATTAAATAAACAAAATATAAACAATCAATATAATTATGAATGTATAATAAATATTTAGTCCCTGTTGCATTCTTATTACCGTAGAAATGTGGGTCAAGTAATGTAAAATGCAAATGTTGCAAGCGACAAACACCGTGTGGCTAACGGCTTTTATGTACAGCACTCATAGTTAAGGTATTTGTTTTCAATTGATAAACTATTTGTTTAAAAAAGAACGCCAATTACATCACAAAAAATCAAAGTCACGCTTTAAAATAAAACCTATATAGTATATATTTATGCTTTTAGGGTAAACGTATACAACCAAAATTGAAGAACGTTATAATGAGCACTACGGTTCATTGACTGCGAACAAAGACAAAGAGAATAAGTTTAATCCTGTTAGCGAGCAATCTTCCTATTGCTTCTGACTGATCTTGAGACATTCGATGACCTAAGGACAAGAAGTCTTTCGAATTGTAAAGTCTTAAGCAACGATGAGCTAAGCTTATAGCAATACAATTCATTTTAGACATTAATGATATTATGTAATTAACGTATCAGCAGTATTAAAATTCAAACGACATAATATAAAGAAACCTATGCTACTATGTGTCAATACATATGTATATGAATTGCATAATTTACTGTCAATACAATGTTGTCTAAAGGAATAGAATCAATCTTCGTAGCTGCTAAGAAACGTTTCCTTAAAGAACTATTTTTTTTTTAAATCCGTTCATCAACCAGTCCTATTTTAACACTGGTACTGTATAATTTGACTAAAAGTTCAATAATTAGATGAAAAAAGCAATTCAATTAAAGACTGTAGAAAAGTTAGTAATATAAATAAGTACAGTGTCCTAGCATAATTAATGTCAATAGATCTACGAGGGGTAATTTTCAGAAAGTTGCACGCACTCCATGACCTCATTCCCTAACGACCTTTCAATCCCTTGGGGTGAAATCCACATAAGTGACATTTTTAAGAGTAAGAACTTATCTTCTTTTGCAATAACAGTTTTTGAAAGTTGTTTATAAAACTTTTAAGACAAAGAAAAAATATACAAGAATACTTTCGGAGTAGAATTAGAACATCATACGTGGGTATACATATACCGTCCGGTATATGTATAAAACAAGTTTAGAAATAATTTAAAAATTGCGTAATACTGAGATGAGTGCTTTCTAGTTTACGTCATTATATAATATACAAGTTTCTTGACGTTTGACGATACGAATAACAAGATTTATATAAAAACGTATCACATAATAATAGTAACAGCCTTCACGCCGTTGATTTTTATACTTCCTACCATCATGTAGGATATTACCTAGAGTCCTAAATATCATCTACCAACTGTATCTTTTGTATTTCATAAAAAAAATATTTTAATCTAACTTTCATACCATAACAGCAGAAAATAATAAATAGTAGGATATAATTACATTCAATTTCAAACGCGGAAATAATCGATTCTTCCATAAACAATCAAGCACGTCACAAATAGTTACAACATACTATGTAGATTATCAGAAGATCTACGCCCTGCCTACACAACTTCTCTATTGTATCTAAGATTGTTGGCATTAATTCAAGCGACAATAAAAAAAATAGTCACTCCTAATTCATGCGTACCATCTTGTAATACGTGATTTGGTGCTTCAATCGTTTTCAATAATGGTTTCGATAACACATTTTTTTTAACAATTCTATTATTAACGCAGGGAAAAATGTTAGGTAGTCCGCAATTCAATCGATATTCGCCAATAGGTCATTATTGAACATAGATTATGAATTTTACATCGACTGCATCGCTACTGCAACTGGCAACGGATATAAATAACATTCGAACGAAGGCTTTGTGAATTAGACTGTGTCAAATCACAATTCACATATTACCAATTTACTGTAGAGTCCTCTTGCATAAGTCAATTATACAAAGTAAAACATCGAAAACGAAATCAATTTTTAATACAGAAGTTTTTGAAGATTATTATTATTATTCTACTTCTTATTTCGAAACTCAGACTAGTCCAACTTGTGAGATTTGTAAGCCCTATCGATTCTAACGATAAAATTGTCATTTGATAAGCTCTTTGTACTAAAACAGACCTCAAAATGCTCCGTCTGGAGTCTAGACTAAGTCTAGACAATTTTAGGCAAGTGCATTGGCTTTTCCAAGCACAGGTCGACACCCGACTCGACGTGATATATTGTATACGTAAGGATTTAAATAATCAACTATCGGTAGTTATATAAAAATAGAAGCGCGTAAAATTAAATCGAAATTAAATTTATTGGGAGTCAAAACTACCAATGAGACCAATCAGCAGATAAAATAATGTGGTGTTCAAAGAAAATTTTATAATTACAATTTATTTTACATTGCATTTAAAGTTGATTGCCACGAAGACCAGAGGGACAACAATCTCATATGTAAGAAAATAGCCAATAAGTTTTTAATACAGAAGATTACATCAGCTAAGAGGATAAATTGTACTTAAATCTCTGCAATCAGGTGTAAAGTGGGATATATTGAATTAGTTATAGGAATGCCAATGGTGATGCCTATAATGTAATTGTGATGCAAACACAAACAAAAAGCATATAGGAATGTCCATTAAAAATGTAGTAAATCCAAACCACACAAAGAAATTTTATTTAAAGTTTACAATTGTTACTAAAATGTTCTTAAATATAACCTTTAACCACATCTATCTAATCCTTAATGAACATTAATGATAAAATTATTAGATAACAAACTTTTCTTGTTTACTTTTTAAAGACATTTACAATTTTTTTTAATAATAATAAAAACAAATAAAATCTTATAAACATGAATAATGCAAAAAAAGCTGATTTGTAAAAAAAATTTGTTACTGGCTTCAAATATATCCACAATTTCATATAGAGAATGTAAAATAACTGTGTACAAAATAACTTTATCTTCTTTTATAATTAGTTAAAATAAAAATTCATAGTTAAAGTATATTATAGTAGTACTAGTACTAGTATTCATAGTTACCTATATTTTAAGAAATATTAATTGTTAAACTGTTTAATCCATTTTTTTAAGTGTAATGTTTAAAAATTATTTAAATTACAAAAATAATCTTCATACACAATTGTTTGAGACTGAATACTTCCAATTATATTTTTTCACTTTAAAAACAGCTTTCTGTTTAAAAAATATATTAGATTTACCATCCTTTTATAGCATTAAGTTCTGTCAATGTTAACTGAAGTTATAAAATTAAAAAACCATTTTATTTTAGAAAATAAAGTAAAAAAAGCATTTTATTAAAAATTTATATATAAAAAAGGGATGTTTTTAACAAGTTCAATCAAGAGCATACTAAAACAATGACTTGCTATACCAACTTGTACGTGGTACTTTTACGTACGTCAAAGAAAACTAACAAAAAAGTGATACCTTAGCATTGATTTATAGATAAAGGTTGTTACATATATTTTGTTCAAAGGAGAGACCTTAAGTATATTATATTACGATTGTTGTACTACATTTAGTTGAACGTAAACGAAAAAGTCTTTGTTAAATGCCAGCGTTAATGGTTTATTATCAATGTTGATACAAAATATACGATCAGCTGATTTCTTTGTTTGCATGACAGCTAAGATTCGATGCTTGCATTTAAGCTGACACGTCAAAAACCCCTATAAATACTTATGTATAAACGAAAATTTTTAAGTACGCCAATACATCTTTATACAGTAACCAGAATCGCAATTAACTACTCCATAAACAAACCTTGAAAGTTCTTACCTTTGTAGTGCACTCTAAGATTATTCTGTGATAGACCGATGTAGCTGAATTTGTCCTTCGTGCTCCATGATTTTGGCAGCGGTGTCTCATCTTCGTTCACATTAGGATAAAGCAATTTTAAACGATCTACATTATCACTTTGCACTTGATTTTGGGAATCCATCGTCCCTCGTCCACTACCCATCGCAGCCATTTCTGATTTCCGTATATCTTGACTTAGAGTGACGTCACATCCAGTTTTTGTCATTATGTTGGCATTAAGTAGGATTGACATTGCCATATTTAGCGAAACCAGAGACTGCACTTGAAGCAATGAACAGACTATTATAGCCTTTATAATCTCATATAAAATGTAAAAGTAATATAAATATTTTTATACTTTTATCAGATTTGAGTAAACATTAATTTTTTTCTTTAAGTTATTTGATTAGATTTATTTCTTTAGAATAAAATTGATAACAATCTACACCATACAGATTACGACTTTTACGTATTTGACGAAAAGATAATCACTGCAGAAACCGCGTAATCAAAATTCTTCTGTTGAACTCAGATAATTTCAGTGGAAAGTTTAATTTTATCATGCACAAAAATACTCCAAAACACGTTAAAGAAATCAAATGCCGAGTGGTTGGAAAATTAAAACTTGTAAAGAAAACTAATTCCACGTTGTTAGAAAAGAAACAAACATATTTTGATGAAGTTCTTGGTGTAAGAAAAAATTACCACTACTTTAAAAAGGACTTTTAATTAATTTAAATAAAGTTTACTGTTACATGTTTAACTGTTTTAGATATATCGTGATGCCTGTAAAGAACTGATTGAAAATTCAATTACATATTCTTCACTGTTACATGACATACAAAACTCTTATGAAAATTCTTTAGGCATACGTGATGATCGTATAAAGCAACTCATCACTCAAGATGTAAGTTTTTTAAATTATCATTTTAACTGTAATGAACAATAAGTGTTTATGAAAATAGGCCTCGTAGTAAGATTTCTTCATAATTATCGGTATCGGCCCTTTGTTAGACAGTGCCTATTTATATCAACTTATTTAATACTAACACACTCATCCGAATCCCCTACTATGTCTGTGCCTATCATTAAGAAAATAATTATATTCTACGTTGTATTGAAAATAAAGAGTAGTCTATAAAAAGACGAAAGATATGAGTAATAAGTATAGTCAATTGTCATAATTAATGGTTGTGTTATTATTGAGGTTAATGAACTTACGAACAGTTTATATTTTAAAAATTTGAATTGGTATTTGGTACTTTGCCAGTTGGTACTATTTTGAAATTTGAAAACGTGTACCACCTCCACTATTAAACTAAATTTTTAACTTTTTTTTATTTAATATAATGTTAAATATTTAGTAGGTACTAAACAGCGGTGTTTTCATTTCATTTTCATTTTAAAGTTCGAGTTAGACCAGCGTTCGAGTTTTTTAAATTTAAGATGATTGAAATTAACCTAAAGAACGTAGAAAATATATACGTATTAGACGGAGGGTTCTCGTCGCAACTGTCTCGGCACGTTTGTGTTACACCTGATGGAGACCCGCTATGGACGGCTCGCTTTCTACAGACTCATTCTCAAGAAATAGTTGATACTCACCTTGACTTTATTCGAGCTGGTTCAGACATTATTTCCACTAACACTTATCAAGCTTCTGTTGAAGCTTTTATGAAACACCTGGGAATATCTTCGGGTGAAGGTTTATCATTAATTAAACAGGCTGTGCGTTTAGCGCAACAAGCGAGGAGTAAATACATAGACGAGTGCAAGTCCAGTGATTTAACTCCACGTAATATTCTGATAGCAGGCTCTGTTGGGCCATTTGGGGCATCTCTGAACGATGGATCAGAGTACAGTGGAAATTACATCAAAACAATTTCCGAAAAACATATTCAAAACTGGCATAAACCTAGATTAGATGTTTTAGTCAAATCTGGTGTAGATTTAATTGCTTTTGAGACCATACCTTGTGAAAAAGAAGCTCTAATACTTGTTAACATGTTGAAAGAATATCCAGAGACAAAAGGATGGATATCATTCAGCTGTAAGGACAATATGAGTATAGCACATGGGGAACATTTTTCTAACGTAGTTATGAATTGTCTGCAAGCAAACCCTGAGCAAATACTAGCTGTAGGCATTAATTGCTGCTCACCAAAACTAGTCAGGGACTTAATAACTAGTCTGGAGGTAGACATACCTATTGTGACATATCCAAACTCAGGAGAAAAGTTTATTCCCGGACATGGATGGGCAGATGATCAATGTCAACCATTGCACTCATTTGTGTCTAGTTGGTTGGATATAAATGTTAAGTTCATTGGGGGCTGCTGCAGGACATACTGTGAGGATATAGCAAATATCCGTAACCAAGTTGATATTTGGCTTAAAGATAAGCAAAAGAAATAAATTCTTACCAATTATTAATGTTCCCATCTGAACAATATACATACATTTGTCAGTATTAAGGGTGATATTTTTGCAGAAAGTGTTTGGTGTTTCGGTAAATAAAAAGCAATATGATGATAAAATAAAACAATTACTTAGAAACAATGATGCCTTGAGAACTGAAAATCTTAGTTTGAGCTTTGAGATATCCAAATTAAAGAAAGATAATGGGAAGGTTTGTCATTAGTGCATTGTTAATACTGATAAAAACATGTTTGTGTTGTAAACTTCTTTCATCTTATTATCCTCATTATATCTGTGTAACTGTGTGGTGATGAGTTTTGTATTTTAGCATTATAATTTATATATCATGATTCATTTAATATACAGCTTGATGTAACATTGTTTTCTTTTTATATTATTGCTTATATGTGAAAATCAACATAATACATCAGTCATTCAATATTTTCAGAATAGTTACTTTACAATATAATTAATTCACTTGGAGATAACTGCAACATAAAGAAAAAATGTGTGTTACTGTAATGTATTCAATTCTATACCATAAACATAAAATTAAATAAAATTTATTTCCTTCCAGTTAAAGGATGAGAATTTTTCAGACTACTTATCGTTAATGCGTGAACGAGACGCTAGATACACCCTATACTTTGAGAATTTATCGCTGCATCAGAGACTAAAGGAGTTAGATGATGGCTCCAGTCAACCAATGGCCATCCGATCTGACCCCATCATACTCAGAATTGCACTTGACAGGTGTCGGTACGTTCACAATTATGGTTACAATACCTATCGAAATCCAAGCTAGCGTCTGATACCGCAAATTTATAATTATTCACATGATAATTCAAAGTATTAAAAAATGTTTAATGACTCACTTATTCAAAATATAGGTTGTGGTGCTGTGATATTACTTTTACAACAAGTATTTAATCAACACATTGATCCCAAAAGCTTGTTAGGTGTTGCAAATTATAATATACCTACTGAAAATAAACAGAGAGCAGCTATCGTCAACTCAAACCGAGTTGAAGAGTATGAAAGAAGAATACGCGGAAATAGTGCCGAGACGTGACTTCGAACATCTGGAAGGCGAGCACCAAGAGTTACAGACACAGGTGCAGCACCACCTCGCCCAGTACGAACACCTGCAGAGCACCTACAAGAAAGTCACTGGTAAATGATTTTTAATTGCTTATGTGCCGCGTTATTTCCCAGAGTGATTACTAGACGCGTTAGCTTAAAATTAAATTATTATGGGCTCCCAAAACTTATAATGTTTAAAGGTGCAGCAGTTTAAGTGTTTTACGAATTCGTTTTTATTTTTTAATTTCGAGAAAATAATTGATAAATTTAAATCAAAGTAGGTATCAATTCAGATTTTTTTTAAATATTTATTTGCTTCATAAGAAGTCCATATATATAATTATGATTTCTAAATTATAGCGCATAAAAATAGTATCGAGGAAGAACTCATGGAGTGCAGGGAGCGATGCCGAGAACTAGAGCGGGCTGGTACACCGCGGCCCCCTTGGGATCTCTGCGCAGACTTTATTGGCGGCGGCAAAAAAAGGTAAAACATGCACTCTGTATCATACAATCTTATTTACTAATAAACCTTTGCTTCATATTTCGCTTCAGTGGGTTAATCATGTTTATATTATAATGATATTTATTTAATTTTACTTGATTGTTAATTTGCTGAACTACCTATAAAGAAAAATATATTTTCCTAAATTTGTTTATACAATAACAATCACATACCCGATCGCTAAAATCGCATTTTAAATCATTAATACCATATGACTGATTTATAATGCTATTTTCATTACTGAAATAAATAGAAGTTTATTTTTATAAAATAGTCGTAAAAAAGATTTCTGACTTTAAACTATTATTGATATGTTTAAATGCATCATGTCACCAGATGGTGTCAGCTTACCGAGGGATTGTCGTCCCGCGATAAATTAAGAGCACTGCTTAAGGAGTTGGGCCCAGCAGCCGAGAGTGAGCACTTGGAGTACTTCGATGGTCTGGTGAGTTTTATCGCATAGGCTAGGCAGTCTTATTGTTTTCAAACAATACATTAAAATTACTAAAGAACAAGCCTTATAGATTTACAAACCTCCAACACTCAGGTAGTATCTAGGTCCGAGTTAGGATTAAAATGAGATTCTGTGAGTTCTCTGTAGATCTGTATAACTTGTTAGTTAAAAAAAAACTGTGGCTCTCGGGGACTGTCGCGGTAAAGCTATTGCATAGCATTTTTATCAACTTATGCAATTATAATTATTTATTTATATTTTATTTATGCAGTTTTTTTGTCTTTGATATTAATTCAATCTACCACTCTACCAGACTCAGACTAACACGCCTATATAGTCTGTCTCACTCTAACGCGTACCGGCTGCACCGGCCGCGCTTACGCTACGTCACCGATCTCGTCAGAGAGATGGAAATACGCAGTATGTGTTCTGTCCCACTCTAACGCACCTGCGCTACGTCACCGATTACGCCAGACCGATGTGAGACGCAGTATGAGTTCTGTCCCGCTCTAACGGGTATTGGCCGCACCTATATTACGTCATCGTGTGTTAGGTTCTTATTTTCGTTACGGAATTTCTTGATTCGGTCGGCGCGCTCAAAGCCCGCGATAAAATCTATGCAATAGATTAATAAAGTGGAGGCAAATAATAATTCTCCCTATGCTTTCTATCGAGAATATCCGTGCCAAGCGTTATGTGAATAACAATTTTTTTTGTATATTTTCACCTAGTCACACATTCACACGATTTTAGGCATCTATACAAACAAGTTATATAGTCCTAATTATTGTTTAATAATATACTTCTCTCAAATAAACGACAGGGCACGGACCCCGCTGTCCCTTCATACTTACGATACTCGGGCCGCGTACGCAATCTACGTCTGTCGCGTCGAGAGGTACGCGTCGTGGTTAACGATGTTTGGCGCGGTCGACCCCATCATCCTCAACTGGCATTGCAGGATTTCGTGACCAAATACTTTGAGGATAGGTAATCGATCCTTAAAATAATGTATTTATACTGTACCCTCACGGAGTCAATATTCTTAAGTAATTGCTAGCACTTGGCTTATTATAGGTGTTTATTAACCGACTTAAAAAAAGCGCAATGTACACTGGCTTGTTGAAGGAAAACATCGTGCGGAAACCGACATGTCTTAAGACTTAAAAATCGACGGCGTGTGTCAGACACAAACGGCTGATCACCTTCTTGTCTATGAAGAAAAAAAAATCACAAAAAAGATATACAAATTTGAGGTGAAGACCTAGATGTAGTAGCGCCTCTGGTATTTTTTATGTATACCTAGAAAACATATAAAGTATTATTATTATTTATTCATATCCACACGTCATGTCTAAGCTGAGAAACACACAAAAAAATAAATTGTTTTTGCACGATTATCATGAACATTTGTTTCATAATTTATATAATTATTACTTTTTATTTGGTGACAAACGAACAGATACCAACAGTCGTCAGTGCGTGCAGAGTGGGCGTACAATGTATGCGCGGGCGCCGAGAGTATGCTGGACGAGCCACAGGTGAAACTATAATAACCTTGTCATAAAATTAAAATTTAACCCCGTTATTCATAAAAAATAAATCCGTCTAAATCAGCATTAACAAGTCCTAATCTGTCTTTTTATTATAAGTTTAATTATAAGTCGCAAAGGGACTTTGCCTCAAGAACCAGATGCATTAAAAGATCTGTTGCTGTGATTGTTTATAATCTGCATTTTATAAGTCTTGACAGTGGCATGTTCTGTTTCATAACTCTGTATCGCTTTGTGTCTCTGGAAATAAATAAAAGAGCGGTAAATTTAATAATACAGGTGCGTGTATGGTGGGGCGCATTGCACGGACAGCTTAGTGAACAAGTGTATTGGGGTCTTCGTCGCCAATGGGACCAATTGCATCAGCATCTACGCCGCCATGCATTAGACGGAGAGGTACCTATACATAACACATTATTAAATTTTGATGGATATATTTTTAATGTGGTAAATATCTTACAACGTGAAACGTAAGTTACAACAGAAATTGACTCGTTTATTATATTTTAAATAATAAATATAATAAAGATGTAAATTTTTGCTAATAATCATTAATTATATAAATAATATGTTGTTCTGTTCTAGATTGTAACAATAGAAGAATTTGAGCGGGTATCACGGTCGATATTCCCGCTAAAAAGTGAAGTTGACATTAAAAATTTAACCGACGTTGTTAAGAAACAACTTAAAATCAAACTCAACTGTAATGAAATAAACTTGGACAAACTCTTCTACGAGGTATATGCTTGAAGTATTTATAAAATTGAAATATGCCATCAAAATCTATACATAAATAGATTATCATCGTGAACGGCACTTTTGATTCAAATATCATTCTTATAACACACTCACGGTGTAGTGGTTGCAGCTCCTTTCAAACATTTTATAATACAAAAACCTTGGCGGTTAAAAATAGTGGCGGAGAGTTTATTGTCAGTTCTTCTCGTCCGTTCTTCGCCCTTGATTTCAGAACTGGCAATAAATATAAAATTAGGAGCATTTATGTATTTCTTTATTGACGTTCATAAGTGTACATTGTGTTACATAAATGAATAATGACAACTTAATCAACATTAATATTTATTAATGTCCACCAAGTGCGTACAAGTAACTTTTTCGGAGTCAATTCAAACGGAGTCGTGACGTAAAGGAAAAAATATAAAATGAAATGAATTTTGTTTGAAAAAAACAAATGCAATGTGTATAAAATTGAATTTCCTAAGCAAAGAGGAGATATTTGAGGTCCAAGTGGCCAGTATGACAAAACGTCAATTTCATATCATAGGATCTAATAATATATAGGTATAATTAACTTTTGAATTATCTTATAACGAGACCCGGCGGAACAACGTTCATAATGTTTTCACCTGAAATCTAAATCCAGTAATCCGTAACAATGTCGCAAACTCATTACACACTATTTGAATTTAGAACGAAGAAGGCTTCGACCGTGTGGAGTTAGCTCGAGAGCTGTTCCGTCAGCGTCAATTGTGTCAGGACAAATATATACGTGAGGTTGTGGCGGAGTTAGGAGGCCGACGTGCCCAACGCAATATTACAGTTGATGCACTGAAACGGGCTTTTGCGATTGTCGATCCGGCAATTGGTAAGGCCATATAATTTAGTTATGTATTGTTTTGACAGTATAAACTTTTATTTTATGAATTCTATTAATGTGTACACACATTAGGTACACGTCATACCTAATGTGTGTAATTAAATATATGTATTTCAATTAAGGGGTACTAATGTATGTTTTGATATTTAAAAAAACATTCAGTGTAATAAAACGATAGAGTAAAAAAATAAGTAATTATATTTATTGGTTCCCAATATCTCTTTCTACCATGACCAAATTGATTAGGGGAGGTGGGGGAACTGGAGCCTACTAAGGAAAAAGTTAAATAAAAGCCAAATAAATTTATTGATACTTTATTAACTTTTTATTAGAAACTAAATCCTTACTTATTCGACTATCATTTAATCACAGCGTTAACGTAACATAATTTGACATTTTGCCACAAATAAACTTAAAAGAAAAAAACAGGATCGCTCTCATTACCCGACTTTGCGGGCAATGAGAGCCTATAATTTCGCATATGGGTAACGGGAGCTACTTATTTATTAAATCAGCCTCAAAGATTTCTATCTCAGTCTGGATCTCACTTATTCATATAAAATTTAATATAACGTAATCGTGTAACATTTAACTTTAAGGATCTAAGCAAAAAACGCAAATATAATCAACTGGGCTCTCAGAACCAGAACATTGCTTATGTGCCCATTTACCACAACTTCTACAACGGTACCACATCTCATTGTTTTTTCCTATATCACAGCAAATAGCACACAATGTCTCTTCTTCTGAATATTCTGACTCATCGTCGCAAAGATTCTCAACATCTTCGTCTTCAGACGTCTCCGTTTCATCCTCAAAAAGTTTATTTTTAACTCTTGTTACATTTTCTTTTTTGTTCATTGCCTTCTTTAGTTTTTTTCCCTTTTCTGCTCTACTTTTTCTATTTTTGTTGATGGTTTCTCCCTTTCTCTTTGTACTGATTTCAGTTTTATTTTTTTTCTCTAAGCGTTTCTTCTCTTTCTCTTCAAATACTGCTTTCATTGGCGTGCTAGACAAAATTACTGAATGTTGTTTTTGTCTAGAAGTCTTATTTTTGTTAGTTATGTTAGGTAGTGGTCCAAGATGCTTTCGTAGTGGTGCGTTCTCTTTTTCTTGGCATTTTGATATCTAAAAAATAAAAATAATTTTGATAAGAATGTTGGGGTAATCAGAGCCTAATAAGCTCTAATTACCCGACTACCACCATCTTGAAATTTAATAAAATTAAATACTGCATCTAGCTTGTAACGAAATTATACGTAAAGATACTCAAAATTAATAACATTAATTATAAAATAAAAAAGGTTTGATTGTAACAAACAAATATCTTCATACATACCTGGCAATTTGAAATTTCGTATTTTTTATAAGCGCGGACTACAAAATTGACAAGCGTCCGGGGTCATATCACACGTGGCAGTGGCGAGTCGAGCGGCGCGGGGGGACACAAACGCAGTGTGCCGAAAGGGCCTAAGTGGCAACTGAGTAAATACGAGCTGTAGTTTAGTCTTTAGGCGCACCGCTCCCATTACCCTCTGGCTCCCATTACCCTCGGTTCCCCTACATAAATACTCTGATTGGTGACTTATTACAGACCATGTCCGTATGGAACAATATATCCGATGGGCATTTTCGGATCAGACTTCAGAAATCAGCGCTATCAGCTCGCTACCTCTTCAGAACATTGTCGTACGCCTGGCTGCTGGAGACATTGAGAGAGTCGGGCCTAGATCCAAGGGAGTGCGTCGCAATTATAAAAACACTAGGAATTAACTAAATAAATTATTGTAGGTATTTATTTTTACATAATATAATCTGTACTTTAATTATATATCTTATAAAAACTGTGTTTTCTTTCATTTCCATTTTCCTTCTTGAATGTATTGTACAATGTGATATAAAAGAGTTCTTAAACAATAAGCCATAGCTTCAATAATCAAGATTTAGAAATAGACACAGAAAATAAAATAATAGCAAGGGCTAGAGAAGGCTTATAAGGGACTGCATTATGCAATCCAAGATAGAAGTTTTTATTTTATAATAGTAGCTCTGTTTCTTATATCTTCAGACTATCCACAAATATTTGAATTATCTATATTGCTTAACAGCAGATGTTGGTAAGTGACAACTGACATTGGCAATGACGCATGTTCGAGCGATCATCACAATTGCCATGCTTGTTTGTTATTATTTTTTTGGAAAAATCTAAAACGTGTTGAGCAACGGACGTTAATTTTTCCGTAGATAAAGAAATTTTTGAAAGGCTTTAGTAGACAGTATCAAAATGACTGATATAATCGAAAATTTGGAACTTGATCGAGATATCATTCCTTCCGAAGAAATAGAGGAGCAGTTCAGCAAAAAATACCATTTACTGACAGAAACATCAGTAACACTTAAAACAACATATGTTGATACAATGAGTGTCAGTAGGTGAGACAGTATTAAGCTACAAAAAAAAACTAGAAAATTTTACTAACTACAAGCTTAGTTTCAAATTGTTCTCCTTTCAGAGCATTAAAAATTGGAGTAAGTCTCCAAGATAACACATTAGAGGTGTATGAATTAAATAGTTCATCATTACAACATGTAAGTCGTTTACAAGGCCATGACAAAAAAATTACAGAGATTAGTTTTCATCCAAAGCAGGAAAGTCTTTTATTTTCTACTGGTTTAGACGGTTACATTAAGTTATGGGATTTACGAATGAATGGCGAATGTGTTCAGGAGTTTAAAGGTAAATAAAACCAAACCCATATTTTTGTTAAATTTGTGCTTGTATATCAATCAAAAATATATCAAATTGAATTACGATAATTGCAGAAGATGCTGACTCCCCAATCAGGCCCTATGAGTGTATGGATGTATCGGACAAAGGAAATGTGTTTTGTACAGGCAGCCAACTTGTAAAAGATGAGTCTTATATTGTTTTTTGGGATCCTCGTACAACAAAGCCCTTGGGAGCTTACTGGGAAAGTCATACTGAAGACATCATTCAGGTATACTTGCTTAACTTATTAAAATCGTTTTTTTCCCTTCCATTTGGTATTGCATTTATAGCACTGATGTTTGGCCAAGTATTACATTTGAGTTTATTGTTTTACAATAAAATAATATTTAACTACATACATTTGCTTTTAGTTATAAATACCATGAGACATTTAATAAATAAACTTGTTACAGGTGAAATTTAAACCAAATACTAACACAGTTTTGACATCTGGTGCTACTGATGGTCTTATTAATATATTTAACCTGTTGGAACATGAAGAAGACAGTGCCCTGCTATACTCACTGAATGTTGGCAACTCTGTGGAGAAACTTACTTGGCTCAATGACGACCAACTGGGCTGCGTTACACAGTCTGATGACCTACAGATATGGAACACAGCCACTGGTGACATGATCAAAGAATATAGTAGAGATAAAGTTGCTAGGAGTATTAAGGTACATTTATTTTAAGGATTTTCACAATACAAAGGATTTAAAAACAAATATATTTTGCCATTACTAAAAGTATATAATAATTATTATATCAACATTTTACAAAAGTCCAATGTATATAGATATTTTAATTTAAGTGTACATACATTTCAGAGGAGCAGAGATGATGATTGTTATGTGGTAAACATGTTCCCTGGTCCTGACAATAATAACTGGGTGCTGGCAGGCTCTCATGGTGGAAATGGGTAATTTCAATTGTTTACTATCTTACAGATACAGTACTTTATATGCTGAAGTACCTATGTAATTTATGACATTATAGAGTTGGTGGTAATGGAACTTAAAAGGAATGTTACATTGTATGAGCAACAAGACAAACAACTACTTGAGTTTTTTCAAAGTTTTTTGAGATTGCAGTTAAATCAAGTGATATTACATGGTTATTACACTGTAATTACATCTAAATTTTTAAACTAGAAATTGTCACAACTATAAGCGGGCCATAGACGGACTGCATGTTGCAGTCAAGACCGACTGCAATATGCGGTCGCCGCACAGCGATTTGCAGTTTCCATACTAAATTCATATTCGCAATACACGGACCGCTCGAGCAGTTCCTGAGCAAACCATTGGATATTGCAGTTGGTCTTGACTGCAACATGCGGTCCGTCTATGGCCCGCTTTAGAGTTAAAACTTGCAGGCAGCTTATATGTAATTGTTTTTGCAGCAACACTCTGAGGTCACTTAGTATCGCTGACAAACGATTATCGCCTAGCACAGACTTTGTCAACAACAAACAAATTGTTAGATGCTGCCACTTTGATACACATGTGAGTCCCATAAATAAGACTCATTATTCATATTTTAATGTATTTGATTTGATTTTTTTATCATTTTTATATCTTGTCTACCATAAAAATTATGTGAATTGGAAAAACTATTTGAACAAAAAATATACTTTTTTATTGTAACATAAAATAATTATACTGGATAAAAAATTGTCTTTTTAAAGTTGGTTTAAAAAGAGATTTCTCCTCTCTCAATGGCTGACATTCTACTAATAAAATGGGTGTCAATGAGCTGCGGTTATTGTCTTTTATGCCCGACCCGCAGTCACGTTTGCCCCTCTATTTCATACAAAAAACATTGTTGATAAGTATACAATCTTGTTATTAACATCATAATTACACCTTTATCATCAAGACTTTCTTTTTCAGAATAACCTCTTAATAACAGCAGGTGAGTCAGGTCTAATCAGCGTATGGAGTGAAGAGCAATCACGCGAACGTGACGTCGCGCATGTGCACAAAAACGATAAGTTGCATGCACATAGACATAGACCATACTAGATAGATTATTGCCAGAAATGTGATTAGCCTTAATTGGTTTTAGATTAATGACGTATTACTTTTCTCAAATAACTAAATATTGCTACTAGGACTTTTATTCTGTTAGTCAAGGTTTAAGATTAGTGTTGCCCAAATGCAAGACCAAGACGAGACTTAGGCCAGTCTTGGTATTGGTCTCGCGTCAATACACCTGGTCTTGGTATTGGTCTTGATCTTGCAGCAAGAGTCTCGCAAGACTTGCAAATACCTATTAGCCTATTGCTATTTATTGAACACGTTAGTTTAGATTTTAGATTATGATTCGCACTGTAAGTTGTATGTAGTTGATTCTGCAACTACATACGTCTTACAGCGCGAATAATATTTTATTCAACACTGGCCTGCAAATTGCAAAAAAAAATAAGAAGAATTTGAGTTTCGCGAGCTATCCTGGAGCATTCACCAATCTACAATGTTCATCAAACAATAATAGAAGACTTCAGGCAGTGTGTTGAGATTAGCAGATTTCATTACAGTGTGCGTAGGTACATTTTTTAGGCAATATGTCGTACTCGTGACTGGCGTACTTTGCTACGTAGGTACTGTCGTAAGTATGTGTAAGTAAGAAACGACTATTTTGGTAGGGTTGTCAATGTTGGCATTAGCACAGAAAAATAAAATTAAGTAAACCCAACGTTTATCAACTTTTTAATAACTAGGTATCCACGATAGAATACTTTTCTACTAATTTCCTAAGTACTCAGTCTAAATATATTTTTCATAATTTTTGTTTTTCAATAATTTGTTGTGTGTAATTGAATGGTAAACTCTAAATCTTACTTGAGAGCTTTTTTTAAAAATAAACTTATGGAAAGCCCTGACATGGCATATACACTTTTCAATTATGCTGCTCACATTTTAGTACCTAGGTATATCACTCACAATCTATCATTTACCGATATTAACAATGATTATTTCGTAATCAAAATATTCGCAATTCAATAGATGCAATACCTACTTAGTTATTAATTATCATCTCGCCCGACAGCTTTAAACACTGTAGTGTTCGAATTCGAGCCAGTGTGAGAATGTATTTAAATACAAGAAACTCAGAGCATACAATTTATACCTACCTACTGCTGAGACATCTTCAAGGTCATTTAATTTTAACCTCCTGTACCGACCCTACCAAAATAGGTAAAAAAATTGTGTGCCTCTGTCCGTACTCTTTGTCGGCGAATGCGGCGCTCAAACTGTGTCAAATGCTGTGATACACTTGTTGCAAACCGCGGCGTCTTTGTCGGTAAATTATCAAATAAGTAGGTATATAATACACCGACCGACCAACAGTTTATTCGCAGAACGTCACATTTTCCCAATCAACCTTGAACCTTAATTCTTTAGCGATAAAGTTGAAAATCTGTTAAAGAAAATGGACAGATTGTAGTAGCGTGATGTGCTGGCGTCTGTACCATAATATTGGCTGCCGTAAAAACTGTTACTAGACCTACTCGACTCGCTGTTAGTTTTAAATTTTGCTAAATAAAATAATAATATAAACTTTGAAACATAAGTAGGTACCTACATAATGTTTATATAATTTTGTTGGCTATAAATTTGAGCACATACCAACCTACGAGTACTAACGTTAGATCTGCACATTAGACATAAACAAGCTTAATATATTATTATAGGTTAATTAACAAGGTATGAACTTTGCTAGAAAGTTATTCTAGGTAAATTTTATCACATGGGATGATGGGAACAGATTTGTAAGTATTAACACGCTATCTACTTAATAAATTGTTGAAATATAATAAGTAGCCCTTAGTTTAGTGTTATGACGATACCTACGGTTTTGATACTGGGGAACGTCCCTCAAAATCGGGATTGAAACCAAATACCCACTTAATAACGCCCAAATCTCAGTTTGTCTTAACTGCAAGACGCAAGAGTCTTGCATGCTTAAGTATTGTCTTGCTCAAGTCTTGCAGGCTTCAGTCCTCAGACCAATACCAGGTCCTGCTACAATAAGGCGGTATGGCTTGCATTTTCGCAAGAACAAGACCAAGACCGATTTTGGGCAACACTATTTAAGATCTACACAATAACGACAGGTAGCGTATTAATATAGACCTTTATTATAAAACGTAGTGAATATGACTGGGGTGAGTACATAAAATGTCAACGACGTAACGATAGTTCGCTTCGTGCAAGCGACAGACTCAATATTTTTTAAAAGAAATCATGCAAGGTTGGGACGAAATACTGTTACTGCTTATTTTTACGTTGTATGAACTCCCTACAAAAGAGTAACGGCCAATTTGGAAATGATTATTTCGTAACTGTATAAATAAAACATTTTAATATTTGATAATTGTGTTTTATTACAACCCCAAATATTATATTAATAATATGGCTGGTTAAAACATAAATAGAATCAGTCCTCCATTAAAATACATGAAATTTCATATACCATAAAATCAGGTAAACATATAACCCAGAAAATATAAAGCTATTAACTAATGGTCTAACTACCACCACTCCTTAAAGTCAATTTGTACTCGAATATAATTAATTCTAAACTCCTGTTTATTACAATAGCATTAAAACAATAAAATTAAGCTAAAAAGCACATGTTAATTAATGTAAATAATTCATTAAAAATCCAATAAAATAATGTATGGTTAATAAAAAATGCAATTTTGTGATCTTTGGTTATGAAGCAAAATAAAACGCATCATAAACTGTATCTTCACTCTTACTTGTTCGTAAGAAACATGAGAAGTCTGAAACAAAAACATACACATTAAAATTTGATGTTTTTTAACAATTTAGGACAATGTATGTACGTCGCCGTGTGAAAATAGCACCGTCTGACTTGTGGTATTTGAGATCGCTGTATTTTTTTTGAAGTGAAACTTCTTTATCGAGGTTGGAAAAAAATTTAGTGTAACATTTTTTCGTTACGCGTCACATTTTTCGGTTACGCGCCATGTTGCTTTTTGAAGTCAAACTTCTTTATCGGCGTTGGAATGAAACTTCTTTATCGACGTATGGGAGAAATGTTGTAGCAAATCGTCACGTTTTTCAATGATAGTAATAATTCTATTACAATTAATGAAATTCTATAATAATCTTCGTAGTAATAAGGTAAAATGAAGTATTTGTATTCATGTCTATGATAATAAAAGCCTTTTGTTAAACTTTATCGAATTTAACGAATTTCTGTAAAGTTGCATATAGTAGATCATTTTTCGAAAAATAAGATCATAAAGAAGTTTCACTTCTTACGTGTGTACACCTAGTACACGCACAATTTATTTAATTGACAACAGTTATTTACAAGGGTACAATGAATATAGGTCGACAGTAATCTTGATACTTAATAGGAAATATATAAGTAAATAATTGTTGTGAATAAATGACCACCCTTTTCGGGTGTATGGCGTGAAATCGAGTAAGGTTACAAGTATATATAGAGGAGATTATCGTTACCTAAAATGTATGGCTTTGTTTGAGAGCAACCGGTTGGTGTCCTCAGGGTCCGCGAGGGGTAAAGGCGCAGGCGCAGGGTCGTCGTCGCCGCGGAAGGTGTGTGATGAGACCCGAGGGGCCAGGCGCGCCTCGCCAAAGGGACCCCTCGCTACTACCCACTGCACTGAGAGCTCGCATTGCGGCTTGCTCTTTAGGATTAGCTGTCCAAGTAGATTAGACGAGATTACAAACCATATACTAGTTGTTTATCACTTTGAAACCGTAAATATAACGTGGTATTTGTTACCATGGTTACCATACTTTTTATATGGAAATAACATATGTAGTAACAAATATTTCTACTAACTAGAAGCGACTTCTTCTTAGTAACAGTTTTACGGTGCAATAAAGGTTATTTTTATAGCGTACTAGCTGACCCGGCAAACGTTTTTGCCATTTAAGTATGTATATTATTTCTAGAAAACATTTTTTTAGTTCAATAAAAATAACTCATTACTATAATAAAATATAGGGATAAAATAGGGGTATTTTTGTATGCGAATATATATCATAAAACAATAAAAACAAAAAAAAATCTAAAAAATAAAAATCTAGGGATTAAACCACCCTTAACTTACTGAATATGCATAAAATTCATAAGAATCGGTCGAGCCGTTTCGGAGGAGTATGGGAACGAACATTGTGAAACGAAAATTTTATGTATTAGATTAAAGCATAAAGGTTATTTTTTGGGCGCCGTGTGAATTTAATAGGTGTAGCCTAGAATTCAAAATCAGTAACATGACATCTTGGAGTGAACAGATGGTCTAAGCTAAACCTCAGAATTTTCATGCAGCAAGAGTGCGGTGTACCTGGTATGTTATCTCACGATGCGCAGTGTGGGTGGGGTGTGGCTGGTTATTGTTGATGAAAGCCTTCACCACCCATTGGTGCCCGAATGAAGGGAACCGCAACGTTTCGTAGTACAGCTTATGCATGAACTCTTCCGTGCGGTACGGCTTCAGCTGCAAATCTGTTTACCCCCGACATATTAGCTCTTACCCTCTTAGAGAGCGGTAAGGTTCACTATTTTCTATTATAAAAGTTTATGTAAAAAAAATACATATTTTCAAATAAATATATGTGTATGTTTAACTAATATAAATTATTGCTGTAAGACAACTCAAACATGGACCAACCCGAATAATTATATGCCACCCAATTCTATTTAAAACGCTATGAGTGGTGATGATTACCATTAAAAGTAATCTTCTCTAGGGACAGGAGGGAGAATATCTGCGTGTAGACGCGTGTGTGGTCAGCGGCCCGCGCCTCGCGCTCCTCCAGCGCCGGTAGCACATCTCCTGCCGATCGCTGCGGCCTCTCGCAGACCGCCTCGTGTGCGCTGGCCTCGTGCGCAGGCCCGCGCCATCCGCATCCGATACGCTCGTAGAGACACCCCGTCAGCCTGCCACAGCATCCCACGTCACTACCGAATTAATGCCTCCTACGGTACTGGAGTGTCGGGTCGCATCACAGTTACGAAGCACTTACGATACGTTAGGAACGAACAAAGCGGCGGCACACACCTGCGATACCTACGCCGCTTGTGTGCCGTCGCCTCGAGCGGTCGGCTCCTGAAGGAAGCTAGCAGGAGGCCGACTACCCACACCACGATGCGAACCAAACCACTCACAGCCGCGGGCGACGCTACTTCCACAGATAACTGAGAGAACTTGTACTCGTTTCCACTGCGGGACAGAGTTTTAATGACCCCTATGTCTTATTAAATCAAGAAGTAATTTTCATACCTGCATGTATGTCAACAAATTTAATATGAATTCTTATCCTAAAAATATATATGAATAAGAAGTACAAATGATTTTTCAATCCAAGGTGAGAAAATTACGTAAACATTTACATCATAAGCAATAAGTTACCTATCTTCACAAATCTTGTCTTCATGATTTTGCAAAGCATGCCTAGGGAAGACACAAGTGCAAAATTTGCATTCAGAAGGCAGTTCAGAAACAGTTTTTTCAACTGCTAGGTTTCTTGAGGCTGAGGTTTTGGAGATCTCGACACGGCAATTCGGGCAGGTAGCTGACTCGTCACGAAGCTGCGCATCCGCCAGTAGATGAGTGAAACATGGTGCACACATCAAGTGTCCATTGCTACACTGCAAGACAACACAAGTTTAATAACAGGATTGTGATTGTTAGGACTTTCACTAATTTTTGTGAGTTGTAAATGAGTGTACACAAAATAAACAGCATCCACTATTAAATACTGAAGTTAAAGTTTAAAAACATTATTTTCCAATTACAAAAAGAAACAATGTAGTTATGTGACACAAAAATTTAAGTGATATGATAATATGTTCTACCTCTGCCCCTCTCATCCATGAACCTGAAAACACAAATAAGTACAACTACTTAAAGGTTCAGTTGAACTTAACTGTCCATTAAAGACAATTTTGTGGTCATTAAAAAACTTGTTTGTCATGAATGAGTATGTTATCAAAACTTAAAAGAATGTTGAACATAAAACATACTATAATAATCTCAACACATTATATCAATTGCATGTCATAATAATACTGGGATTTATGAAAGAGGGGATATGGTAGCTCACTAAAGAAAGACCTATATCTTAAAATATTTCTTTATTGATTTAACATTACACAACAATTAACACTTACAACACCTACATATGTCTATAAGATGATAATTAGACTATATAAAACTTATTCTATGTCACAGTAATTTGCTTATTACAAAATAACAAAAAAAATTACATACAGAAGTAAGAATATATATTTCTTGTTTTAACAAACTTCGAAGACAATATTTAGGAAATTATATTAATACTTGCTACATGATTGATTACAACAGGATCAAATTAAAAGTGATAACTATAGCAAATATTATTTCATAAGACATAACCCAATAAAGTGATTTAAACGATTGTAACTACGAATTGGAAACATTTCATTTAGGTAAAACATAAATTAATCAAAAGAAAACAGCTGATATATTGTAAATTCAATGTATCAGTATCAGCTGTTTTGGAATACCTGGTATACGGCGGCTGGAGGCAGGTCCAAGCAAACTGCGCAACACAATATACCCCCCAACCTATGTTCTAATTTAACAGACGGGTCTTCTTCAAAGGCAGTCTTACGCTTTTTAGGCGAAGGACCCTCATCCTTTTTTCGGATAAAACAGGATGCTACAATAGAAATTTTACTACAAGTAGGTCTATTTTCAGGTACATCAGACATTTTTTAATTTATTTTTACTACTCGTAAGCACTGCGATCAAAACAAGAATAACATTTAACAAGACAAATTAATAAACAAAGAAACATCAAACAACTATCAAGCAAAGATTAAAGAACTAAACCATCGATAATAGAGCATTGTCGGTACACACATAGAATAATATATTATATTATAACAGATAGATTATTTCTTTCAGGGGCCTCAATTCATAGCCTAGCGGTCTTATTAAGTGGCAGATAGGTAAGGGGTACTGGGTTCGATTCCCGGTTCGAGGGCAAGTTTTAATTTAATTTAAATTTGTTCTCGGCCTTTGGGAGGGTTGTGCGGTACCGGGCGAGTGCTTAAACCGTACATGGAGGACACGGTCGAATTTTCTAAAGACAAGCACGAATTATAAAAAATACTATACTTGACGCTGGCTAATGCACAAATCGTGCCAGAGCCATAAAAAAAAAAAATTTCTTTCTACCTAGGCAGTGTCCACTATCCACTAACCATCAGGTTAGATAGATATACAACTTTTTGAATTTATGATAAAAAGATACATAGACATAATTGTAGGCACACCGATTTGCTAAAAAATGTATCTTTACAAATTTTATGTACGATGGATAGTTAAGGAGATATAGCCAAAAACGCGTTTTTGCACCCCTTTTTCCAAGATGGCGGCCGGAGGACAAGCACGCCAACCCCAAAAACTTGAGGTTAAGCTTGTATTGACTGTGTATTTAGGGGGCTACATGTCCCATAAATAAAATTGCGTCCTCTAAGGCCCCTTACGCACTAGCGGTCAACCGCGGGGGCGGCTAACCGCGCGGTCTGCCGCTTTCCCAGTTTGCACACAACAACAAACTGAACAAATGTTCAGTTTGGCGCTCAAATTGTAACATTTCAATGTCTTTGTCTAAATGACTACATGTCTTTTATTTATAATTGTATATTAGCAAAATATATTTGAAAAAAAACTGAAGAGAGAAAATATAATAAATATAGAAAATATAAGATAGAGGGTTATATTAAGTAAACAAAGCCTACAGGCAACAATAGTATTGCTTGTATTAGTTGCTTATTCATCTTTAATACTCATTCATGTGTGGTAACAGTTTCCACATAATATGTTATAAACTTATAACAATTCAGATCTTTGGTTTTTTAGATATTGAACCAAATGCTGATATTACTGTACCCTTTGTTCCTGTAACATTAGTCGTAAGAGGCTGTTGAAGAAGACCTGGTTGCTTAATTGTTGGCTTCGAGCCAACATTTGGTGCAGCTTGATCCCATTTTGACTTTCTTTTTTTCTCTTCATCACTGTCGGTCTTCTTACCAGATATAAAATCTATTTTTGACAATTTTTCCTTTTTTTCCTTTTCTCTTCTTTCCATTTCTATTTTCTGAACTCTCGCTAATTCATCATAATAAGACTCCTTACCCCATTTTAAAGGATCATATATTTCAGGTGGATAATTAGTATCTAATTCATTGATATCACAAAACTGGATCAATTTTTCATAAATACTAGGATTTCTAAAATTCTTTTTGTCTTGAATTATTTTGTTCATATCATATCCTTCAGTGAGCATTCGGTTATAGAATTTAGCAATGGAATCCTGTAATTCCTTTGGACATTTACCTTGTGGCTCAGGTGGTATTATTACTCCATCTTGAGAGTCATCAGCATCTGAACGTTGAACTGCATCATCTGTGTCTGTTTCCATAGATAGTCTTCTCATGTCATCCTGTCCCTCTGCAGTAGGGGACATTTCTTCTTCATCTGACACCACAGTGTCATCCACATATGAGACAAGTCTTCTTTTGGGAGAAGATGGTTCTGACAAACTTTGTTTACTATCAATGACGGTTTTAGGGCTAGCAGGTTCGGATTGTGTTGTTTTGGCTGCATCTTTTTCGGGAGTTTGTTGCCCATCTTCCATATCTTCTTCTCCTTCAGAGTCGGTATAAGTAGCAGTAAGGGAAGCTAAAGCTTGTGAAGCCATAATTCTTGTCCGTTATACCCCGATTCTGAGCTATTTAATTATTTATTGAAAATGAGTATTCAACGAATGTTCTAATTAAATAATCGTAAGTTATTGAAGGTGTTATTTTCTTTTACTATAAAACAGAGATATTACTTATTGTTAATAAGTATAAATATAACAACAGTTGTTTTCAGACTTGACACTTTTTTTTTTACTTATCGCCAAAGGCGAAGGCTATAGTCTTTAGACCTTACCGCCTAGTCTTTCGTAGAATTTTTCCTTTAATTATTATATAATATTGGCATGCAGATTGAGATCGATCTTTAAATATGAATAAATCTAAGATATATATATGGTTATAATCTTAGATTGAGGATACATTATTAATTTTGCAGTGAATTAAGTGTTGACGATTAATGGAGACTATTGGAAGGAAAATGCTCTAGTATACAATAATATGGTTGTAAGGCACTTTGCTATTTACCGCCACTTAATAAATGCCAACATTTACGTTCTTGATATACGAAATGGTACCTTAGCGCGGACCGAGCTCAAAGAGAACATGCGTATGTACGACAATAAAAATATATTGTGTTTATAAAAATAAATCCTATGCTAAGCTGCAATTGAATGTTACGAATCTATTGTTTAAATATACAAATTATTTTTTTTTGGTAATTTTAGTCGTGACCCTGCATATAGTCTGAAAAAACAACCTTGATAATTGATATTGGCTAAACGTGATTATTTGTTTAAAAGGTTTGGTGTCTCCAAAAAAATTAGTTTAAAAATAAATGTAAGCAAAACGAAAACATTAACTACATCAAAATTAATACCAACATTTCCACTCCACAAAAAACAGGAATAATAAAGATGCTCAACTTAAACATAACGATATTTATTCATAATCAAAATCTGATTCAAGAAATTCGATGCCTTCAAACGATTCATCGCTGTTACTTTCATCGTCACGGACATGGATTTGTCACTTACTCAACTCGTACTTGGTCCTTGCTATGACTTTTTTGGCTTGTAATTTTGGAGCAAAATCATCTAAGTTTGAAACACTGGGCGGGCGAGGGCGTTATTTCCTGGAGTGTTCAACAGACCTTGGTTTAAGGAACCTTCCTTTTTTATCCTCTTCATTGTATTGACTCCAACTTCTGCAATAATAACAATAATTGGGTTAGATGGCAGATTATTATCACTTACAATAGAATAAATATAATGAAATATAACCTGTCAGTTAAGATAAATGGGCCAAATAACTGGATTCAGAGGTTATCAGATATTTTTCTCGACATCGTTGAGTTCTTTGACGAAGTCTTCCATCTGACGTTTAAAATCTTCATCGGACAGACCTTAAAACAATAAATAATTAATGTTTGAGTTGTAATCTAATTACTCGTATGTACATACTAGAACAAAGGTAAAATTATGTTGAATACAAAAAAGTGCGTTTTCCAATTACAGCACTAGAGCGCATTATGCGGCATAATGCTCAACGTTGAATGTTCCAACTACAGCAACGCTTCGCACAATTGAGCACTTTCAAAACAAATGCTCTCGCGTGCTTCTCGCAATCAACACCAACACAGTGACAGAAAATTGACCAGTGTTTTTCTTTAAGTTGGCATTTATCGAAATTTTCGTTAGTAAATATTATTTATTGTTGAAAAATTTGTAAGGCTTTCGTTTCGTCGTAGATTTTGAAAATAATTAAAGTTATTTCAAACTGCTAAAAAAAAAAATATAAGTATGGATGAAGGTATAAATAGTTACTTTTTTTATATTCCGCATTTAAAATATGAATACAATTTTATTTTAAAATTCGGATCTGTAAACAAATTTATTTTACATGATTATACTTTTGTAAACATTGCAATGGTTTTGAAAAAGTATATAATTTTTTTAGAAATCATTAAAAAAAATTACTCAAAACGTAAATGATGAATGAATTCTTACATGAAACTAAATATTTTACTGTTAATTTAGCTTGATAAAACCTTATATTCTTTAAAGGTTTTCTCTTATTTCAGTAAAGAAATGTTAATGAAATAATTTGATTATTAAAATAAGCGTAACAAGTTTTTTTAACCAATTATTATTGTTTACCACATTATTTATACATTAATGAGGTTGCTAATTCTATTCAGAACATTTTTTTTTCAACACTGATTTAGCGCACTCTGCTGATGCATTTGAAAACTAATTCACGTTCCAATTAAGCTTCAGCATTATGCGGCATTGTGCGGCACTGAGTCGCATAATGCTCTGTAATTGGAAAACGCACAAACAAAAGTTTTTTTTATTTTTTTTAATATCTAGGACGAGTATCAAAATGTTTGGGCTGTACTTACTTCTAGCCGAAATAATTTCGTTAAAAATTCGTTATGTTTCCTCGAAGCGCTGATTTATATCATCTTTCTCTGTTTATACTTGCTTATCATTGTATACAGCAAGCTCCGGGCACTGCTTTTAATGGGTTTCAATGCTTTTTCGTACAAAAACTTACAATAATCATACACCATCAACAACAACAAGATAATGATGATGATATTAATTTTTCCTAATGGGAAAGGCATAGGACTTTAGCCCAACAACAACAAGAGGTTATAGTGACATTTAGTTTGACAGGCAGAAGTGTGGCCATATGAAGGATTAGAAATAAATCGCATCTCACGATTCGTTTGCCAGACTATGTATTTTGTATGGCTTTAATCTATCCTATAGTCCCGTTATCACATTGTAGTCTTTGGTTTCATCTGTGTCTCTACGTTATTTCTGTAGTGAGTAGTCTGTGGAAAATCTAGCAAGAAATCAGCCGTAGCAGTCCTAAATTTCTCTCCTGTGCAGTTCATTAAATTGAATATAATGATATAAATGGAAACATGCAAATATGCATTTGTAACAGTTTAGTTCTGCAATTTGTACTTTTTTCTACGTATAAAATTAAAGCTGAATACGAAGTTACAAATAATTATGGCGTCGCAACCTAGTGATAACACAGAGTTTCCACCAGAAATTATTCAGAAACCTCTAGCTTTAATTGGACTCTCTGGACTAGATACTATCAATAACGCAATTCATAAAGCCATATGGGATGCTTTTTCTAACAACCGACGGCCTGATCGAGCCTCGGTAAGATTTAAATTACTCAACAATACTTTTGAATATCCTGTGGTAAAGCCCAAACGAAACTCATATGAGTGGTACATCCCTAAAGGGATTTTAAAGAAAAACTGGATACCCAAGAGAATATCTTTAATACCAGCAGTTATAGTTATATTTTATGACATGGAATGGAATGATCCACAATGTAATGAGAAAATTATAGAATGCGCTTCAAGAGTCCAATCTATAAGAGCAGCGGTAGAGGGCCATGCAACTCGCGTTGCTGTAGTAGTAGTTCAGAGTGGCCTCTCTCCTCCGCCTTCAGAATACATGCTTGGTGCAGAAAGAGCACAGGCACTGTGTGCCGCATGTGAAATACAGTCCAAATCATTGTTTGTTCTTCCACATAGTGATCACCTCATGGGCTACATCATAAGACTAGAGAATGCATTTTATGATATAGCCCAAAATTATTATCATCATGAAACTAAAAATATAAAGCAGCATAGAGATCATTTGAACAAGACCACACATCAATATCTATTTGTACGTCATCAATTTAAACTTGGTTTTTTAAATGAAATGAAACAGGATTTTAGTACAGCACACAAACATTATATGCATGCTTTTAATAATTTACTGGAAACACGTCAAGTGGATACAAATATTCATGAAATTAGAACAGTTGCAGGATATATAAATTATAAATTATGTAAACTACTTTTTGCCTTAAATCTACCAAGAGATGCTATTGCGCAGCTTAAAAATCATATTGAAAGATATAAAAGCAGAATTGGCCCAACAGAACTTCTGTTTGAACACTATGCATGGATTGCTAGGCAGTATAGTGCCTTTGGTGAATTGTTTGATGAAGCGATCAGAGCTGGACTTCCAGCTATACAGTCACAACATCCAGGTTTTTATTACCAATATGCAGCCCAATTTACTGTGAAGAGAAGACAAGCCATGAGATCAGTTTGTTGTGAGGCACTTCAGTATCCGGCTCCTCCTGATCCAATGGAGGGTATAGTTGAATTTTATGGCCAGCGCCCATGGCGACCAGGAAGACTTAGTGCCGATCCTCATGATCCACAAAAAGAACAAGGTGCAGTTTTAGCACTCCAATATAATGAAAAAAATTTTAATCACTCTGCAATGATCATAAGTTTTTTAGGATGTGCAATATCACAATTCAAAACATTCCACTCTCCTCGGATGAGGAAGCAATTAGTTGTTGAAATGGCAAATGAATATTATTATTGTGCTGACTATGGTAAAGCCCTCACCTTGTTAACACATATGCTCTGGGATTACAGAAGAGAGAAATGGTGGTTTCTTGCATCCCATGTTCTCAATCGAGCTTTACAATGTGCTTACCTATCTGCAAAGGTGCAGGATTATATTCAGCTTTCTGTTGAGGCTCTATCAAAAAACATACAGGTACCAAATAATGATAAAAATAGGATATTTCAAAATATCATGTCAGTTTTAAACTGTACCATCCCTACACCTGAACCAGATATCCCAATTACATCACAGAATAAAGCTGTAGATTTTTGGCAGAATGTTATAGAGAAAGATCCTTGGCTCATTGCTATTGATATGGTTAATATATCGAGTTTTTTAGAGGTAAAAACTAAATTTTTGCAATCTAAGTACAGAATGGATGAAGGAGTTGTAGTGGAAATTTATGTAAGGCATACTCATAATGCTTCTCTTGAAATAAAACAGGCTTACCTTACAGTATCTAGTAATACAGAAACAATAGAAATTCAAATAACTAAAGAAGGAATCCCATGTTTTACCATACAAAAAGATAAAGTACATAGATTTTTGTGCCACTTTAAATCAAATCCCCAAGACATAGGCTCACAGTTACATATACGAAATGTATCTTTTATCCTTGAAGGAAATCAAACTAGAAAAATTATATTTAATTTTAAAATAGAGGATAATAAATCTACTAACTTGTTTGTACATCCTGAATTACTGCATTTTATTATGAAACCAAAAACTGATTTTGAATTTGATTGCATTGTGCCTTCAACATCAGCTTCAATTATGTCAAGAGAATGCCAACTATCTATGAGTATATCTAATAATGTTCCTGCACTTCAAGGAGAGTGGTTTCCTACCATTTTTACTATTACAAATGATGAGGAAAGTCCTGTTTTTGAAATCACAATTTCACTGTCACTTGTCAGCTCTCATGATAACCCCAACCCTGAATCAGTGACTGAATTAAGTCTTAAAGCAAGTGAGTCCCAAACTCAACCTTTAACAATTCATGTGGCAAATATTAATCAATCATGTAGCTACTCAAACAAATTCTACTTGAAGAGCAATAAAACTACAAGTACTACGGTACAGATTAAAGTATCTTACTTCATCACTTTTAATGAAACTCCAAAATTGCAATGTATGAAAGAGTTTCTTACTAAGATTACTGTAATTAAACCCTTTGAAGTAAATGTCAATTTTTCAGATTTGAATTTCAAGCCAATTACAAAGTGCTTTATAGATGATGCTTTTATAGTTTTGCCTCAAATAAAAATATTAAGTCCATGGCCATTATTAATACTTGACACAGAGTTAGAAAACATTGATTGCCTTGAGCACTGTGACAATGAATCCCAATCATGCATAAAAAATCTGGAGGTAAATGATAAAGATGTTGCTTCTGATGCTGTTTGTTTAAGAGCAAAAAATATGCCTAAAGAGCTACCAACTAGACTTGGACTTTACAATATTAAATGGAAAAGAAAAGAAGAAACTGATGGCCTATTTATAATGAGCACTACTGCTTTGCCAGCATTGCCAATAGACAACTGTCCCATATCAATAGAGGTAAACTATCCAGAAGTAGTGGAGTTGCAGACAAGTGTGCCTTTTAAATGTGTTCTCAAGGGAAACACAAACATTCCTGTGAGACTAAACCTAACTGTAGAAGGAACTGATTCATACATGTTTTCAGGATATAAAAAGTTTTCTGTTACAGTTCCTCCAAAGGAGGTAGTGGAATTGTGCTACAACATACAACCCTTAGTTGCTGGTAACACCATACCTCCACGGTTAAACGCAACATTGTTGGGAGACTCTTCAAGGCAAGAAGCAATAAAGGAAATGTTTGAGAAGAACTTTCCACAAAATATCTTTGTTATGCCTAAGTACAATAAATAAAAATAAATGTAATAGTGTTTTGTAGAAATAAATTTTATCAAGTTTGTATATAGTATGAACAAATTATGTAATTATATTATAGTTACCTTGTAATAACTACAATTATTAATAAATTCAGTTATTTGTTAAAAAGTATTTGAAATAATACCCCCTTGATTTAAAAAAAATTTTTATTACAGTATAGCAAATTAATCTTTACGGAGCTCAAATTTTTCTTCTTGTATACCATTAGCTGTAATAATCAGGATGTAAATGCTGTCTCCAGTGTAGATGTCTCTTTCTGCTGCACTTATAAAAACATCCTTCAATAGAGCCAATGCCTTTTCTCTTGGTAAAGGTGCCTCAGTGACATTTTGCATGTTCTTTAAACCAATCTGGTTATCAAGTAAGGGTTGCAGCTGTGCTCCGGCTGACCCTCCTGCTCTATATGTTGACCTTTCACAATGACCAATGGGATCGTAGCTATAAACACATCCCTTGCCATCACTATCTATGCCTGCCAGTATGTTAGAGACATAGTAGGGAAAGAATCGTTTGTAGTAAAGCATAGTAGACAACATTTGAGCAACTGCAGGTGTCGTCATAGCCTTATTGTGTTCATGTTCGTACATTTGCATACGCGCTTGCAACAGTCTTGTTAGCGTTAGAGTGTCGCACCAACAACCCGTTGCACCCAAGACAGTTTTATCAGATAGCTTAAATAGTTTCTTTTGTTCCCTGGTATAGATAGAGAAACCGGTGCTGAGTCTAGTGTCTGCTCCAATTACAGCGTAGTCATCACCTGCGATTGCCACAATACTTCCACCATTGTCCGCATAGGGTTCAAAATGAACTTTCTTCACTCCAGGCAGAGCATATTCAGGGAAATTGTCGTTTATATTCAACATTTTTAACACAAATTAAATTGATTGCAAAATTTTACAAATTCGAACACGAATGACAAGCAATAATTTGATCACAGAATTTATAAATACATACTTTTGTCTTTTGACAGATACAGTAACAGAAAAGAGAAGTTGTCAATTGTTAATTACAGAATACAGATTCATATTTTTAGGCATAATATTAGAAGACTTCAGAAAAAGGTGAGAAAATTCAGATTTGAGAATTTTACATTAACCCTCAAATCAGATATATACAGTAATAAGTCATTATGGTGTTGTGATCTAAAAGAAAACCAAAGATGAAACACCAGATTATGACAAGAAGTCATTTCTTACGGTAAGGACGCATTTATCTTTTTATTATTTTTTTCTTATTTAAATATATGTAATTAAGATTTAATAAATTAATTTTATATTTTTAAAATCAATATAAACTCTTCTTGAAAGTATAAAATTTTGATAAGTTAAAATTACTTATCATAAAAGTTTCATAATTTATGAATTATTGTAGGTAAAAGTTCGTGACTATGCGTATCTATAAACAATAATCTTTAAAGCCACGTCAATGCAGAATTGTTAAAACTAAAATGTCAAGTATCAACTATCATTTATTGCCTTCTACTAGTCTGTGGCTGCAACTAACTATAATTAATATTAGTCTCTAATTCTTATATCAATACAGCTCTAATTCGCCTGTGTTGTAACATACTCTATAAGTACTAGTCTATATAATTTGTGATTATTATTCTACTATATAGTATAATGTCACTTTTTGCATGTATTGGCTAGACCTACTTGAATCTTCATAATATCCAGTCTTGTGATTATTTATACTTTGTGAAAATGACTTCAATAGTATCAATAATACCGAAGCTGTACCAAGAATACGCAAATAAAACTTCAAAGAAACTAAAAATCGTAGATGCGTATTTGTTGTACGTTTTCCTGACCGGTGTTATTCAGTTCATTTATTGTTGTCTGGTTGGCACTTTTCCATTCAATTCATTCCTTTCTGGATTTATTTCTTGTGTTAGCTCATTTGTACTTGGAGGTAAGTCCAAATTCGGTTATAATTTTACGGTTGCTTTATTTCAATATTCGTATATTAATATAGGTTATGTTTGTTTCAGTGTGTTTGCGGTTACAAGTCAATCCTGAAAACAAAAATGAGTTCTCAGGACTAAGTGCTGAGCGAGGATTTGCAGATTTCATATTTGCACATTTAGTCCTTCACATTGTAGTTATGAATTTCATTGGATAAATATAATTTTTTTCACAATATATATGAGGTGTTAATATATCATTCAATACATTTAGTCTATAATAATTTTAATTCAGTGTGGGCATGGTCATATAATGGTTTCATACTGGTTACCTATTTTCTAAAATAAAATCAGTTGAATGTTTATTTAATAGTTTTATTGACTAGTACTTAATTTTAATAAATCATGTTATTTATACTAAATCTGCAATCCAGTACCTGCTTCAATAGAAAATGTAACAAGTATTTAAATAAAATTTTGACAATAACAAGATGGTGCAAATGTACAAAAGATAAATAAATCAATGAAATTTAACCACATTTTTTTAGGTTTTAAAATAAAATATCAATTAATATCTATAATAAAAATTTAAATGAAGGAAGTGTTCTTTTTCATTTTATACATTTTTGATATAACTATATGGCAAGTCTGCCATCTACAAAAAATTAAAATGATGACAATAGGATAGATAAAACTATCTATAATGGACAAGTCATACTTTCAAATAAGGTACTCTTACAAAAATACTATTAAAATTTATCTACATATAATTAGTTAAAATAACAAAGCAGTCAACCATGAAAATGAGCAACACTTAACTGGAAATAGATATAAAATACCATATTATCAGCAACAAAATAATTTATCTATTGGCAATTTCAGTGAAATTATAAAATAAAAAAAAATAAATATATATATATGAGCATTCTGTGGTATCACAAATTCACTGGTGACTTGAATTTAGTAATTTGATATTATAAACATTGCTTTAAAATAACACAATTTTCACATTAAAATTTTCAATAGCACAGATGGTTACAGGAATAAACCTTTATATCATGTACTCCGTGTTGGTTTAGATTTGTACCACAAAACACTATCACAATAATTTTTAAATGTAGAATCAGCCTCTCAATGTTTCACTACACAGTGACCTTGTTTTATAATAGTTTGAAAGAAGCAATAAAACATCTTCGGTTATTGTTTCCTTAAACTGGTGTTAAACCTTAATAAGCCATGGTAATAATTAAATTTGTTATCATGTACAATAAATACTTGAAGTTGTACATCAATGGCTTCCACTAAATTTAACTCGGATGTGTATTTTACATAAGCCGACAGCCAGGCAGATTATTGTAAACTATGGAAACAAGTCATTTAAGGTCTATCCCATCCAAAACGGGTTATTTAAGTACTTATTAATTTCACTTATAATTATTAAAAAGGTATGTTCTTAAAAGGATGACTTTGTGCAGTTACATTAATGTCCAACATATATTTACAAGTTAATTAACATCGATTCCGTGTTCTTAGCAATTTTAATTGTCGAAAAGGTGAAGCTTCACTTAATCATTTATATCCTTAAAACGAATGCGTTTGAGATCAATTTACCTCTGTTACGTCATATACAGTTCGATACACCTGACGTCAGTAACATACAATTTAAAGCCGGTTCGTGATTCAGGACATCATCCCATGTTCTGTTGTGTTGGGGCGGAGTCTTTGCAAGTATCGTCTCCTGGCAGCGTTAAGTAATTGCATTTTACGACGTCTCAGCGCCATCTCACGTTCTGCGGCGCTCTCTGAAAACTCCGCTCCCGCTGACTCAGCGCTGCCAATAAATAATGTTAAGTTGTTCAATTACTGACATAACTGTATAAAACAATTTGAACAATAAAACAACAATGTCAAAACAAAAATTATAAATACCTGTGAAGGTCAGCAACGGTTTCGGGAGCGGTAGCGGCTGGCTCAAGATTTACATGCCTTGCATTCTCTAAACAAAAAAAAGGTTGTGTCGTGAGTGAGTATTCATTTTGGGACTCCTAAACCATTCATATGCATAAGGAAAAATATATTTGGTAAAATAACACTGTATCTAAATAGGTGTTCAATCACCACAGTTAACTTTTAGTAGCTTGACTGGGTATATAGTCTTTAAACGATGGACACACGTCTAAAATATATAAAACATATCTTCACGTTTATGTATCAAATGACAGGCAGCTTTTTTTAAAGTTTCCAGTTACTGTGGACTTAAGATATCTTGGGTTACATTATTGAACTTTATAACTAAAGAAATATTAAAGACTGATTCAGTTGTTTTTATGCACATACCATGTCTTTGTTTTGCGGACAGTAATTTTTTTAACATTAAATAATATAACCTGTGGGAGGTGAAGGGGGCGCGGGCAATCGTCCTTCCAGAATGTTCTCGATTGTGAGGTGAGCGGAACGCGTACGGGACACGTCGGCACGTACCGCTGCTGCGCTGTACTGAGGGAACACAGCTGACACCTATTACAAATATAAGTGTAACCATTCATATATGTAAATTTTATAAAAGTCAATTTAACAGGCTATTTTATTTATTTCTACTCCCCAACATCACACTTGTTAAAACGAGGACAATCAAACGCTTATGAAATATGTAAGAAATAATATATAGGTACACGTGTGAAAATGCCAGATCCATGCAACTTATTCGCTTCAAGAGTTCAAGAGCCAAATTCACAAGCAATATTAATTCAAGTTTTTTTATTAGCTCTCAAACATCACGCATGTTAATAAAACAATTTTTTACCGGAATGAAGTTATGTATTTTACATAAATTTAACCGACGTTTCGCGTGCTTTACAGCGTGCGTGGTCACAATACATAACTTCAATCCGGTAAAAAATTGTTTTATTAAATGCGTAACAGTTATGTCAATAAAAGACAATACTATATCACACATATTAATATGAGGACAAACAAATAATTATGTAATATGTAAGAAATAGGATATACACGTGTGAACGTGAAACGAAAACTTAAGGCAAAGTGCTGACCAGATCCATGCAACTTCCTCACAATCGAATAGCCCGCAATATCGCAGCACACAACTCCCGAAGGAACTTTTTGTATCGAAGAAGTCGCATGGGTCCGCACAAGCGTAATTAACAATGCAAGCTTTCTAAAACGACTCTATGTAGTTGCTGAAAACGTCCACCGGGTCAATTTTCATCACAGTTTTATTGTAAACCCGACATAATCTGATAACAGAACCATTACACTATGAGCGAAAACGTGAGAAATGCGTGTAAAATAGATATTATTTCTAGTCAAACGTGTACTGCGGTGATAGGGATTTTAGTAATTACAATATTTTTACGTATTATCTTGTAAAGATACACTATATTCATGACGGCTTGTCGCTATTCAAGTGATTGTTTTGACTAACACGTATACTTTAAGTAATATATCTCAACCCATTATAGTTTCGCTGGTAATTGAACCTTCCTAGGCTGCAATTGTTTCGAGTTTTTAGAAAGAAACTCTACTGACTAGGCGATCTCGTCTTAAATAACGATAAACTGATACATTTAGACACCGAGAGATTTGCTCTACGAGATATTAAAATTCATTATTATAGTATTGTTTGATGCATTACCTGTGCAATAATTGCATCCAGTTGCGGTGACAGTGGCGTGTTTGTTTGCGGGGCGGGAGTGGCGGTGGCAGGGGCTGGTACTCTTGTCACCTCTACAGAGAAACTGGGCAGCCACGAAACATATCGGGACCCTGGAAATCACAGGAATGCATTGCCTAAGAACCTGTAGCACCCATACTCCTATAGACTAACAAAATAACTCGGTCGCTAAGCATAGACAATCATAAATTTTGCAATGCATTATCTACAATTGCAATGTCGAGATAAGCACTTATCTGAATAATTAGATTTCTCCGTTATACCAAAATTCGTTGTTATGTTATATGGATCTAAAATCCTTCTTCGAGTATTATGAATCTCTTTTCTAGTAATCAACTACGATATCCTCTACGAATAGAGTTAGTTTAATAAGATATGGTATATGTATAAATTATACTAATGGTAGGGGAGCCCAAGAGGGGATTTCGGGATTTACTAAAGCGCGGCAGATTAATATATAGGGGGATACCTTGTACCCGGTTAAGTACCTCCACAAAATATGAGGCCCATATATAAGGCCACCCGTGAAGGAGACAGGATCAGATTAGTAAAAAAAATTGACCATCAGAAATTCCCGAGCGCGTCAGATTAAGGTAGGGTGAGTTAATTACATCCTAAAAAGTGTATATTCCACTAATCTGACAATTTTAGAGTGACGGAAAAAAAGGGGAGGGCAACAAAGTTGTAAAAAAAAACGTCATCTCGACATTCTCGAGCGTAGCTATTCAGAAAAATATATAATCTGACGATTTCCGCAAGCCGAAATAACAAAAATTCGTCGATAAAGTTAAATGCGTGCAGCTGCGTGATGCCTACATTTCCTTAAACCGATCGGAATCTACTAAACGGCGTTCTAATTATTTCCCTCAAAATTACATTTCCTGTGAATTTGAACCGATTCGGACCGATAGATTTTGAGAAATTTTGAAAAATCTTAAAAAAATAAGAAATATTTTTTTTAAAAGTGGTTTCTTTATCGATCAACTTCAAAAACTAATCCGCCTTTGAGCTTGAAAAACCACGTCGACCGCCACCAAGCTGGTCAAAAGCGGTTGATTAGTTCGAAAGATATCGTGAACGAAAGAAACCCGAAAAAGTGTTTTTTCGGGATTACTCCGAAATTTGTGGTTTCGATCAATTAAAATTGCAAAATTACTTATGAGAATGATAAAACTGCGTCGAATGCCGCCAACCGCGTGAAAATTGCTTGATCCATTCAAAAGTTATTGCGGTTTGAACATTCCAAAAATAGTGTTCTATGAAACTTCTATCAGACTTTCGAGCTGGGAGAGCTCAAATGCATAGAAATGTTATTTCTTTGAACTCAGCGAGCTCAAAATATCAATTTTAAGCGCCCAGGAATGGAATTAGCGGGAAGTTGCAGGGATGGCCCTTTAGGTGAACCGTTTTTCTATTTTTTTTTTGTCAGATCAGGCGAATCCCTCTAGATAATCGTCAGATTATGAGACAGTACGTTTAGAACATAAAGATGAACCACATATATCTTAATCTGACGCGCTTGAGTATTTCAAAATTGCGATTTTTTTTTGCAAATTATGAAAATGGCCGTGGGTTTGCGTCCCATCGAAATCGTCAGATTAGTGAATGAGAGCTTTTTTTGGTGCACTTAACACTCCCTTAAAAAAACTGACGCGCTCGATAATTTTTATTTTTTTTTCATTTTCAACCCTTAAATACAACCACCCTCATCATGCAAACGATCAGATTAACATACGTACATTATTAAAAATACGTAGGGCATTGATGCTATCAATATCTGACGCGCTCGAGGATGTCCATGCAACAGTTTTTTTTTACATATTTAACAATCTATAGCCGCTTCCCCCACCGATGAAAAGGTATATAATATCATATAACATTTTTTTCTTCTTATTATCTAAGCTTTGCATCCCAATAGGTCTCTACGACGCTCGAGTAAATCCCCATTTAGCATCGTGGGCTCCCCTACCATAAATAGCAAAAGCCCGGACTTAAAAGTAAGTTATACATTTGAATTGTTCGTTAATGATATGTGTAATTTTGTTAAATTTGGATAATATTTGAGTATGACGTAAAAAAATTACGTTGTATTTAGGATAAAATGTATTTTTATTATGGAAAACTAAAAGTCATATCGAGATGTCATTATACTCCAACTTAATAATAATTTGTTTGATAAAAAGTTCTCCATTCGTTTTTAATATACAGGTCTCCTTCTTCGTATTTCAATTCTGGAGGGGCGTGTATATTATAGATTCACGTGATTTATTGCTACAGGTATTTGGTCTGAAAGGGTTATTAACCATAAGAGAATTCGATTGAGATATCAATTTTTATGTTGCAAAAGCGAAATTTAGGGTATTATTAATTTATACCAGCTTTATCCTGTTTTAAAGATGACTATTATCATTATTGCCCTATCATGCGTAACAAACATGTTTATTATTCCAACAATTTCCTGCCAGGAAAATTTTCTTGAAGCAAAGATTATAATTATTATATATTTGTTTTAAAAAAACCTATTAACGACTTCTGCGCATCTGATGAATCTGGCTAACTTATTTGCCGGGAACGATCATTCCTTAGCTCCTATATAATGTAACATCACTAGAACAATGATGGCGGAAATGATCACCGTTCCAGTTCCGTGGCAGACACATAAGCGCGAGGAGGAGCCAGACCGCGCCCAACACGCAAAAGCACGCCGCACCCACATTCACACAGGACGCCACCATCACATAATATCGCCGGTGTGATATTTTTAATGCATTTTAGTTTTATAGAAACTCTGTCAAATTGACAGAAACGCGTAGTCATGACGTAATAATAATTCTTTAAATTTAAATTAAGGATTTATTGTTAATGCATGCAATGTACGCAGTGAAGCATGACCCCGAATAAACAACATTATCGTTTTAACCTTGGCGATGTTGATTGAATGGAATTCTTTGGTTTTTACAGGTAAATTATTCAAATCGTAATAATTAAAAAATGTTTTTGGTGTAAATAAGTTAAGTATTGATTAGATTAAATGTATTTCCGCAGTGAATAATTAAATTTTAATCACTCGTCAGGTTTTTGGTGACCACAAGTAATTGGCGGGTCACGAGACACATTAATCAAAATATTTTTAACGCTTTCGACTAAAATAATTAATTAATTTATATTTTATTTTTTGAACGTTTGTAGCGACCACATAGGTCACGTATGTAACACATACTTTTATTTTGTACCACACAATACAGGAACATTTAATTCGCTTAAAATTTTTGTTTATACGTTTTTATAACCTTTGTTTATTTTTCAGCTTGTCGTGACCACAAGTAATTGGAGGAATACTGACGTCATTACTTCAATAATTTATCCGCAGGTCCTGCTTTTGTTAAAATCAGGTCTTTATTGTTATTGTTCTATATTGATAACTCTTCTTCCTTATCTTCTTTGCTAGTCTTTCCCTCTTTTGCCGTCTATTGTCTTTGTCACACGTGTTAGAAAAATAAAGTTATATTTCCGGCTCTGTAAATACTTATCTAGCTCTTCAAGTAACTATTTGAAGACATTACGTACAAGTACTTACCATCAAAGTGGAAAAGATGATTAGCGGCGGGCGGATCGGAGCCAATGTGTGTGAGCGGGTTAAGTGGATTAAGCGGAGACATAGGCGTAAGCGTAGCGGGCGGCGGTGTGGGGCGGGCCGATAGTGACCGTCGACACGTGGGGCACGATGCGTCTTGTTGCACCCAACGACAAAGGCACGAGCTGTAGAAACATACATACACTTTATAGAGTTAGTGCGAACAGCATCGGCGTGGTTATACGCACTAATACAATAATTATTTGATACTGCGTATGTTCATTTCTTCACAAAACCTATATACTTTTAATTTTTTCATATTACATAACAATGTTGCCAACATAACAAAAAAAAAGGGTGCGTGTACTTATGTACGCGCGTAAGAAGTTATACTTCTTTGGCATTATTCAAAATAGTTTTGATTGCATGCAAATAATTAATTACAATTAAATAATCAATGACTGGAAAAGGAGTCATTATAGTCAATAAAGTTCAGTTTACATTTGAAAAATTAAATAAATAAATGTTTATTTATTTATTTAATTCTCTTACATTAAGTGTAACATAAATTCTATTATTATTCGAATGTTGTTTTCATTCTGTTAATTGTGTGTCACTCTCATCAATTTTTCATAACGCGCATAAAGAAGTAGGTATAACTTAAAAATGTAATTTAGCACTACTGCCTTGAAACCCACAGGCTACGACGGTTTTCCTTAGGTACAGAATACAAATGAGATAGGAAGATTCTACAGGGCTAATTTTGTATGAGGATCGATTTCACAAAGACGCACAAGGAAAGTTAATAATATACCATACCCATGTTTACTCATCCGAGGTTACCTTTATACAGGTCGGAGCCCTTATAGTAAGATTCAGAGTCGACATTTAGCGCCAACTGTTACTGTGTGTGTGTGACGCCCATACATTTTTGACATAGGGAAGTAATCATTGCCGCTCAAACTTAATTCTAAATGATACCCTTAGTGTGTTTTTAATCGAATTCCTTATCTAGTTATTGATAACGCGATGAACGGCTATAAAGTGTATTAGTAGGTTAAATAACAGTTAAATTTGAATAAACATGAGGAAGCAAGAGGGTTAATGCGATTGTCTGCTTTTCACTCTAGCCTTTCGCCTTTCGCGAGAGATAAGGAACTAAAATGGCTTGTTAAAGTTGAGCCTTTAAAATTAATTAGTGTTTAAACCAATTTCATACAAATATTCATAGTTTAAAAACCTAATAAACACACGCACCTTACAAAATATTGTTTTAAATAATCGTGTTGTTAATTAATTTGGACACTCTCAATGCCATAGGGCTCGCGAGTGCGTTGCCGGCCTTTTTAGTATTGGTACGCTGTTTTCTTAAAGGATGAGGATTTTTATCAGAGTCATATTAGAAAGCAAATCGTTAAAGGCTTACTTGTGGAATAGATGAGCGCAGGGCAGCTTACGCGCTTCCTTCATGGGTTCCCAGCAGATGGCGCAGTTATCCTGGTTCTTTTCTACCTCCTCCGGGCTGGCCATAGGGTAGCTGCAGGCATCATACGACTTAAATGCTTTTATTCAAAGCTTTTTGAAGTGAAACTTCTTTAGGCGCATAAGGGTAAAAATTTTACGGATGAAACGCAATAATAATAATATTAGGGTCACGAAGATGTGCAGCGTTTTTGTCGAAGAAGACCGATTAAGAGAGAGTGAGAAGGGCGATTACCTTATACAAATTATGTTTTTAAAATTAAAATTTCGTAAAGAGAATTTATGAAATATTAGTATTTTATATTTTATGGAAAATAATTTATTGAAATCTCAAATCACGAGTTCTTAATTAAAATACCACATGTTTTTATTATCGAAGAAATTTATAATTTGTATTAATTTTCGACAGTTTTAATATTTTCATGACAATTAAATTCCTAACATATCTTCCTTTTTCCCTCCATCTAAGTCTCGGAAATTTAAAGTTTTAGATTTGCATAAATATGACCAAGACTTAAAAATTAGTTTGCCAAAGAAGTTTCACTACTGATATGTGTACTTTGTAGGCACGCACCTTTTTTTTAAGGGACATTAGGTGCATACAGGACATAATATTGCCGTCCTTTCACTAATAATTAATTTCCTTGTAATTTTTGTTGCTGGTTTACCTATGCGTGTTTTTTTAATTTTGTTTTATTTTCTACGATCCAATGTCCTGGCGTCAAGCGTGCATTATTTAAATTAATTTTTCGTGATAACACTTTTTGCTTCATGACTTTCCAAAAAAGGCTTCTAAGGGCTAATTTCACCAAACTCAGATAAGTTTTATTCCAAGGAATTAACCCTGGAATAGCAAATTTTACATTTCACCAACTACTTAACCTGAGAATAAAACGTTATTCCAAGGATAAGATTTATACGCCCAATTTTGAACGAATACGGAGATATTCCTTGGATAAAAATGGCCGCCATGTCATGTCAGCTGTTTTCTATTTATTCTTCGATGTTTCATTTGTGCAAAAAGATTTCGTGTTTTGATTTTCTCCCGTTTTAATATTTCATTTTTTATTTTTATTTCAACTTCAAATTTTTTTTTTCCGTCCTCTCTCTCCTCAGCAGCAAAATTCATAGCTTTTATTTTAATTTTATGTAACTCTTCTAAAGTTGAAGAAACCGGTAAAGTAGGTCTGCGTCTGCTGCTCCAATTTTTCTTTTGAGTGAGAGGGGTATTTCCAGCATCCTCTACAGATATTAAAGCACAGTCATCAATATCCATATCCAAGGCAAGAGGCGTCGATTTAGCTGGCTGAACCACAGGCTGAACTGACTGTGTACGCAGAGGAGCAGATTTCTGAGATTGCAGCATCTTTGGGGTGTAGTCTCCCCAATCAGCAGCACAGTCACCTTGTGATTTATCATTATCGCAGGTAAAATTTGCAGCATCAATATCCAAGTCAAGAGGCGTTGACTTGGTCACAGTGGTGTTCGGCACAAATATGCCTGATACATCTGGAATTTTAACTGTAGCCAATGTTTCATTTTCTTTTAATATAAAATTATCGCAATCATATGGATTTTCGAGTCCAACAGCAACTGTTGAAATAAGACCCAAGATCCGGGTAAATAACGGGTCGTCAGATTTAGGCTTTGCAGGTCCCCCACCTAAACAAAAAATCAAATATAGTTAAGAATGTCACAGTACCAACATAGGTTTATCATGAAGATGCTTTTAGCTGCGAAAATAAGCATGTAAAATGATAAAATGATTTTACCTGTTTGAATCATGTACTGCCTTGCAGCAGCAGATTCTTTTTTGGTGAATTTTTTTAAGCTTTCCCATTGTGCCTTTAAATTTTCCGCGGTTCTGTGGCTGAAACTGGTTTGCGAATTGAATTCATTGGATATTTTACTCCACTCAGCATTTTTTTCTTTCATGGTTACTGCGTCGGTACGCTTGTTTTCCACTATCTTAAAATGGTCAGTTATCAGGTAGGATTACTGGTACATTTGCCAGTTAGGACTTCTTTTTCTAGCGGTCATTATCATGAACGATATTGTTTCTGTTATTTATTTTCTTCTTTCAAATCAAAACCAAAATAAACACTCAGGCAAAACAAAGCTTCTATGACCTGACCACAGATTACAAAGTAGGTTCCATGACAGCTTCAAACTGACGTATAATCCAACTAAAGTAAAAAGTTCCATTTAACCTTCATGTTCTTTAAAGAAATTGTACATTTAATTTGTTTTCATTATACACTCATTCGTTCGTTCACTCAATATACACTTCCACAGATAAGCATAACGGCTATTCCAAAGAATAGCTAATCTGAGACTAGTTTATCGGATGTTTTACATGGTGAAATGTAAAGTGAGTAGTCTGGGATTAAATTCAAGCGAATATGTTTATCCTTGGTATAGCTATTCTCGGATAACTACGACATTGGTGAAATCAGCCCTAAGTCAAAGTTGTACAATTAATTATAGATAAGAATGTTATTATAATGTCGAGAATATTATTGTATGCAAGAAAGGCAATAGGCAACTTTCATCGTGTACCATAATACCTTTAGAAATCACATGCCACGAACAATTACATTTAGTTTTTATGTACTGTCACTCCAAGACATAATCGACCCACTGAAAATCAGTGTTGCTGGTAAAACAACAACAACATAAATCTGAGTTGAGTTTAGTTTTTTATTAAAGTAAGATTGTGTTTGCATTTATTTCATACAAAAATATTTTATTTATATCATCACGCCATTTTCCCGAAGGGATTGGCAAGGACCACGGATTTCCAATAGCTACGGTCCACACAAACCTCTTTCGCTTCATCTACTTTTATAACATTCACCATGCATGCTCGTCGTTTGTGGACATTTCCATGGACTTGTTCCAGGTATAGGGGCCGTTCAAGTATTACGTAAGGGGTCCTTTGATTTTCTTATTTGGTGATTACGTCAACAGTAATTATTTACTTTTTTACACATATTACACACACATTGTCAATACTTGAAAACGAAATGCATTTTCATAAATTCCTACAAAAAATTAATAGGTACGTTTATGTACCATTATTTTTGAGAGCTTTGCTTACTTTTGCTGACAAGAGGAAGGGGGATAAATTTCAGTAAATCTGCTTAAGTACATAAAACTTGAACGGCTACTATGTACGACCAACCCGACTTCACCATCCACGGTTGCCTTGTATCCTACTTGCTTACCGTTTCTCATTTATCCGTTCTACATGGCCAAATCGCCTAAGCATTCCCTATTGAATCCTTTTTATTACGTCCTATTTTGCTCACGTATCTCTCTATTACTTATCCTGTCACGCAATATTACACCATGCATACTTAATTCCCTCATTTCCACGGCATTTATTCTACTAACATTCTTTCTCTGCCATACCCAACATTCAAAATAATACAAAATACACTAAATGTAACGTCCCTCGAATAAAGCTGAAACGTCTTAAAGCGTCGAAATTACTCGACTTTGGTTGGTTTGCCTTGTTGTCCATATAATGTGATATTTCCTTCCATATAAGGACAACTCTATATAACGCCAGAAAAGCGCTGAGTATAAAGTTTACACTGTAGTCGAGGACAACGATACACAAACTCGCCGACCTTTAACGTTAAACGAATACATATAACCATTTGCATACATTTTAATTAATATTTAAAATACACGGTATAAATGATAAGTTGTGAGGGGCGTGACCTTTAAGGAATGTTCTATTGAAATTTGTTCCGTTTTTGTAGGTAATCGCTCCAAACCGAATAACAATTCATTTTATGTACGAATTTACTTTTAAACACGTGCCGTTCAGCGTCGGACCGTATTTTAACTAGTTTGCAACTTTTTGAAGTTATACATTTTTTATACATTACAGTTGATAGTTATATATTCTTTTTGCGCGTTAAGGAAAAATGATTGATAAATTTTTACGATGCGCGCGCACACCGTCACAAAAATCCGACACCCTGAAGTCAGCTATAGTCAACATTGTAGTTTTTTCCATTGTTAGTGTCGTTTTTTCTACAAACGAAGAATACAATTTTCGAAAAGATTTTTATCTTGTTACGCCAAAGATTCTAACGCGTGTACATAAGTACACACACGTTTTTTATTTATTAGTCATTAATGGTTCATGCCATTAAATTATAAGAATACAAACTCATGTTTGTAATGTAATTTAGTGGTAAAATCGATTGTCCTCAATTGTATAAAAATAGACTTTTAATCACATCATTACCAACGAATCATTAACCTTAATAATAAACTTCCCATTTATATCTCGCGCGATAAAATGCGCAAGAATTCTAGAACTTTAATTAACCGTGCAGAAATTAGGTTTCAGTACTCGTTATACTAAAATTACATAAAAATAGATTGAATAGTATCTACTATTTTGATTGAATTTACGTAAGCGAATCGTCGGCTAAGTGCGGCTGGTGGCTCGATGGGCTTGTTGGCTCCTCACAAAATGTTTAGTATAGTAGAATATCTAATACATATATACAATTCTCGTGCCACAATGTTCGTTCCTATACTTCTCCGAAACGGCTCGACCGATTCCTATGAAATTTTTTATGCACATTCAGTAAGTCTGAGATTCGGCTACTATCTATCTTTCAAACCCCTAAATGTTAAGGGTGGGTCCACCCCTAAATGTTAATTTTTATTTTTTAGACAATTTTTTTTGGTTTTTATTTTTTTACGATACAGCATACAAAAATACAAACAACCTTTAATTGTCACCCCTCTACGATCAACCCCTATTTTTATTATAATGAAAAGTTATTATTATTGAACTAAAAAATTGTTTCCTAGAAATAATATACATGGCAAAACGACGTTTGCCGGTCAGCTTTACTATATGAATTATGAAACACTTGAAATAGTTTTATACTACTATTATTCTTTGACAAAGGAAGTTCGGATATGCAAGTACAAAGCTAAGCTTATGATAAACAATTGCCGTTCGAATCAATTTTAATTATGGCTCTTTGGATAATAAGGTTGCCTAACAACTAATTCAATTAATTCACGAATTACGTATTTAACAATGTATAATTTTTAATTTATTAACACTTTACTAAACCATAAATATTATTTCTAGAAATTTAAAATTTAATTACGCATTTACTCGAGCTAAGGTCGTAATGTTCTTATAAGATGTTTATCCTTATTATTTAAATAAGTTTAACGGTATTATCAGGTGATGTGGATAAAAGTAATTATGATAAAGAAAAATATTTGCTTGTGTGAGCGGATCGTAGCATATTTAGGACTAACGGTTATACTCATACGACCCCAATACATACATGTAAAATTACGAAAATAGTTGGTAACATAATTCTTCCTTTAAAAACTTAGCGATTGCTGCTTGTGCACATTTACTCTGCCAATTGGATTTTTGTTTTAAGTAAGTTCATAATAATTTAAATTTCTAGCCAATACTAAAATCTACAGATTCAAAATGTTATATTAACTTTTTTGCAGTATACCTAACGTATTAATAAAATACACCCGTAAAATCGAATTAAACCGAATAAGTACGTTCCCGACTTTAGCTAATGGGAAATAGTGCTTACTTGCGGCTCATATGATGCGCCAGCGCAGCATAAAGGCGATGTCTCTTAAGGCGGGCCAGAAGTGCGTGTAACAGGTGCCGCAGCTGCATTAACAGCACCATCGATGCCATAGAGACTACCGCGTTGCTGTGAACCACCATGTGGGCCACGTGACCAGTCTCAGCTACAAGCCCGACCGCCTGCAATGTGCACACACACACTCATAAAATACTTACGTACTGAATTTAGTGAAGTACATCTTCACAATAATCAAAAGAAATGTCTGTTCAGAGCCGAAGACGAAACGATAGCTTGTTTTGTTTGACTGTGATTGGTCAATAGCATCTCTAGTGCAACACGCATTGATATGCGTTGGACGAATCACAACTAAACGCACAGTTTCGTGTAGCGTTCAACATTCTTATCCATACTGATACATTATTAAACCTAACAAAATGCTAAAAACTAAATCTTTGTGTTCGGCGTTATTCATATCTAATCAGGTGATTAGAAGATATCCAAACCAACAAGTAAGCCATTCATTTCATTAATAACAACCGGAAAAGTATAAAAATATTTAAGTCCCAGAAACCTCTTTTATATGTAGCGTAACCTAGTAATTAACAAAATGTTTACACAACACACAATGTTATATTTGTCACGTACCTAAATATTGATAACGCGGAACTCGTTATCAAAATGAAGTTTGTTGATTTATGTGTCAAAACAATGTCAAATGTTTAGTAGGATATACAGTCAAAACCGGTTATAACGACATTGAAGGGACCATATAGTTGCCGACGTTATATCCGATAGTCGTTATAAGCAATGTCATATACACAAGTACAGTACATATGTATGAACATAGTTATCGATCTAGAATAGGTAGGTAGGTATGGGATATAATATGGTATGTTAATATTATAATATGTAAACGAGTCAAAAAAGAAACAAAAATATTTATTACGAAATAATTAGGTACAAAAGTAATCAGTGATTTTGGTCTGTTTTTACACGCTTTATATTAGCTTCAACTGTATGTATGTATGTATGTAACCGACTCCTTCGGACTCGATTTTTACCCACATTAAACGGACAGATTTAATTCAAACTTTGTACACTTATAAAGAATCAGCGACAATATAATAATTTCATAGGTTTATCTCGAAAAAACAATGACATTTTTTTTTAAGTCCACAAAGCAATACGATTAAATTGAGACAACACGTATTGCTGCTAGGACTAAAAAGTGGAAAATAATTCACACAACAAAAAATACTGGTATTTTTGTGAAAAAGCGTGTGTTGCTCGATAGACGAAAAATATGGCACAGAGCGCGCCCACGCTTTTTCACAATAATACCAGTATTTTTTGTTCATTACAATTTTCCGCCTAAATTAGGAATTATTTTTCACTTTTTAGTTTGATGTGCTTTAAAAGCGTGTTTTTTAGTTTTTTTAAACTATATTTATTTTAGCCCAGTCTCAAATATTTTTTGCATTTTACGTTTCATACTCCTCAAGGTATGAGTATCACCAGTATCAAACTGTTCGTTAAAGGCAACAAATTTTTGCAAAATCGTTACAGCGTTAAGAGCCTCGGGAATCGTTGTTGGCTGAAACTGTTCGTTGGGAGAAAGTGCGTAGGTAATAATATGCCTAAATATTCATTCAATGCTTATAAATAAGATTTAAAATCGTTTGTATTGTTTTGTTTTGCTGAGACAAGAAGCGGTTGGTCGTTATAGCCGATGAATATCGATAAACTTTCGTCGTTGTAAGCGATATGTCGCTGTATCCGATGTTGTTATAAGCGGTTTCTTTACTGAATAGTTTACTAGGGATTCGGACGGGACCATACAATCTGGTTGTAATAACCGATAGGTCGTTGTAAACGATGTCGTTATAAACGGTTTTAACTGTATTCGAAAAAAGTTATTCTTTTTCGTGAGTTTTTGAGCACACAATTTTTACCATCCTTGGTCAGATTTCTGTATCTATCCTTGGTCATTCATGATCTTTTAAGACAAGTAGGTTCAGCCTTATACATACATACGGTATGAGCAAGTATTAATTCCATATGGATATATGATAGAAAAGTCTATTCGCGCATGTTCGATCGCACGTGCGCGCTCACCGGGCTAAAGCCGGTTGCAGACCGAAAACTAAGCTATGCCAAGGCTAAACTAAGCTATGCCAAGCAAGCTAGGCTAAGCTAAGCTAGAAATAAATAGCGTGCACACCAACAGCTAACCTAAAGCTCAGTCAGTGTTGCATACTATGTGCAAAGGGTGTGCGGGGTAGCGGGAGGGGCTTAGCTTAGCTCGTGTAGCTGCGCATCGGCATACACAACTAACTTAGCTTCGCATATTTTAGTTAGCTCACATAGCTTAGTTCGCATAGTTTGCGGTCTGCGCAGACGTATGGAAAATTGGGTCAGCTATGCGAGCTAAGCTAAACTAACGTAGCTTAGCTCTTGGTCTGCAACGCGTATAACACTGTCTTCTTCTTTTAGTAAGCTCAACAAAAACTTTCTGGAATAAATTTAAAAAAAAAAAATAGGATATGTTGTAATACGTACGTCGAAGACAAGATGCGTGTAGTAGGCAGCGGAGCCGGCTGCATCAACACCGCGTGCTCGCAGTACGAATCGTGCTACTACGTGTACGCAAGGCACCATAGCTATTAGGCACTGCAAACCAGAGGAGAGACTATTATTGTTTTTCGCAATAGGCTTTGGGACGGACATTATTCATAGATTATTTTTAAAGTCAAAACAGAGCTTGAATAAGTACGTGTGTGCCTGTCAACCCGTTATAATTATTCGTAGATTAAAAAAAACAATGCGGTAATCAATGGCCAGAGTATGGCAGTCAATAAGTAAGATTTGTTACAGAAGCTACACCTATGTTTGCATTGCTTAGCTTCAATATTTATTGTAGCGAAATGTCAAAAATTACCTGTTATTATACGATAGCTGTTTGCAGATAATCTGATCAGAGGCAGAATTAAAAAAATGTTAGAGTATGAAGCCGATTGACAGCCCCCAAGTTGAAGTTGATCAACTCGTGAAATATTGTAAATCAAATCACTCACTAGAGAACAATTATGTTATATTGCTACGTTTTCAGTGTCGAAACTAAGTTAAATAAATAAAATACTAAATAGTAATGTAATTTTAAGTTAAAGTATCAAAAATAAATATTACCTCAGCGGCCATGAAGGCGAATGTGTCTCGGCCAGCAGGCAGCCCCCATCGTGCTGCCACAGCCATCAGCGCAGCTCCGGCAATCAGCTCGCCAGCGAGCAGAGCTACTAGCCTCCCGTGCGCCCATGTTGACGACGTCGGCGACGACGATAACTAAACAAATAGCCCAGCCGCTATAAGTGACTATTTTCAAGATTTCGTATAAAAATAAAATTATTTCCCTGATACACAGTGAAGGTCTTAACAATTCTATACAAATCAATATGTCTTCTTGAATTATACATCATAAGTTAATATAGGATATTCGGACTCGTATCAGTAGTCTTTATTTTGGCTAAAATCTAGGCCAGGGCGAAAATATAATTCAGAACAACAAGGTCAACGACCAACAAACATTACTTGGTCGGCAAATAGCCTAATTAGTTAAGTATAATAATTAATCATTTAAGTACTACTGTTACAAAAGTATTTTTTTTATTGGTAGATACTCCACGGTTAACTTGTAGACTGTATGATATGTAAAGGTGTGTTATCAACTCAACAACTATAGAAATGGTAAAACCCCAATATTATTAATATTCAATGATTCCTAAAACCGATGCAAAACATTCTGTAACCCAAAAAAGCAATGTGCAATGTGATCGCTAACCAACATTCACTAGGACTGGAAAACCAGTCAAACTAGTCTACGTGACCTAAGTTTTATATCTACCTCCCTTTGCCTACGTTTAAATTATTTTCCTATAGACAATGCTATTTTTTCTGCATACCGGTCACACCACTTTGATTCACTTACATCAGGCGATAATAATTAAGGAAAACCGCTTACACACGTATGGTGTGAGGGACAGCCATTGCGTGTGTATCATGATTCATATACTAGTATTTATTACTTTAAATAAACCCAAAAGGGTTTATTTCTAACGTTTAGCTACAAAAAAATCACTATTCTTCTCTCTCGCTGGGTTGCAGATAATTCTGGGTTCTGTAAAACTACTTGTGTTTTCGTAAATATCACAGAAAACCTGTTAGCTATATAAATAAAGCAGGTTATTTGTATAATAATTAAAACTTAATAGGAAGTGATGTTCTATAATTAAAACACAAATATTTTAAAGTTTAAACAAACATTAACAAGGGACATATACCATAGAATTGACTGCTTTTACATAGACGTAAAAAATATGTATTGTGAAAGTTTATTCGACTAAATATAAACCTTTATTTGAATCTAAAATGAGATTTAAATATCCGTATTGTCTTGAGTTAGCTTTTAATATTTATTTAAATAAATTCTAAACATTTTTATTAAATCTATATATACATATATAAAAATGTTATGTTGGCTTGTGTACGCTTCAAAAACTCAAAAAGTTCTGCACCGATCGAGCTGAAATTTGAGCAAGATTCAAAGATTTGAGAAGATCAAGGATTGTTTTCATCATTTTTTTTTGTTTCTTTATTTTTTTCCACAAGTATTGCAAAATTAAACTTATATGAAATGTTTTCTTTGTTTTGTTTCTCATTTATCAACCATTCAATCACAATGTGCGAAGCGTGGCAGGGAACAGCTAGTACTATAAAAACATATTCTTAAAAATCTTGCTACAGGCGCGCATGTGCCAAAGTTGCTCATTTGGCTCGTTAAGTTGTTTACGAATTAACGTCGAACATTTGCCCGAAGTGGGATGGTCGAGTCGGAGTAGGGAATAGAATATAAAACAAGTTGTGGCACATGCACACGGCCATTATTCGTTTCACTTTAATATGATACAATTAATGTAAAATCAAAGTAAAGTGAAAGAAGCGAATAATGGTGAATCAAGTCTTTAATAGATTGTTTAATTTCCTACCCTTGATCTGGTTCTTACACTTGGAAAACAACAACTCCATTCTTACGACATATTTTTTCTTGTTGTTCAACAATAATTTTTTCATATTTACGATTGTTAATATCATTAAATTGTAAAATGTCAAATGGTATTAGTATAAAATGTAGAACATCAAAACACCGATATGAGGACGTTCAATACTTCGTTCGCATATTTTTGTATTATTTGTGATTATTTTTATCTTATAAGAAATATATTATCACCGGTATAAATATATAATTAAGAGATAAGACGATTATTATTACGTCTGGACGTTAACCTACAAGTAGTCAATAAACGTGATATTATAATTACTGCATTAATAGTTTTCTTATCATCTTTGTTATTCGATGTGTCTATTATGTACTATAAAAATATTATGATTATTTTATTTTAAACAGGAAGCCATGGAGACTCTTATTATAATAATATGGACTTTACGCCATTGACTTTGGCCCTTAATTTTTCTTTCATCCCTTTCTGGTCTGGAATAAAAGACTTAACTAATGCGTTTCTAGGTACTTACATATTCGAATCTGTCCTTAGCTAGCTGAGTAAGTATGGTAAGCGCGCCAAGAAGCGTAAACCAGGCGCACCAGAGGAGAAGCTCGTCCAGGTAGTGGACATTGAGCACCCCAAACACGAAGATGAACTTGTAGAAAACATAGTTCCACAGCTTGTCCTTAGCGCGCTGCGCTTCACCTACGCGCAAACGCCCGAAGACTGCGCGCACCACCGCCCATCCACCCACCGCCAACAGACACCAAGACATGTTGATCAGCGTCTGCGCAACATAAACACACCTCTTTATTTCGCATCCTCATACGTCTACTAAAAGGGATGTTACGTTTAGGGGTTGATATATCTACGGAAGTAACATTCATAACACAAAGAAAAAAGAGTTCGATGTGTATTTTTTTTTGGTTTAAGTCTTTAAAGTAGCACAATTTGACTTCAATCCTCTTTTATATAAATATTATATTGTTCCGTCACCAATAACTATAAATAATATATTCAATTTTTAAATTGTATATTTGTATTTCTTAATCTAGTTTATTGTCGTTTATTTTTATTGTATTATTTCTCTCTTTTATCAGTGTAATGTTTCCCTATAAATGTTGTTCGAACTTGTCATTGATGCACATGCATGTATTGTGTTTTTTGTATGTCGTGTATCTGTAAGTGACTATATGTTTCATTAGTGTGCCCTTTTAAAATAAGTAAATAAATAATTTATACTATAAGACTGGTTTTGAGTCACTTGTTTATCAATTATAGCTTTTTGTATAAATTAGATTTAATTAACAACCAATCGTGGAAAAAACAAGTTATATTTAAATTCTAATTACATTGTTCAATTTTCAATGTTTCATACGTTATAACAAAATTATATTATATATTTTAATAACTTTATAAAGAACAATATTTCTATATCGATTAATACGTGACGATGCGTCAGTTAGTATATCGCTCTGTCAATTAACATTTATATAGATCGGAAAGTACGTTGAACGTCAGCGACAATTACCCTTAGTATAAACATAACGATAACTTAGTCATATTGATTTTGTATGTTTGTTACATTACGATATAGCGCCGACGCAATACGTTTTGCTTAATATATAATGTATTCGGAAGCGTTCTTCATGTATGTGCATGCGCATGTCTTTGCAAATCTCCAAACACGGAGCGTCGTTTTGGTTAATGCTGATTACTTTTCAAACAAAAACATATCGACCACAGTACATTACAGAGTGTTAAACTACTAGACAACAAACTACCTTACATCTCCAATTGCATTGCAGTGGATTTCTTTAAAAATATACAGTCATAACGTGAAAGTCATAAAAAACACATCTCAGATAATAAGATAATTCGTTTTACCGAGATACTACGAGACGTTGTCAAGGTCGTCGTATTTATTGTGACTACATTGCTTAAGAAAATAGCTTGCTCTATGGGTTGTATGGCGCATCGACTGGCAGCTGTCCAGATGACGTGAAAACAATTGTGTTTACGATCAAGCAATGACAATTAATAATAACAATCACGTCCAACGGTATATGAAATCATTGCGTCTGAAGGAAAACATGGAAATTGATGTCATTAATTTCCAATAATTAAATCACTGCGTAGTCGGCATCACGCAAGGGGCGTTACCTTTGTTAGGTTTATTTAAGTACCGTGACGCGTTACCGACCTAATAATCTCGTTATTATGACTGCTCACACACTTAGTTATCGACGAGTCAAAACAAATAGTACAAGTAGAACTCAGTATAATATTCAAAAAGTTCCATCGCTCTAGCAGAGGAAAAGTACCATGGAAAATTTCGTACACATTTAAAGAAGTTGATAGAATCTTGTTATTTTAGAATTGGGCCGAGATCTTGTCTTTTTACTTGAACATTAAATTGTTGTTCATATATTTGCTACGTTACTTTTTGTAGACATACTTTTATCAATGCGAAATTTTATATACGAAAGGTTTTTGCAACACATGGTTTTTATTATAAGTATTTAATAATATAGATAGACGCATAATGCATAGTTGAGAAGTTTCAATTAGTATTGAAATGTGAAGGTTATCAACTAACTCCGACTAGATGAAGTCCGTGATTGTAAATATGTACTTGTAATCAACAAAAAAACGAATCCAAATAAGTGTCGCTTTATATAATGTTATAAAAGATAATAAGATAAGATAGGAAATAAAAAAATGCTGCTAAATATGTTTTGTTGTAAACTATATATTTATTATCGGGAAATACGATATCTTTATATCGGCCACTACTAATATCAAGGTTAAGAATCATAATCGGTTCCTTGCCAACTACGTGGTAGTTCCATCGCATTTGCTACTGTGCTCTACCTATACTATTAAATAATATATAAACACTGTTTTTACAAGCGTAATTATTTATTTCTTTCTAACAAGAGAGATTTTGTTTACGCTGTGCTGATTGTGTCTCATTTGTAAATCTTATCAAAAAATACCTATGTATTTGAACACATAATATGTAATATCGATTGCAATGTGAAATTGTATTGCGAAAGGAAAGACTACCCTGAACGATATATATACCTATCGCTTCTTTATGTGATGTGCAAATAATCGCAATAGATGAGGACTAGGACTGAGAATAAATACAAACAATTATATGATGTTATAACCATATCAGTTTATATAGGAGTACGAAATAAATAAATTATAATATGTAATAGGTACGTATTAACGATTGCCTACAAGAAAATTTCATCGTTCTGTCGTTCTGTCCAATTGAGGCAATAAAGAGAGTACGAAAATTTGAAATTATTGCTAGCAAATAATTCAAACAAAATTAATTTACATAAACAGCGGTAGGCAAGATAAATTGAAACTTTGATACACACAAATATAACATTTGATGGAAAAACCAGTTAGACGTGCTAATTCTACACCCCAAACCGCGGCAGCCTTCTTGAGCGCCGCAACAATCAAGTCGGCAATAAATACCACTCGTGAAGGTCACCTGATGCCTTATCTAACACCGGGGGCAGTACCGCAAACCGAGGTTACTTCCGGAGTATAAGTGACTTAATTATAACTTCAGTAGAATATATCTTTAAAAGATCTGGCCAATTAGGCCAAAGTAAAAGTTTATAAATAATACTAAGTAAATAAATTATATAGAAGATTATAAGTCATGCTTTAGAGAAAGTGCGTAGCAAGCGCATCTCGAGGATAAAACCATTGCACAATACTCGCCACTTTCCCTTACATCACAGTATTTTTGTTAATACGCTCTCAAATTGCGTAAGCTGCAATTTATTTGAACTAGCGTAACTTTGATAAATCAATTTCGAGTTAACGAAGTTTGCGAGATCCTAATAGGCGTCGCGTCGATATATTTAAGACAAATAAAGATTTTACTAGAATATTACATAATGTAGACGCTGCGCAATGAAAGTAAAATATTTACGGATGTTATCTTACAAATACTTTCACTCATGGCGACTATTTTTTTTTATATAACATAGCATACTTTCGGACTTTTTATGGCTTATGATATTGTTGAAAATATTAACTACAAACAAATTTTTTATTACCCAAAACTATTTAGTATACAAATTATTTAAATTTCAAGTTCACAGCATTGAGAATGAGCACACCTACTGTATAATTTCCAAAAAACATTTTAACCTTGCAAACCAGTTGCAACTATTCGCCTTAATAAACTCAAAAATTTATTTAATAGTACAAAAAATCTAGTAGTAAATAATTTAAAACTAATCTATAAAATGGTGAATGGAGTGCCAGTCTGCCTTCAAAACATTGTGGCTTTTGAGGGATTATTTATATACAATATAAATTTGACTTGTTTTGCCATTTTTACAATTAAAATATTTAACATATTTCTTTTTAATACATAATATATAATTATAATAATAATAAATAATTAATGTAATGAGCTTACTAAAAAAATATACATATCACTTAATATCTTACATAAATTATGAAATATGATTAAAAGTAATACCTGTTTATAAAACAATATAACAATGCTGTCATCCATCCTACTTTAAAAATAAGGTACATTCCAAAATTATATTGACTCACATAAAACAATAAATTAATAAAATAAGTACAGAATAATTTGTATTCAGAGTACACTAATTAAAATTGGCAGCTCTAACACAGCAAATTCATATTATTGCCAATGTTTATTTTTGACACAATGTTTGTAAACAACCTCTATCCAATAATCATCTGAAACATTACTCACCCACATACACAGGGGCTCTTGAATCATAAAGGTCATCACTTCCATCATTTGTTCAGTGAGATTTCTGGCACCATCCATATCTGCAGGTTCAATATGTACATCTTGCTGCTTTTGGAGGGTGGCATTTGTTCTCCAATTAGGATCACTAGTTACATTAACGGCGTAATAAGCTGCAATAGAAAGCAGTAAAACACTTCCCGCCGAATAAACCTTCAGGTTCGGCAAGGGCAACCTGTCCATGAGTGTCACAGGCATCTTGAAAGTTTCACACAAATAAATTATAACGCAAACTTAACACTTGTCGAATACTTTGTCCATTAGTAATAAAGACTGTTTATTTGTGTTTTTTTATCAATTAATAACGAATAAGAAAATAAAAATACATAATCGAAAGAACAGCGATCACTCGCAAATAATGTACCTACAACAGTATAAAGACAAACTTAGTAATGAATAACGATAATCGAATATCAATCACGAGTAGTAGTCCTTGGTTGATGATTAATTAAATAGTACAATTTCCAAACTACGAAAACAAAATCACAATTTCTACTTGTGAATTTTTTACGATTTGTCAGTTTTACAACTGACTTTAACGACTGACAATATGACACTGGCGTAAACCCAATCACAGTCCACAGATTGTATTTTTACATTAGAATTTTTGTCCCTAAAATGTTGCGTGGTAATTTTATCGTTTAACATTATTTGGTTAAAGCGTAAACAAAATAATAAAAATATACTTTTTATCGTTTTGACAAATTAGTAACTACTAGAGATTATATTTAATTTAATAGTTTATATAAAAATATCTAGTTCGAGATTCAAAAGCACAGACTGTCCAAAAGTCTGACTTGCTCAGCTGTCAATGAATGTGGCATTGACACCTTAGCTGCCATGTGAGTTAGGTATCAAATATCAATGTCAAAACATTCTTATTGCAGCAAATAACAAGTATAAAATATTAATGATACTCTGATTACAAATTTGTGTTTAATTTGGAAAGTATAGGTAAATTGAAAATTATTTTATAGTTGCATGTAAATGCTGTGATTTTAGGAGAATTATATGCTTTTATTGGATTACAAGTACAATCATGACAGAAAGGGATTACGCTCCTTTAAGCCCGGCCTGTGTCCGGGGTTTATGTGACAAAATATATGAAAAAAGGAAATTTGCTGGCGTCGAAATAGAAAAGCACGTATATTTTTAATCTATATGTATAGATTATAAATCAATTTAGTTTTAATATGATTATTTTTTTTTTACTTATGTTTTAAGGATGGTGAAAGATTTTAGTGATACAAATAATACCAATCAAATTAAAAGATTGATACGTGTACTTGGGCAAGATTTAATATCATCAACCAACCCTAATGTAAAGAACGGTGCTCTCATGGGCCTTTCATCAGTAGCTGTAGGATTAGGAAAAGTAAGTAATTATTATAAAACAACAGTAAAATAAAACATCTATTGTCCTCACATGTATTCTAAATATAATTTATGTTCATGATCATCTTCATCATGACTTCCAATGGGTACAACACAGTGTGTACTGTAGCTATGGTTTGGTAAGACACTGTAACAATATCTTAGTGAATTTTTGTAAACTTTATCTCATTTTGTTAAATAAATTGTGATGATTTTCATAAATTCCATGTATATAATAATAAGACATCTTATATAAAACATGCTAATTTTCTATTTCAATAAAAAGTAAGTACTATGTAATTTTTACAGATTTTTTAGTATACTTAATTAAAACAAAAATTCTTCTAATATCCCAAGTATTCATGCTTCAGCATATTGCTACTAGTGTGCTTAGTATATAATAAAATAATTGTTAGCAATGACAACACATATTTTAGATATATAATTGGGCAATCATTCAATTTCCTTTAAAGAAAATTTAAAACTAACACTTTAGAGTATGTATTTGTACATAATTAACGTTGTAAGAGATCTAACACAAGTAAATATGGGATATTATTTTACTGGTTACATAATCTACTATGTTGATTAGAGTTATGAAAATATTTTGTATTATAATAAATATAAATTTAAATTTATGTATAATAATTATATTGTTGTTTTTTTAATTAGGGTTGTGAGTCATATGTGGGAGAGTTGACACATCCAATTGTGGCATGTCTTGGTGAAAGTGAAGCTCGTGTTCGTTACTCAGCTGCTGAGGCTTTATACAATGTCTTGAAAATTGTTAGAGCAGCTGCATTACCATATTTTACCCTAATATTTGATTCATTAGCTCGATTGGCAGCAGATCCTGAACCACAAGTAAAGCAAGGAGCTGAACTTTTGGACCGCCTTGTAAAGGTAACATTCATATTGTATTGTTCTACTGTACCTGTATTATTTTTAACTTCCATAAAGCTCTAACAGCGGCCCTTGGTTTTCTTTATAACTTTTATTTATGGCCAAATAGGTGATCTGTTACAAAGATCCGTCAAAGGTGGGTCTGTAACATGATGCTTTCCTTCACTATATGAACTAGCATTCATTATTGTGCATACCAAGAATTCAAATATATGACAGGCTGCATGGCTAGCCATTGGGCACTGCTACTAAAGTACACTTATTATTCTTATAACTTATCATATATATTTATTATATGCATATGTAAAGCTAATGAAAGGCATTAAATTTTGCAATTTCTGTTTAGGATATAGTAACAGAGAGCGCCTCATTTGACCTCGCTGCTTTTGTACCACTAGTGCGCGAGAGAATGTACACTCGCAGTGCGAGCGCACGTCAGTTTGCGGTTTCGTGGATATGCGCATTAGACGCTGCACCCGCCCTTGGTCTAAGGAAGTACCTGCCCGATCTATTGGATGGACTGTTTACTATACTTGACGACCCCAATCCAGAAATACGACGCATGTATGTGTAACAGTATCAAGTGTGCACTTATGGAATGCAGTTATAACATTACATTATAATGTTCTTTTAGGTGCGAAGTACAGTTAAATGAGTTTCTACGCAGCATTAGGAAAGAGCATTCGCAAGTAGATTTTCAAGCCATGATCAATAGTCTAATTACCCATGCGCAGTCTTCAGAAGAATTACTACAGGTTAACAAATTAATCATATTAATTTATACCCCATAAATTATTTTGTAGAAAGTTCTACATTTAGATGGTAATGATATAAAATACTCTGTATCACTTTATTTATTTGTAATGCATAACTGTATATTTTAAACAAAAAAATCTGTACAATTGCATTTTTTAACTAAATTACTCTCGTCTTTTTCTGTCAAATTGGGTTGACGCTGTGATGAAAAGAGACAGGTGACTTTAGTTGAATAGATGTTATTATACTGATTTTTTTTAATGAATAAATAGGGTATTATGTAAACAATATAAAGTTATTACTTACTATGTGAACTTGACGATCGAGTAAGCAATATTATTTAAATATCCAAGTGAAATATATTAGTAAATGTCACGTTGTCTCGCAGTTGACAGCTATAACGTGGATGCGAGAGTTTGTAGAGCTGTCGGGAGCTCGTATGCTGCCCTTTGCTTCTGGCATCCTCACTGCCGTACTACCCCCACTCGCCTACGCAGACGACCCCAGAAAAAGTATCCTTTGATGATCACACACCAAAACATTTTGAAATGATTACGCTGTTTTGAATAATTATTTATGCAATCATACAAACTTTAATATCTATAAAAGTTCTTGGCAAAAAACTGTAATTAGTGACGTTGTGGTCTACCGCTTTTCAATTTAAATAAATTATTTATATTATCACTCCTTTCTCTCGAAGGGGTAGGTAAGCAGGGACCATGGTCCGTCCACCATCCACTTGCTACGGTCTCTCGCTTCATACATGACATTCACCATGCATGCTCGTCGGTTATGGTTACTTTTAAGTTATCCCTTCTTTCTTACTTCTTGGATTTGGTCCAGGTAGTATAAGGCCTACCCATCCCGATCTTAAATAAATAATAATTATCCTTAATGTCATGGTGAAAGAAATTCGTGAAATAGCTGCAACAGTCAATTTGCAAATGCAGAGACTCGTTGAGTCTGAGTCTGAGGCGACAAAAATAGTCGTGAAGGAGAAAATGGAAGAGGATGTAGAGGGGCAGCCTGGAAAGTTGAATTTGGTGAGCGTGGTGGACGTTCTGACTCAGATGCTCCTTCACAACTCAGTGCACACTAAGATCGCGGCGCTTGATTGGATTCTTCACCTCTACGACAAAATGCCAGCCGAGGTGAGTCCACCCCGTCCGTGTTTATTCGTCTTGCCTCGAATCGGCGTCTCATCTTCTTTTTTGGGCAGATGAGCCGCGAAACTGAACGCGTGTTCAACCCGGCTTTGGGCGCTCTAACGGATAGCTCACATGAGGTGGTAAGGCGCGCCATTGCCCTATTGGCCGAGACCTGCACTTGCGACCCCACGGCGCCCCCAGTTACTGACGCATCCCAAACGCCCGCAAGTAAACAGATTTTTATTAATTACCAGCAGCTGCCCTGTCCGGTTGTTTTGCCATATAAATATTATAACTGTATTGTTGTTGAAAATGGGGGTTAATGGTAGAAAAGTGATAATTAAATGTTATATGTATTTGTTTATGTCACATCAAAAATAAACACAAATGAAATATACAGCATACAATTTTAATTTAACTAAGATAAATAATATTTTTTCGACGCCGCTGTCATAATATATCTGATATTCATGACCCGCGCGTCTCCCTCCAACTAGCTGTAGTGACTAGTGAAACAAACTTATGCCTGAAGTTAGCGTGAGATGAGACGGACGATACAGCGTTTCGCGGGACAAAAATAAAGTAAACGGCAAATGATTTTTATTAATATGTAATAAAATCGCTAGTAACAAGCTCTCGGCCAAACTAATGTGCTGTAATTCAATTGTTTTTTTGCCTAATTATAATAATCGCTATGATTGAATAAAAACGAAATTAGGCAAAAGTAAGAGGACTTAGTTTTTTGTTTTGTATCGATATATTTAAACATGTAAAATACATATTTATTGTTTTTAATTCAAGCATCACATACTTAGATCAAATCAAATCTTAATTTTGGTTAGTGCTCGCTCTTAAGGGGCGAAGTGACAATTTGGCGGTATGTCAAAGAAGCATTATTTGACAGCTTGAACTATCGTAACACAGTTTTGTAATCTGTGTTACGATGCTGTTGACTAATTTACGATGACATGTATCTATTTCAGGCAACCTTGAATCGAGCCCTTACTACCACAAGTTCTTGAAAGCGCTTCTGCGGTTGCTATCCACCGACGAAAGCCTGCTGGAGGAGAGAGGATCATTCATAATCCGGCAACTCTGCGTGGTACTGCCAGCAGAGGCAGTACTAGCGGCGTTGGCGGGTGCACTAGCGGCGGAACGCGAGTTGCGTTTTGCTGCGCGTCTGGTGGACGTCTTGTCCGCCATTCTGCTCACGGCGCCAGAGTTGCACGCCACCCGACGCCGCCTGCGCTCTTTCGCTGACACTGTGAGTTACAATGCAAAATATAATTTAAAAGTTCATAGATCTTCTAAAGGTTGCCCTTATTGTGCGCTACGGGCTACTGTTACTCTATGTGAGCTATCATTAATTAGCCAGGATTTTACGCACAACGGACCAAATGGGCGTATAAGTCATAGATTTATATCGTTAGATAGGCCCCGACACCAAAAACTGTGGAATTGTTTTTGAATGTGTGCGTTAACAAAATGCCGACACACGCACACTAACGAGTAATTAAAAAATCGTGTTTCTGCCATTGTACTTATCTGTTGTTATTACCTATGTACTGAGAAAATAGTGTCATCTCTTTTTCTCCCACATTAGTTGCAAACACTACTTTCTCTTTCGTGCACTCGCCATTTAAATTTGTTATTTTAGACAGTGCGGAAGGAAAAATAAAAGTTTTTAAATCAAATCGCAATACTTACGAGTGAAATGTTTCACCTCTGGCTTTATTTGTGTTTCTAGAATTGTTGTTGAACTTTAGAAAGGCACACGATGGCATTTTGTGACACTAAACTGCTCGCAAACGTCCTTTACAACACGTCCGGCTAACACTGTGTTTAGGGGTGTACTAATCCCAGGTTAGTGAGCTCACTCACTTCGACTGTGGAACAACACGGCGCGGTCTCACTGCGGTAAGGGCCTATCTAACGATATAAATCTATGGTCTAAGTGCGGAAACGGAACACCACACTACATACATACATACATACACATAAAACTTTATTTACATCACAATAACACAATTTTTTTTTTACATAAAACTGAATTATTTTATATAAATAACATGCAAGGGGTTACACAAAAGATTTTATCGATACAGTATTGTTTGTAGTAGTAAGTATTTGCTCTGCGAGGTCTGCATTGCAGGCAGAGAATTGCACTATTTTTAATTCCACTAAAACTTTGTTATCAAAGTATTTGTCGAAAATTGGGTAAAAGAAGGAAGATTGGGAGGAAGAATTAAATACTATTTGACCTCTACTAATTATTTTAATGAGAGAAAAAAGAACTTGCTTGATGAACCAATTTCTTGACATGTCACATTATTCACATAGAAACTTGTCTATGCACTGATATTCTTTATTCCACTGAACTCTTTCATACTACAAAAACTTCAGAGTCGTGACCGTCATAAATTATAATCACTTAATATTAATTGTTTCAGAGCACACACGCGCTCTTCCAGTCCCTGTATCGATGTTGGGCGCACTCGGGTGTTGCCTTAGTGGCGCTATGTTTGCTCACACACAACTACCGACATTGCACACAGCTCATCGCCACCTTGTATCCTTGCCGATCTATTTTTATACCAATAGCAATGTCAATTAATTAATAGCGATGTTAAACATACCTTAAGAAATTAATGGTAATGGAAAAAAAAATCATAAAAAGAAATATTGTATCCTAATTTTTTTGCTGAAGCTAGGGTTTGCGGTTTGCGGTTCTCATCACTAGGATCATATTTAAGAAGCTCTGCATTTAGCACTTTCTCGAACAGTGAAGAAAACATCGTAAGGAAATCGGCACGCGGGTGAGTTTCAGAAACGAAGACAGCCCTACTAAGTCGGACCCCGCCTGTACGTCAAAAATGTATTGGATTTTGAAGTCTCGTTGCTGAATCTTACCCTTATCACTTACTTCCCTATCAACAAAATTTCCAGAAATAGATAGAATTCTTAGGTCAAGACCAAGGGTTGCAGCACTGTTTTCCCTTTAAATATTAATATCAAAACTCTAATGTCAACATCAGAACCACAAAGCGGGTAGTTTTTGCCGATATTTTATGTGAACAATGCGGGTAGTAGCAAAATTGTTGTTTACTGTTTTCCCCGTTCAAACTTAAAATTTCCTTAACAAACCTAACAGTGGAGACTTGGAGATAACCGTGGAGTTCCTCACTGAGATCGACAAACTCGTGCAGCTTATTGAATCTCCCATATTTGCATGTGAGTGACGTACAATTAAGGTTTTTTTAAAACTATCAAAGGGACATAAAAATTCTTTGATTTTGTAGTCGTAATTTATTTTAAAAAGAATAACTTTTTTTTAAATTATCAAATGTTTGATTTAAAAGTTTGAAAGTTATAATTAATTCGTTCGTTACAATCGTTTAGTAAAAAGTAGTAATTAAATCGACAAGTCTTTAAATCGAATGCTTTCCCTTACTAATGTAAAATAAAAAACTTTTTACTCTAGATTTTTTAAATGTTGTCGATTGATGTAATAAATACAATAATCTTAGAGAGAAATAGTCAGTCTTCTTTAATATTTATCGTTATTCTAAAAGGGTAGAATGTTCATTATTTTAAATATTATTATTTTTAATTAAATTTGTAAGATTTACGGCTGGAGCTGCTGAGCGGTGAGCAAAGCACAGAGCTTCGGGGAGCGTTGTACGGGCTGCTAATGATACTTCCCCAAACAACCGCCTTCCACGCGTTGCGGCATCGTCTCCAGGCGGCGCCACCTCCGCTACCGGCATTACTACCGTCATCCACGCAACATGCTGTACCCGTGATTGACTTCGAAGAGTTGCTAGCTCACTTTCAGCGTGTACAGGCCGCACACCGCGCCTACCGCTTAGCCGATCGCCGCTATCTTTAGACTAAGAGAACTACCATCATATTGGATATGTCATACCAAAGGTACAAGGCTGTTTGTGATTGCCACAGAATATAACACGTGGTTTCACGTGAGGCATAGAGCGCAGAATGAAATGGAAGTGCCTTCAAATTTATATGGTCAATGCATACAAGTTAATACAATAAACGTAAGTAATGAAATTCGTAGATTACTGAAAAGGAATAGGATTTAATATTAGCTAAATATTTCTTTAATTTGAGAGATTTTTTACCAATGGCTAAGCTTACTTGTGCTAAGTCAAACGGTTTTTTAATTTTCAAAGACCTTTCATTATTCTACAGAACAATCTAAAGTTATCCAATTTTTTTTCTTCTATGATTGTCATATCAGCTGTAACTTTTATATCAGAATAGGATTTTAATTATTAATACTTTATTCCACTTTTTCTGCAATGAGTTCAGACATTGAAAAATGAAACATGAAATTCGAAAAGAATGTTTTTGTTACTGTTTATCTGTGATAAAATTTCAAGTCTGTTGCTATGTGGTAAATAAATTCAGGCAACAATACTAGTCTTATTAAATCGCAACAGTAAATGCTATTCTAAGATCATCGGAAATTATTTTTGTATTCTATGACATAACTTGTCTCAATACACTATGTACTAGTTAAGTTTTATTTATATTTACACTTTTACTAATCAAAATGTAATAATAGATATGTAAAATAAAACCAATATTACATTCCACATTTTGTTTTATTTAAATATAATTTATATAATAGCGAGGTGTGTATGTTCTAGTTCGCATTTAGCTGACGAACTAAAGAAATATGTAGTTACACATGTAAGAGATTACAACAACCCCAATACTATCATCACATTTAAAATATTTGAATTTAATATAGGAAGTTGTGTAAAAATTAAATTTCAAAATACTATATAACACATCTGTAGTTAAAACATGTAAATACAAATATTAATTATCCTACCTACATATTTATTACAATTTGGAATAAGTTTCAACTTCTAAAGTTTTTAGGCTTCTCTAATATTTATAGTGAGTCTTTATATCCCATCAAGCAATTAAAAATTGCTTAATGGTTGAATAATAAATTTACATTAAATTACGCGCGCGTTGCATCACCGAATTTATTATAATCCAATTTACAAGTAAAAGGAAAATGTCCTCGCGAAAACTGAGAAAATCTTTTTTGTGCCATTAATTCCGGAGTATAATGGGTCGTACCGGCTGATATGTAAGAGTAAACTGAATAACACTAGGATAAAACACACGAGGTCCTTGCGGGGGGAACGGGGGGCGAAGGGCGGTAGATGGCAGTGTGCGCGGGCGAATCCAGCGAGCTGAGCGCCTCCTCCGAGCTCGAGTACGAGTGGAGGTCGGACGGTGGCCGCTAGCTGCGCAACTCGCGCGTCAGCCGCAGCAGGTCCGCCAGCAGCATCGAGTTGGTCGCTAGCCCCGCAGCTACGTCATCTCCGCACGCTGAGAGCGCGCGCACGCCCGCTCCGGACGCTCCTACCACGCCAGCTACAGTCGTCCCCCGCGAACCCTCCACGACGCCCGATGTCCGACTTGTCGGTTCCGCTTTTGTCGAGTTCAACTGAAATACAAATTAGTTCATAAACAGAAGAGAGCATAATATTTGTATTATGTAAATGATAACACAAATATTATCATAATATTTGTACTTTACTTATACTTGTATATAATATACTTATTAAGTATTTAATCAACAATATCTAGATATAAAAATTTTCCACTGTAAACAAACCTGCTGTATGCGGGCGCGCATCTTGATCTCGGCGTCCTGCAGACGGGCGGTTAGCGCCAGCAATTTAAGGTCTGCGCTGGCCACGTCCTTGTCGAGGATCTGAGTCTGCAAATACACGGTCTGCGCCACTTTATACCAGTCGGCGATGGCCATCGCTCGAGCGCGGGCCAATGGCGCAGCTCGTTGCAACAGGGCGCGCGCCCGACGCCCCGTCTCCGCCACCGTGATCCGCTCCAACACGTGAAACTGCTCATCGTTGTACGTCAGTGAGCGCGTGGCCCTGTCGCGCACTAAATGCTGCCACGAGTCTCGCAGTCGCAACACTAAAGACGCCGCGCGCTCCGCTAGTCGCAGGCGCGCCGGGCAGGCCGCGTGCGTTAGCGCCTCGTCCCACTCGGCACGTAAGGCCCCGCCCGCGTGTCGGGTCCGCAGTCCCGCCGCACCAGCGCGCAAAGATTCCGCTTCCGCCGCAAGCAGCGACGCGCTGCCCGCCCATTGCTCTGCCTGCCGAAACCGTAGAACTATATAATAAGCTTGTAGAACTGTATAATAAGGCGGTTCTAGAGCGCATACCTCTTGAGTCGTGAGAGGTGCGGCGTGGCGCAGGGCGGCGGCGGCGAGGTCGAGGGCGCGCGCCGCATCGTGTAAGCGCTGAGCATTGGAGGCGAGAGCGGTGGCTCGCGAGGTGGTGTCTCTCAGGCGGGCGGTGAGCAGTGAACCCCATCGCGCAACGCACATTGCACACAATTGGGACGCTCGACAAAGCTCTTCCACACGCCGCTTTATAACGTGTCCCACACTACACGCCGTCTGAGCAGAACAAATTTGTGAAAAATTTATTTTAACATTGCAGTTTATATCCTAAAAAAATACATTTGTTTACAGTTAAGAATATATTACCTTGGCTTGTGTGGCATCATTCTCAACAGAAATTATTGTTGGGAAAGCAGGAAATTTAGGAGCTTCAGGCTCCTGGGGCATACTAACATAGTTGTCATTCTTGTTGAAAAGCATCAGGGGATCATTATCTGTTGTATCCGGGTAACTTTTGCCTAATTAAAAACAAAAAAATTAAAGCACAAAAGTTTTAAGAAAAGGCTACCAATGATCAGTATCAATATGAACAAACCAGGTGTATTTTCATCAATTTCATTAAGAATTAATTTCTCCTGATACAGCAATATTTGTGTCTCTGCTACAACAGATGTCTGCTCACAGATGTAGGTCTGGAGATGTTCAAACTTCTCTTCTGGTTTTAAAAAGACCTGCAAACATATTATAGTTTTAATTATAATCTCAGAGGCACTGTCTCTAGCAATATCCTACTTGAGGAATCCTTTTCCTCTTTTTCAAATTTTATAAATTTTATGTGAAACAATTTGATAAAATAATTAAATAATATTTGAAAAAATTATAAGAGTAACTATCTATTGACAAATGAATTGCAATGCAACATAAAAATATGAAAAATTGAATATGAAACTAACCTTAATAACACAGGCCTTGTTTACATGAAATATGTGCACAGGCTTTGTTGATGTAACAGTCTGAACTTCAGAGAAGAATCTTTCAAAGGTCCAAATTCTATGTGGATCTACCTCAAGCAAGCCAGCCAAGAGAGGTGTTACCAGCTTTTTGAGCCCTGCACTTAGCTGACAGTGAGGTGGTAATTCCCGAGACCATTCTATAGGCCCATTGTCTGTTGTTTGTGTACCCTACAGTAGATTCAAATTATATTTATTGTGTATATGTAATACAGATTTTATAATGTGAAGTAAAATTGGAAACAAAAAGAATCATTTTATATACCCTAGAATGAACAATAATAATATTGTAGACTGAACTACTACCTGTGCCCAATTTAATTGTTGAATTAAGATTCAAATTGAAAAACAGTAGGTTTATAGATATTAGGATATAGATAGATACCAGACTAACTCTCCAGCGATATTGAGTTACTGTTTCTAGAATGTAGCAGTAATAATTAAGTAGGTATTTTAAAAATTACTAACACATATAACACCAGATGCTTTCTTTGTTGTAATAAAGAACATGGTCTCTTTATTCCTCCTTCCACCAAATGGCCTAAATGGCAACTGGCCTGTAGCAACATGATACAATGTGACTCCAATAGACCACAGGTCAACAGTAGCACCAAAACTTTTTCCTACTGGCTTTCTTAAAACAGCCCTCTCATACATGTCTGGGTGCAAGTATTCCTCTGTACCATAAAGTGATACAAACTGTTCCTCCTCTTGTAACTCTCTAGCTGCTCCAAAGTCTGTTAGCTTATAAGTAGTACTGCCATCCTCATTTATAAACTTCATTATATTACCAGGTTTTAAATCCCTATGTACTAAGTTGTTATCCCTTAAATGTTTCATTCCAGCAGTCAAGTGTTCCAAAACCAAGAGAAATTCTTGTTCTTGTAGTCCATAAGTATTTTCAGGGTCATCAAGAATATTAAACAAGCTACCACCTGTGCACAATTCCATTACTATAACCTTTCCCCTACCCTCCTGTTCCTCTTCAATAGCAAGTAGCTTTACAATATTTTCATGTTTAACTTTTTTTAGTACTTCAAATTCTCGCAACTGCACATCAGGAGGTCTCATGTGACTTAACTGATTAAATGTTTTGACTGCCACCGGTTCGCCGTTATTCTTATTGACACCTTGAAACACTGCACCAGTTGCACCCTTGCCTAGTACACTTGTGGTACACCAAACATAATTTTCCGAACCTCTGAGGAACGACATCGTTGTGTGTTTTTAAGACGTATCTTGTGTTGTGGAAAGGTGTGTACACCGATTCAGGAATTAATGTTTTATGTAACCTTCCTTAATTTGATAAAAGTAACATTTCGAAATTTTATACTTTGAAACAAAAATAAAACATCTAATAAATTGAATTTTCAATTTAACTAGTAAACAATGTACTGAATTGATCAATTGTGCTTATAAAATATTATATGCCCTTATATATAGTATAATTCTAACTTTCTAAAGTTAGAAAAAATGTGTACGATCATATTAACATAAAAATAACAATTATAAAATATTTATAAATATTAAGCTGTCATGACATTGACAGTTTAGAGTAACTCAATTTCATGATAATTTTATTTCACTTTTGAGTATTTTGGTGACTCTTAGGCTATGTTCACATGTAACGCGCGTTAACGCGCGTCAACGCGCGATCAAAATTGAAGAGCGTTCAGATGATGAGCGCTAACGCGCGTTGCGAGAGTGCTCGTCAGTCTAGTTCGGTAGAACGTAGAAAATGGACGTGGAAGAGGCTATTATTTTGTGGTTATATTATAAAGAAATTTATAGAAAAAGAAAACGTACACATTGGGTTCATCCAATTTTGAAAAAAAATACAAATTATATTATATTTTTTATACAAATTTGCTATATTCCAACTTGCTGACCTTTTTTCTACTTCATCGATTAGTAAGTCGATGTCAGTATCTTCAATTTCACTCATTTTAAATGCGAGAACAAAATATAATTACGAAAATTAACAAAATTACATGCGATCGCGATGAAAGCGCGCGCTCATCTGAACAGCAAACGGACATTACATTAATATCAAAGCGCGCGTCAACGCGCGATCACCTGCGTCTAGAGACTTATTCTCTGAGCGCCGCGTTGACGCGCGTTAACGCGCGCTCATGTGAACAGTTGTATGAAAATACCACAATTTCTAGTCGCGCGATTTGAAAACGCGCGTCAAGTTTTTGCCATCTGAACATAGCCTTATACTAGTAGAAGTATCGACATTCACATACACACGCACAGAAGAAATATATATATTAAGATATATATATTTCTTCTGTGCGTGTGTATGTGACTGAACTCCTCTCAAACGACTGGACCGATTTTGATGAAATTTTTTGTGTGTGTTCAAGGGGATCTGGGAATGGTTTAGATTCACAAATCAGCCCGGCAGATGGCACTGCAGTCGGTACTTTCATACTTTGCTTAATATCCTAATCGCTTTAAATATCATGCAGGACAACGTCTGTAGGGTCCACTAGTACATATATATATATTTTTATTAAATACGGTATTTAACGGTTATGGAACATTAAAATAAATGAAAAAAAAACACAAAATAAGAAGTAAATCCATCAATATATTTTTTGCTCTATAGTTTTTCATTTCGTGTCTGTGAATTGCTTTACTATAATAAACCGAATAAAAATACTGGGTTGGATTTAGAATTACGTCGCACGAATGATGCTGATTATGCATGAGTCTCGGAGCCCGGGGGACCTTGATTGGAACACCTCCAAGTAATTTTTGGTGCCGGAAATTAAAAGTATTTTAATTTTTTTTTAAAGGTTTGTGAAATGTATTGAAATTTGTAAACAATCCGCCATTTTCTACTTTTCTATTGGTTATAAGAGATGTAACATATGACATTCTCGTTAAAAAAACGGTTAATTAATCGATTGTTGCATGCATTGCATGAAAAAACGATGATAATTTCGTGTTGATAGATTATAGGGTTCCAAAAAATTTTGAAATACCTACTCGTTTGTATTTCCTAATTAGTACTTGTATTTCATTGTTTGGAAGTTTCTGTATTATTTAATTCTTACTAGAATAAAGTGTTTATTTTAATATCCAAAAAGTACCCAAAACCGAATCAGAGCACAGCACTATCGACGTGGTCTTGTCTGCCCTACCCCTAAAGTGTATATAAAAATTGGAGGTGGTGGTAGGTAAATATATAATAAAATAATAGTATACAAAAAAAAAAAAACTATTTACTACACCCCTCCTCCTCCCCCTTCACCCCCCGCAACCCCCAATTCGTGCGACATTATTCTAAATCAGTGATTCCCAAAGTGGTCTATATCGACCCCTAGGGGTCTATGACAACCTGCAAGGGGTCTACGTCAGCGAAAAAAAAATTGGGGGTCCATGAAATGAAAATGGGGGTCCACGGTAGTGGATCTCAACACATACACTGATAGTACCAATTTACTTACATCATACTATCTTATAATATCAAAACATATACATTATTTATAAAAGTACCTACATATCAGATAAAAAAATTTATTTTGAGTAGTTTTAATTTAAATACAATTAATAAATGTATAAATTAACATGTGTTTTTAGTTTAAGTTTTTAACACTAAACTTCACTACAGTTAGAAATTTACAGGAAATCAATATCAGGTAAGTAGGGGGTCTACCCAACATGTAAAAACATGGCAAGGGGTCTACGACACAAAAAAGGTTGGGGAACTCTGTTCTAAATCGTTATCAAAATACTCAAGTGAAAAAGCGCGGGAAACGTTGGTCGTGGCGGGAGTGTTTTTTCTTGTGAAATTTTTGAATTTAATTTAACTTGTATAAAAGATCAGTTTGCATATATTTGTATGTAGTAGTTTAATTTAATAGCTTTGTTTATTCATTTGTGTATATATTCTACAGTATCTGGTAAGTTTGTATACTTTTCCTCAAGGCCTGGAGTCAGGCGAAAAAATGGACGTCCCCCGAAGTAGCTTGTAATATTTAAAGAGAAAATAGATTTTCTAAACTGGACGAGTCCAGTGTAGATACAGATGTGGATCAACGGAATGACCGAAAAAGAATGCGACTAGGTAAAATTTGCAAACACTGCTACAAAAGGAAAAAAAGATTTGATCCGACGCGTCGGAACAAACAAAAGGACACTGATTGTTCGTGCCAAATACTGGAAATTGAAATTCCCTCATTATATACTGGGCTTAAGAACGCTAATGCTCTATATACTTTTCAGAACAAAGTAGACCCTGTAGATACTACAACTGTTAATAACCAACACCACCCATCACCTCCATCAGACGTTTCTCAGTCCATAAAAAATCCTATAGGCCGAACATTTTATGAGGCCTATGACAGGGCCATTCGTAGTTCATGCGTAAAAAGTTTCTTCAGATACGGACATCTCCTCCCTACACCCCATCCAATTTGGATATTTCCTCAAGAAAAATTCTTTTAAAAACATAATTAATGGTAGCATCAAAAGGATAGGCAGAAACCGAATTTCCCTATCATTCTCAGACCACAAATGTGCAAACGAATTTATTAATAACCCTTGCCTGGCAAGAAATAGTTACAAAGCTTATTCCCTCATTTAATGTAACCCGAATGGGCCTGGTGCGAGGCGTTCCCGCGGAATGGTCTCCCGAAGAGATATTAGACAACATCTCTCTGCCTGTAGGCAGCGGAGGAATTAAAAAAATTAGACGACTAAATTATAAAATACGTAACAGCAGCCCTCCTGAGTGGAAGCCATCACAGACTATTGTAATAACTTTCGATGGTCAAACCCTGCCTAAACATGTATTTCTCTGCTACAATGCCCTGTCCGTGGAACTTTATACATATCCCACTATTCAGTGCTATTCTTGTTGCCGATTTCGTCATACTTAGTCTAATTGTAACTCTCGGCCCCGGTGTTACAAGTGTGGCCAAGGCCATACTGGGGACACATGCAACATACAAGATGATGCCACGTCTTGCTGTCTATGTTCTGGGGGTCTAGCCATATTGGTGTCGAAAAGTATTCTACATACACTACCGCTTTTGCGTAATTGTATTGTCGAAAACGCTTCGTTCGTAGCCAAGAGGCATGTCGATACATTACCGCAAAGTCGACAGCGTAGAAGCGAGCTGCTGTTCGTAGCACCTTATTCCGTCATATTGTCTCTGGATTAAACGTATTCCTAATGTCACTTTTATAAACAAATAAAAGTTAAAAATTTTACAATATTATTGTAACTTTGCAATTGGAAGCTGCAAAACGGACATTAGAATGTCAGCAAGGTCGGAACAATTTTCGATTTAAGTGGAAATTACGAAAGGTGCAAAGTGAATATATGAATTTTAATTGAATGTTTAAATTAATTATGGTTTGTTTCATGTTTTCTCAGAAATTTAAGGTTACAAAAATACAATATTTTGAAATTGCATAATCGTGATATATAATAATTAGTAGTACTCATACTTTGATATTTTTAGGATTTGACCTCACAACTAATCTGCAAAAGGAAGAAGCAACAGATTTTGTTACCGCTTAGAAGAAACAATAGAAATAGTACTGTGGATTGATAAATAAAGAGTGAAAATAAGGTTGACTAGAAGTTGATAAAGTCCAATGAATTAAAAAACAATAGAAAAAAAACGTAGACTAGTGTGAACACTGAAATTAGAGTTTGATTTAAGCTTTAATTAGGTTTGGTGTTTGTGCTTGAACATTTTTAATGTCAATTTGAAAGCAGATTTATATATAAGTGTAGATTTTATTAGTGATTTGCTACTAGTTGGAATTATCTCTGTTTATGTCCAACAAACAATATCAGTTTAAGTTAAGAGTCATAAAGGTTGATTGTTTATAATAAATTTATACTTTTAGAAAGTGAGAATTGAAAATCAGCAAGTACTCAATGAAATGAAAAGAGGGATTAATAAAAATTATAAAATAGAAACTTAGTCTGGTATGAAATTATAACCCTTAATCAACCTTTGATTCCATATTGATGCTCCAACATCTTAGATATAAATTTAAGTTTGACGCTGATTTTAAGTTAATATTTATGTCAATTAGCTTTTGGTTATATCAGTGATTTGCTACTAGTTAATATGTAAATGCAAAATCTGTTAAAGTAAGAAATGAATAAACATTGTATGTTATGTATTTGTCAGTTTTATTTTTGGTAATTTACCTATGTCTTCTTTAGTAGGAAAAGCCATTAA